GTAAATATGGGAAAATAACGAATGTGTCTATATTGAATGCATAACTGAATGATGATGATCGTGGCTATCTGATCAGAAGAATACGACGAATATTAAACCTTTATATGGCCTGTGACCTAAGATTACATAATAATACCCTTGCTCTTGGCAATGTGGCACCACACCAGTTCAATACAACAACATTTTAACATATGCAGTCTTTCGCATTTCTCATTCTGTGAGGTGTTATACAGTATACGATAAATTAAACCAAGATGTTCGACATAGGAGCGCTGCCAAATGAAATCTTCGATTTGGTTATCGAGCATCTGATAATTTCCATTGGTATCTTCAGAGCTTTCATACTTCGATCCGTCAACAGTGAGTAATATAACGCTCAGCAACATCCGATATAAGCTAATCTCTCAGAAAACTTTAACTCTGTTATACTATTCGCCATCTGCAATAAACAAATCTTAGATGTTGACGATCCGGCTACACCACAGTTGATCTACCGCATGCCGATAACCCCGAAAGCCAGAATTCTTCTAGTACAATCACGCTCTGAGAAAGCCGATAGAGATGATGCCCTATTCGTCATTGCAACAGTGAACCAAGCGCTAGATGACTTGACCCAGCTAACAAATGAACAGCAGGCCAAGCAGCATCAGATGATTGCTGAGGCGGTTGCTGAGAGATACCCAATTGAGATATTAAACTCGTCGAAGAGAAACGACGATAGTGCGAAAACAAACTCCCATGCTCATAATGTCCTCATGGGTGCTATTGTTATCGGCAACTTACCACTCGTTAAGACACTGCTAGAAGAGCAGCAAGCAGACGTCAACGCAATCAACCCCTATTTTGGACGGCCCCTAGGAATCGCAGCCGTTCGGGGCTACCTACCGATCGTTCGCTATCTTCTAGACTACGGTGCGGATCCTTGCCGGGATGATGACGGACAGCATTGGTGTGATTTCGGCATAAAACCCCCAATATGTGCGCTTGGGGCAGCGGTCCGAGGAGGACACGATGACGTCTTCCAGTTGCTTATGAAGCCAGAGTATAGTCCATCTCCCACTAGAGCCGAGTATTTTCGGGTGATACTCGATGGAGTCAAATTTGGGCGTCTTCAATTTGTTCAGTCACTCTTACAGGCGACGGGTAACCAATTATCGGACTACGCCGAGTTCGGTGACACAATGTTTTACACCGCAGTGGTCAACGATCAACCAGACCTAGTACAGATGCTTCTAGACAGTGGCGTCGATGTAAACGCGGCTTTCCATGACCGAAAGCATCGTCATTACGGCCAAATACTATCCGACGCGGCGTCAAGGGGGAATCCTCGTATGGTCCGAATTCTTCTCGATCATGGTGCCTATGTGGGCCGTGCGGAAAACTCATGGCATTATGATAAATCCAGAATCCCTATTGGAATAGCTGCCAAGCATGGACATGAAGAAGTGGTTGACCTTATATTTGCGCACAGCCCCAACCCTGAATTTCTTGAAATAGCATTCATATGGGCTGCGAAAGGAGGTCAAGCTCATTTAATGAACAAGCTTTGGGAGAAAGATCGACAATTGCACACAAAACCATGGCCTCGTCATATGATATCCCCCCCACGAAATGGAGATATAGATCTTAGACGCACAGTAGGCCTTGAGGCACTGTACGAGGCCATCTTCGCAAAAAGCCCGGCGGTGATCTCCCTATTGGCCGAGCGCGGTGTTTCGCTCAATGAGAAACGCTTAGGCCGGTTTCTCATGGTGACGGCAAAATTCCAATCGGCGCGGTGGATAGCAGATTTCATGGTATCGTTGGGTGCTGAAGACGTAGATATTAACCGCGAGGACGTATTCTTTGACTGCGCTGAAGAGACTATTGGCAAGCCGAGAATGAGAGCAGGCGTATATATAACGAAGCAAACCTGGGAGTGGGGTAGCAAGCACTAATAGCGAATTTATATTAAACTATACATGGATCGGGGTGGTAGTGTATGTAGTGTTGAATACCTCGCCAATCCGGATCCTCAGCTCCAACCGGCCACTACCCCACAATTGCATTATCGGCTTTTCCGGCAATGGCCCCACTTAGGTCCGATCCGATTGCGGGCCATGGACGCATGGCATATTGATAACGGCAAGACCAGCATCTTGGTGGCTTTGGTTGCAACGAGATAAGAATCGCGGCAAGGAAGATGCGTGTAATAGTACATACGCCGTGAGGGGTAGTTTAGATATCGCATGTGGGTGGCATGTGAAGCCCCTATTCATTAACTTATAGGTAGGTAGATAATATCAATCAACCAAAGAAGTATATTTCTTTGGTACGGATATTCTAAATTCGCATCATATTATTCTATAGTTAATCGTGTTCGGTTGCAACTAAGCTCAATATGCCTACCTCCATACCCGACTTAACTATTGACTTTCAGAGTGCTGGGCCGTTGCTTACTGCTATAACAATAGTATTAGTATCCTATTTGGTATTTACTGTAAGCTGAATTTTCAAGTATGCTTTGTTATAAGCTTCGCTAAACCCAAACAGGTCGCATTTGGCACAGACATTCCCCGTATCAAGGGAATACCAGAAATTCCCGGCGCAGTTCCAATCTTCGGCCACCTTCTCGAGCTTGGCGAAGATCATGCCAGTGTCTGCGAGAAATGGTGGCGTCAATATAACTACTCCATCTTCCAGATCAAATTGGGGAACACTCGCGCCGTAGTCGTGAATTCTTTCGATGACTGCAAGAAGATGTTGGTAGGCCATCAGAACGCAGTAATTGACCGACCAAAGCTGTATACATTCCACGGGCTTATTAGTAGTACCCAAGGTTTCACGATCGGCTCTTCGCCTTGGGATGACAGTTGCAACAGGAAGCGCAAAGCTGCGGGGACAGCGCTGAGTAGGCCTGCCTTAAGAGGGTACCATCCTATGTTCGACTTGGAAAGCTACTGCATCCTAAGGGATCTATATAAGAACAGCCACAACGGAGAGATTGAGATCAGTGTGCGACCTTACATCCAGAGATATGCTCTCAACACGACACTAACCCTCTGTTATGGCATTCGCATGGACGCCGTTTACGATGACCTCCTACGCGAGATTCTTTCCGTTGGCTCGGCCATCTCGCTCTTGCGCAGCGCATCAGAAAATATGCAAGACTACGTCCCGATTCTACGATACTTCCCGAACAATGAGAAGAGTGCTCGGTCTAAGGATCTACGAGAACGACGCGATGCGTACTTGAAACTTCTTTTGGACAAGGTCCGGGAAATGATAAAGCGAGGCACCGACAAGCCCTGCATCTCTGCCGCTATCTTGAAGGACGAAGAGACGAAGCTCACCGGAGTAGAGGTTTCGTCAATCTGCCTGTCTCTAGTTTCGGGTGGTTTCGAGACCATCCCCGGAACGTTGACTTCTGCAATCGGATCCCTGTCGACCAAGGAAGGACAGGTCTGGCAGGACCGCGCATACGAAGACATCAAGCGACATTATCCCGATATCCGTGATGCCTGGACGGACTGCTACGTACAAGAGAAGGTCCCATATATCAACGCAATTATTAAGGAAGCAGGGCGATACTACACTGTCAGCGCCATGAGCCTTCCGCGGAAAACGGTAACGGAGGTGAACTGGAACGGTGCTATCATTCCTCCTAAGACGATGGTCTTGATCAACGCCCAGGCAGGGAATCATGGTAAGTATAACACACTCGCAACCCCCCCTACTGATGCGGGTACTTATGCTGTCCAGATGTCGACCACTTCGGCGCCAATGCTAGCAAATTCGACCCTGAGAGATGGCTTAAGAGCCTTGACCCGTCCACAGAGCATGAATCCACCAGCCTTAACCACCTGAGCTTTGGAGCCGGGGCTCGCGCTTGTTCCGGCCAATATATCGCATCTCGACTCCTGTATGCAGCTCTAGTTCGCCTTATTTCATCCTATAAGATTGTAGCAAGCGAAACGGAGCCGCCTAACACGGACTATGTGGACTACAACGCTATAAAATCGGCACTGGTTGCAATTCCTAGGGACTTCAAGGTTAAGCTTGTTCCTAGGGACACGACTGTGATAAGAGATTGTTTAAATGCGGCTGAACGTAGGACCGAGGGGTACTACAAGGGGTAGGGGGATGAAGGTATCCTCGGTAGCAAGTTAATTCTGATACTTACGGTAACTATATATGTACAGACCTTCTATTATTTTTAATTAATGTATTATGTTAGTAGTGTCCGTGACGATTATATGGGCATGAATACCTACCCAATGTACTTGTCCGGGTACGCATAATACCCAGTGTTATACTAAATTCTCTATCGTAAATTAGTTACGGCGCTCTTGGATTGTATGGCTGTTAACTACGACCTAACCCCTATTTTTTCCAAAATATGGTATAGGTACACCCTCGAGCAGAACTCTGGTAACACCACACGGTACAAGATATTGAAATGGTCGAACGGGGGGCTGATGTGATATAAGATCCAAGTGGATTTATTCTCGACCAAAGGATTTGTGCTCCATGCATACAATGAAAGGCGGCCGGGGTAGGCAGAATTTTAGACACCAAAGTCCACGATGAGGTAACAGGTATACGAAATAAATGGTTTAATATTTTGGTTCTTTATACGACTATCTAAACTATCCCAACCCGATGTGGCTTTTAAATACCAAGAAACTTACCCTCGAATACCTAAATGAGACTCAAGTGAAAGGACTTTCATATGCAATTCTCTCACATACGTGGGGATCCGATGAAATCCTTTTCCATGAGTTACAAGGGGATCAGGGAACCCTACAAGAGCGAGCGGGCTGGGCAAAGATAGCCCGCTTCTGCAATACGGCGCTGACATCTGGTTTTGGATATGCATGGATGGACACATGCTGTATTGACAAGCGTAGCAGCGCCGATTTAAATGAAGCAATCAATTCTACATATGAATATTACTATGACTCTGCAGTGTGCTTTATATATCTCGAAGACGTGCATAAGTATGCAGATGAAGCGAGCAACTCACTGGGAAGAGTGGAAGTGACTAGGGACCAACTTCTTGCAAGATTGCGGGCGACTCGCTGGGCAACAAGGGGATGGACATTACATGAATGTATCGCTCCCAAACGACGATGCTTTCTCACTTCAGACTGGTCTGAGATCCAAGATGGAGACGACCTACTCGATGCTCTTGTTGAATCCACCAGGATTGATAGGGACTTGCTGAAGGATAGAGACCTTCTCCGCAATTTCTGTATTGCGGAGCGGATGAAATGGGCATCTGGACGACAGACAACGCGGGCTGAAGATGTTGCGTATTGCCTAATGGGTGTTTTTAAAGTCAACATGCCAGTCCTGTATGGCGAAGGGGCTAAGAATGCATTCAAGAGACTACAGCGTGAAATTATGCAGTCATCTTTCGATATGACCATATTCGTGTGGCATGGAAACTATGAGAGCAGCGGACTCTTGGCCCAGTCGCCTTCTGACTTTGCGGACACTCCGCCTTTAGATCTATGGGCGCCGTGGAACATATCGCCATTCTCGATGACGAATATCGGGCTTTCCATCAGTCTTAGTATTATCAACCAACAAGACATGGACGAGTGCGGATTTACGGAAAAGTTGGAGGGCAATACATTGCTTGCGGCTTTGCAATGCGATGTTCAAACGCCAACGGGACAGTGGGAAATCCCCATGATCTATCTTGAGCCAGTATTAGATGCAAGCTTTTTGGTCAAAGGTAAAAGATGGCGAGGTTATAGAAGGATTCGGTGTGCAGAGCGGTTAACGTTGCCCTCCAAACGGCTCGAGGGTTGTTCTTATGAGGATATTATTGTTCTACCGGATGAACAATATGAGCTGGTATGCCAGGCTAAAGAACAACATATATCGCGTAGCATGGCGTCTCAGACAGGTTCGAAGTAGGTTCTCTACTATGTAGCATGAGAGTGGTTGTGTTGATGGTCCTCACTTCATTTACGGTGCATTATTCCCACATATACGTACGGATTACGTTATTCCTAAATAGGCAGTATAAGATACTAACTTAGGCTAAGCGCTAGTACCTGGATTATTACTTCTAAAACGGCTAGAGCTGACGAGCTGACAAGCTAACAAACTGAAAAGTTCAAATTTCAAGAACACGAGACTACCTCGTCTTGGTATTCTCTTGTCAATCGGGAATCGGCAACCGGCAACCAGGAACTCCATAATAACTTTATCAAAAGGTGTGACATATGGTCGAACTCTGTCTATATCAATATTACCACATTCGCATTGGCAGTCGCTTGGCAAGGAGAAAAACAAGAGAGAGCACTTGCAACCATAAGCATGTGCATCCATGAGGATCGAATGAACAAAGGGAGAGAGTTATGCATGACGCGGTCACATTCCATATAGAGAATATTGAAAATAAATAATGTATGGTACCTGCTCTTGCATGCTGATAATTACCTAATATATAATTATTCTGTGACCTACCTTATTACGTACATGTAGACCTTGTAGGTACCTTTTACGTACACAAGCCTACATACCTAGGTACATACTGGGAAGGAATGATTTAGGTAGGGGCCCAGCTTACTGTCTGCGTTACGTATGTAGATCTAGATGATCTTCAGGAAGCCGGGACTCCTTACGGATATAATTAGCTCGACCTTCTTATCCCATGCTGCCCCCATGTTTCGATGCGCAGCATGTATGTATATCCAAGCATCCCCCAAGAGTTAGATTTGAAGATGCCTAACCACAATATGGTTTTTGGATGTATGGGATACAAGGAAATGATGCAACGTGTGTCACGATTATTGCTTACATTAAACTGCCTGAAAAATCATGACGGGAATTTGCAGCAGTCTAGAGTTACCTATGTATGTACCGTATTGGGTTTAGCATAATAGGTAGCACAGCATAATGCTACAAGAACTACGTATTCCGTACATCCAATGTTAGGTATTGTACAATGTTAGGTACTCATACCAATGCCACTGCCGTCATGTGTACTTACATGTACAACAAGAGCAACAAGAGCGAGCTGACATGGAAGGGCTAGCCAGCCAGTTAGGTAGCTTCATTGCACCGAAGCGCCGTTCTGTTCCGTTCTGTCCGTTGCTTTTTTAGCGGCCTTTCCATTTTCATACTCACTCAATCTGGGACGATCCAAGGAAAGCCCAAGCCATTCAAGCCACTCGAGCCGTTATCCGTCCTTCTTGGCTGACAGATTCAAGGTTTACAACCTTTTGTTCCCTCTTCGTTCTTGTCCAATCCTAGTGGTCCCGCGTCCCTCCACAGGTCACACTTCCCAGATCTAGATTCATTCGCCAATACCACACATTTGCTCCATTCGTTCCCTACTTTTCCATTCATTCCATTCTTCTCCATTCTTCAACCTTTCCCTCCCCGCGACAAGCACTTCCACGCAATCTAACAACGTGATCCACCACATTCGTTTTGATACAATCTGGAGGAGAAACAAACGCGAAAATGTCACAGTATTGAGAGAGAAAAAAAAGAAAGAAAAACCAGGAAGGACAATAGCCAAGAGACGATCTTTCGTTCTTTTTGCATCCTGCAGCGTACTGCCGCTAATACGATAGATCCGACAACCCCTTTGCCGATTTGCCGGATCTATTTTTCACCCATTTGACTTGCCTTTAGAGTCTCGACAACTCATATTGTCAGCATAGCGATATTCGAATCCCTTGTATCAGAGCGGCCAAGTATAATTGTATAAACAACTTGGATTAGTGATTAGGAAACTTGGTTGGTTCTAGACGGTGACTGGTACAAATACCGTTACGCCATTGCATCCCATTGAATACTAGAGGGTTAAACACCGTGCACTTCCAAACGTACGAGCCGGAGTTTGCAGCGCGAGTTGCCAGCTCTTCTCAACATCAAGGTCCAACATCAAGGTCCAACATCAAGGTCCAATACAGCTGATTATCCTTACGTCCAATATATTTCGGCATTTCGCATTCGCGCCTCGCTATGGGTATGCTTCCTCGTCCCATTCTAAAGAGTCCAATAGGAACCTTCCAATGCCATGTTCCTCAACTAACAGATTTTATCAGCTCAACAAACGCCGGTAACCACGATCGTACCCTTCCAGTCTCTGCCTTCGTGTGCGGGCCAATGCGGTCCCCTTTACGATGCCAATGGAGCTTGCGTACCTCCTGCTGCCGCTGTCACCGATGAAAATACCTATGACACCTGCTTCTGTGCCTACAACAGCCTCCAGCCGTTCAAGCAAGGCGCATCTGGGGTTTGCGATGCGGCTTGCACTAACGACAACGGGGGCTTGTCGAGTATACAAGGCTGGTTCACAAGTTTCTGTAACGAAAAGGCAGCAGCTACTATGTCGTCATCTTCATCGACAAGCACTGGAACGGGGAGTTCAGGAAGCAATGACGGCAGCGGAGACTGGTAAGTTTATATTTTTTATATTCTTTCTTATTGATTGCGTCTTAGTTTGCTTCGGTATCCTAACTATAGCTCCCTAGGATTTCAACACATTGGAAATGGGTTGTCATGATAGTCATCATTGTCGTCGGAATCGTTGGTATTTGGATTGGAGCTTGCGTATGGCGTCGCAAATACCTAAGAAAGAAGGATCGAATGTACGAGCTTGGCAAGGGCCTTCCCAGTAACGTCGCGATCAACACACAAGGCAATCTTGTTGGGCCCGGTGCAAGGGATAGTACTTATTCTAATCCGGGCATGTTCATGTCGGGCTCTGGGGATGCTAGCTATACCGAAAAGCCAAAAAAGGAGCGCAAGAAGTGGAACGTCACCCAACGAACATGACCAACATAACGTTAACGGAATGTCAGTCTGTGCAAATAACACAAAAATAACACAACGCTCCTTTTACATACCGATATGGTATCGTCTCGACTACACGTCATTTACTATACTAATCTTACAACCGTAGGATTATTCCTAAGCATATCATTGATTCCAAATTCCACATTATGGGCGTTAAGGTCGGAAAGGTGGTCTTGGTAAGCTTATACCATGCGGGTTCCTATTGTCTGTTTCTTGAATAGGCAGGCGTGAGGATTGATCTGGATAGACAAGGAACCGAGTCGGGCAGCATTGGATGGTTTGATATCACTTTTACAGTCCCGAATTAAGCGGGAGATATATATGGGAAAAGGGAAGACTCGGCATGGATTTGCGCGATAGCTGTCTTCTCGCTGGAACGACGAACGAGCATAGTGGAGATATTCTTGTTGTCTTCTCTACACATCAAGTCCGCGAATCAATACTAATTATGTACAAAGACTTGTGGTGTATATTGCTTTTGTATTCCTTTTCATTTTTGAACCTACTTAGGTACCTACCTAGGTACCTACCTAGGTATCATGTCTCGTTCCTACCCAAGCGGTCTACCTCATATTAACAAATATCGCCTTTAATTCCTGTAACCTAGCACATACTCATTTTTACCAAATTACTAACAACATTACCAAAGTAAGTAATTGACATTTCTCCCTCTTTATTCTTTTTTTTATTTTTATTTTTATTTGTTTTCTTCTTCTTTTCTCAAGTAACCTAACCTAGGCGGTTGACATCAAGACGTCCAGAATCCGAATCGTAGTATTTCTATTTTAGTAATATTTGTCAGCCGTGTACTGCGTATTGCTAAGCGAGTTAAGTTCGACTAGCTCCAATACCCCTTTTCTAGGAGCTATAAAACGTATGACATATTGGTCGCACGGTCACGATGCCAAAGCCAAGCCTTACACATAAACCCGCGACCTCCCGCCGTCTGTGTTTACGCGGGTGCGGGACGAAGCTAGCGTCAAGCTCAATCAATAGCCTAATGCTTTCTTTATGTACATTATCGGTCAATCTCGCCGTAGACAGCAGTTAGGTATACTTAGGCCATAGGGAATTAAGGAGAGGGAAATAGGCTAAGACGATAAATAAATGCTACGTTTTTGTATTCATGTATTCGTGTACGTACGTATCTCATATTATCTTATCCAACCTTATGATACGTAGGTATATATGTATCAACAAGCTATCATTCGATGTATATTCAACTCTTCTAGTGTAGTCGTACTGTCGTGCCTAGAGGAACTTCCTTTAGGTATGATGCAAAGCAGACGACGCTTTTCAAACTTTCTCCAAGTCTTACGCCTTCGATGCCTAAACACGCTGACAATTTAATTAGCCAAGGTATGAAAGTGTCAATCACTCCATGCCGTAGTCGGTGGCATCCATGTACAAGTCGATGAGGCATCCCGCGCTCCAGGCTTGCGTGGGGCTCGAGTCGTCGCAATACTGGCCATCCTTCTGTGTGAGCTCCGTAAGACCTGCCCACTGGCTCTGCTTGATCATCTCTTTGCAACCACTCAGTCGCCTCGTAACCTGCTGGAACGCCTCGACGCGCCCATGCTGGGTATCTCGCCTCATGAGGTCGAACTTCAGTAGCGCGCGTAGGAAGAATCCCGTAGGCCAGAGCCACTCAGGGCCCTGATGGTAGTTCCGGCCCTTAGACGTAGCGAAATCAGTCGAATCCTCGCTATTTATATAGAAGGGACGGTAATTCAAGTCCGAGGGGTCAAGTGTTGCCATTCCGGTTGGACCACGCAGGACTTTGTCCGCCAAGACGAGAGCGCCGAAAGCATGATCGGGGTCAAAGAGATCTGGAGCGACTGTCATGGCAATGGTAAAGTTAGGCCGCAGTTGGTAGTCTTCGTACTCCTTCCCGGAACGATAGAGGTCCTTATAGACACCACGTCGGTTGACAACCTTTGGGTTTACACCGTACTGGGCGTCGTCTGATGGGTCGACCGGCACGTAGTAACAGTTTTCGAAATTTGACTTAAGTAGGCCAGCCCAAGCTGAGAAGGTGATCTCGGTACCATCGGCTTTCGTCACGCCCTTGTACGGATACTTGCCCTCCGTATTAAGCTTGGCCAACCATTTCAGAGTACTGTAAAGTAAACCGGTAATCTCAACAGCAGCACCATCTCGAGGAGTACCGGGGATGCCCTTCGAGCCAGCGCGCTCACTTTCGCCCATCTTGTCCATCCAAGTACCGCAGTTGAACTGGTTGCCACCGAAGATAATACCATTTGACCAATCTACGTTAACCTCGATGTTGAAACCCTCGTCGCGCATCTGTGAGTCAATGCCCGGTCCCGCATTAGCTTCACGGAATTTCAGCCCAGTTGCATGACGTTGCAGCGCCTCTTGGATAACATCTTGTATCAGGCTCTCTGTTGAGTACGCCCTCGGGTCTTCTGAGTCAAACCAAACGTCATCGTATGGTAAGAAGCGTCGTTTAACTTTTCGTGTTAGGAGGTTCACACCATCTGGGGCATATCGAGTGTAATCCTGGATACACTGCAAAAAGAACCAGATGGAATCCCGACTATTGTATCGCGGAAGGTTCCCGCTGCTGAGAAGATTAGGAATCATACCGTGCTTGAGAACACTGGCGAATGCAAATATGTGCTCCGCTGCCTCTTCAAACCGGCCAGTTCCGAGGTATAGACCACGGAGGGAGATGAAGACATCACGGCCCCAGCACCTTGCCCATTCAACAGCGAAATGTGGTAGACCAGCAGCCAGAGAGGGGACAAACTTCTTAGGCCAAAGTGAACCTGACTTTACCAGCCCTGTCATTTGCACGCTGACCAAGGCTAGACTTTGAAGGAACCACTGACCACTCTGCACCTTTTCATTCATAAGTTCTAAGCCTCTTTCCCAAGCCGCCTTATATGCAGTTCGTACAATAAGTGCAAAATATCGCGGTAAAAGGAAATTGGGTATGCTTCGAACTGCGTCGATACGCTCCTTAAGCCAAGCTGCGGGTTTAGTGAGACCGGCAAACTCCGACTGCTGACTTATTCTCTCGAGACGTCCAACCGTATAATCCAAGGCCCATTGTCCATCGCGGAGGTTTTGGCAAAGGGGGTGAGCTAAGTTGTTGTCCTTAATGATATTCTTCAGAAGGCTCCACCAACCCTGAAGGCCCGCATATACGATCTTACCATGGCTTGGAATATCATAGGTGCCATCTTTGCCGCCACTACCATCGAGCTCTTCAGCCTCACAGCGGTATAGCAAGAAGTTGAGGTCGACCAAATCTAGATCGGCCATCGCTTCCTTGGCCCCAGATGTAACGTAGTTATCTAATCCTGATGAGTGCTCTGCAGCCGGAATCCAGGTTTCAAATAACGCAATACTTCCAGGCGGGAACTTGTCGCGCACCGTGACAACTGTCTCATCCGCCTTGGCTTCCAGTCGAATACCCGGCACATCAAGCACACGACTTGGGAGTCCTCGCAGGTATTTTTCGTCACCCTCGGTCTTCTTTTTTGCTTCCTCGCTAGCATCAACCTCTAGCATCCAGCTTCCTAAGTGCCGCGCTTTTGTGCCGCTAAGGCGCACAGCACTTAATGCACCATTGCCATTCCCGTAGCCTGGAAAAGCAGTATGAGCGATAAGGAAATATCCTTTCCTCGACTCAGGATGTACTCTGTGGACGGTGATGTATTGGTCCTCGTGGTGTATATGTGTTTCGTCGTAACCATCTTTACCCATCAGCGTGTGTATTTGATTGAGTAGCTTCTTGATACCTCCAATGCCACCTTTGCCGCCGCCAATTTTAATTTCTTTAGCAGAAGACGACTCAGACGTGTAAAGCCTAGTCTCGTTCACGAGATCAACAAGTTTTGGATAGATCTCATCGTATCCCATCACACTTCCAGTCGCACTGGAACACATGCACACCAAGGCGGCGTTTGGTAAAGTGTCTCGAGCATCTCTCTTCTGTGCAGGAACTTCGTTGTCGTGCGTGCAGTCCATGAACAGGGCTTGGACCGGTACAGGCTTGATTCGGCGAATGACTTCTCGAGGAGCATAGCCATCAAGTCCGGGACTTGTTGGAGCACTTCCAATCGGGCCCTTTGAGATTTCGTCGACTTCAAAACTACCGATAGGGCGCCCGCCATGGCGATGTACTAGTCTGCTGAGTTCTGCCGTGCTCCAGGCTTGCATTGCCTCTCGGATTAACGAGCTCAATCCCAGCCTCTTCACAAAGACGTAATCCATCTCCTCCGAGCCTGTAAACAACTCTGCCACGACATATAAGTTAGGTCGGACTCGACGGGCTTCATCAAGGATATGCTCCGCAACATGAATAGGAGTAGAGTGGCAGTTATCAATTCGGAAACCAGCGAAATACTTTGCTAACATGCGGGCGTATTTCGTCATATGCTCCCATAACCAAGGACTATCTTCAGGTCCATTTCCGTAACGGAGCTTAACGCAATCACCCCAAACGATAACTTCGCGTCGCAGGTACACGCGCGATTTGGGACCGGCGTTGTCCACCAGAGCGTTTCCAGCCCATACCCAACCGTTATTGACGAGAACCAAATCCTCGGATTTCAATTGATCGGATGCCTTTGCCTTGTCTAGACGTGTAAAGTATGTTTCAATCAAGGGATTGTCCTGATCAATAGGGCCAAGTTTGGGGCCATGTTCGTCAAGGCGGACATACTTGATCCTATTGAATAGTTGTTGGAGAATTTCTCCGATTTCCTTATCGTATTCCTCGTAGAATGGAACATTAACCACATCCAAGATCTGAGCTACTTTGGTTCGGATAGTCGCCTCATCTGCCTCACCCCTGTACTTCCCAAAGAGAGCAACGATCAACCCGGCCGAAACTTTTGGGTCGATACGCCGCCGAAAGCGTTCGCCAAGCCTGTCATTCCCAACTAGGCCATTCTGAATCAGGTAGAGAGCTTGTTCCTTAACCTCAAGTTTAGTCAGGTTACCCTTTTCGGTTTCCTCAGGAGCACTCGACTGTCCAGCAGCCCAGGACTCGATTGCAGCATCTGCATCTCTGTCAACGTCAAGGGCATAGTACTCCCATAGGCGAAGCTCGGCAACAACATGCTTTTTTATGCCGTCCATGATCTTGATGAGGTCATCTGTAGATTTGAGCTCCTTGGGGTATCCTAGTTCCTCTAACTTGGAGCCAAAAACCAGAAGTTGGGTGTCAAGAATGTAAGCTGACTCTAGCCAAGGGGCAGTGGTGAGATTATACCCAGCCTCGGGATGTTCAAAGAGCCACTTGCTGTTATGTGCGGTATGGTTTAGGACTATGTCGGTTAAGCTGAGAAGGGAATGATTGTGCTCCAGACTATCCACCATATGTTGTACATCTTTCTCCCCTTGAGGAAAGCACTCCGGATCCCATCCAAGCTGGTCATATAAACTATAGGGAGAGTTCGAAGCTCCTCGAACTTGAAGGGGAGTAAAATGTATCATGTTGTACCCGCGGCCGCTGATACCTCGCAGATGTCTCTCCCAGTCAGTTGGGTATTTGCCCATGAACTTGCTGATAACAGAAAAGATTGACAGTGCTGGTAACGGCAAGGGTCGGCCATCTAGCGATAGCTTGGGAGCGACATCGATATAGTATAACGGCGTCTTTTTGGATTCAATCGTTCCTGATGTTTCCGAGCTCAAGGCAGGAGACAGCTCGGGCAGTTCGGCGTAGGTGGTGTAGAAAGCGAAAGCACCGGCTTCGAAGACAGGGATCGAGATCTCTATCGTCCGATTAAAGTCGGGATTTAGTCTGAGGGGGGTGCCGTTAACAAAGCATCCCGGGATCTTAGAAAGCGAACAGTTTGCCTACTTGTATTCGCGAAACTGATCTCTAGAAAACTCAGATCCCCGTTCCGGGATATTCACCCATAAACTACCTTGTCTACATATTGACGACGTGCCCTCGATCGTAAATCGTATAGTTATAGGGTCCTTAGATCTCGGGGCCAGGTATATGTACTCGCCAGGGATATCGGGAGCACCATCATCCTTCAGAGGTAAGATATAGACCTCATTCGAGGTCACCGTCCTAGGAATCATGATGCCCAACAACCTGGTCTCCGAACTTCGTACAATGGCTAGGGGATATATGTAGCCGTAGTAGATGAACTGGAAGAGAGTTGATGAAAAATGAAGAAAAAGAGGAAGGGAGAGAGAGTGTTAGACATAGAATGCTAAACGAGAGAAGTTGTAGGTAGCAGAATAATATTTTAAAGGGCGGCAAGACATTTATATCAGGCCTTCAGACGATGTAATAGGACGGCAGAGGAAAAAAGACGACTAGTAGTTGGTCTTGTGAAGGTGGGGTTGGCAAAGTTGGGTAGCTACCACCTGGTATCCTCCTAAGGTACAACACTACACTATACATATGTACACTACGTGCATCTGTACATAATGTACTACATACATGTACCAGGTAGCCATCGAAACTGCAACTGCATTATGTACCTTAGTAGTTAACCTAGTGCATTCAATACTAGGTACCTATGATTGATCGGACCAGTGTAAGACCCACTACAGTACAGTGACGTAATGATTTGGCATGCTGAATATTAGCTCCTAATTGGCCCCATACGGAGATTTATGGAGGTGGGGCTATTCGATCAGGTATTGTACCTGACTTTGCCCAAGCTCAAGTTCTAGGCCTGATGTACTCCCTATGCACATCCCGGGCTATCCTGGCTCTCTTTATGACAACACGTCCATTTTTCTTTTACTTGAATATCTTCTTCCATCGTCCACCGGTTCTTAGTTGATGTGAATGCGTACTGCAGTTCTCCATAGTGAACTAAGCATATATTACGTTAGCTGATGCTCAATAAATAAACAAACGACATAGTTACGATCTTCTTACTTTGGTGGTTAGGACAGGCGTTGTTGGCTCTGGGATCAAAAGTGACACCACAGAATCGGCAAATTCGAGGTCCCGGGAGAGGAAGAATAGCGGCCCGGGCGACTCGAGCGGTTCTTATTCGGTTTTCCTCTTCCTCCTCCTGTCTTTCTTCTTCTTGCCTCTTTCTCATCTCGTCTTCAAGTCTCCTTCGGATCATTATGGACTGCTCGATACCTCCTCGCTTTCGGTGTCTTTGTTGATATCGGTGTAACGGAGTATCCTCTGGCCTTCCACCAAGCTCTGATGGTTCCGCTGCCAAAGGACTTGTCGCGGGTGGCGATGGCGGCGGCGGCGGCGGCGCAAACCTTAACTCCCCTGGATGGGGAAGAAGAACTCCCTTGTAAGGGGTCCTCTTGCTGCGAGTTTCTTGTGGTGACGGCGTTTTCGGAGGTGTTGGCTTGTCTTCGGGCTTATTTGTAGGTGTTGCCTGGTCTTCTACTGCAGGTTTAACCTGCAATTTAACCTTAGGCTTCCCCTTAGGCTTTCCTTTGGGCTTGTCTTGAAGCCTGCCTTTGGACTTATTCTTAGCCTTCTTAACGCGTCCCATCTCTTCAAACTTTATAGCCACAGGCCAAGGAAAAGGTAGAGAGGAGACTATCTAGGATTTTATAATCAAAATAGAAGTGTGTGTAGCAGGAACAAGTAGGAGGGAAGACATCGCTACTCCCGGAGTAACAGCTGTTGCCATCCGTCTTTTAGGTATGTTGATGACGGAGACTAAATGCCTGAGTGGAGGTAAGAAGGGAGGTTGCAAAAGAGCTCTTTCTGAATGAGTCGTGAGTTGCTAGGTAACTAGGTTGTTTGGTGCACGCTCGATCTCTTCAACTGATAAATATTGGGTACCTATCTCCTAAGTGTCTACCTCAATTTCACCCATCCGGGTAGAGCATGGGCTTGCAACCTTGATAGAGATTTTTTTCTACCGCTGATTTTCCCGCAGTTTAAACAGATAGAATACTTGAAGATAGGTACCTCTCACTGATAATACCAATATCAGTTCTAGCAGTTGACCGAAGGCGATATGCACTTACGTATTTGAGGCATGTTATATGTTCCTAAGATACGACCAGTCACATACTTACATGTAGGCAGCTCATCATTAAACCGTATACTTATCCCCGAACGCCAGCATAGCTAGTATGTTGATAATATTTTTACCAACAGGTAGCTTTAATAGATTTTCACCTCTACTACTATCTACTAATATCAAGGACATGCTAACATATCCTGAATTTACGCTTGCTCCTTTTTTTCTCTTAATCCTAGCCCAATATGAGAAATATTCTGTGTTAGTCTCTTTTACTAGTATATAGACGTTTTAATCGAGGAGTAAGTCTCTACAAGTTAACAAAATACGTCATGAAAATTTCAGTAACATGTGGACATCCATATTCCATGGTTTCGGAGTCGATAGGCACTGATGACTTCCATTTAATATCCTTCATAGTAAGGTCCTTGCAAGCTATTACTTATTTCTTTAACCCTTTATCTCGACCTTAGCGCAACTGCCCTTAACTCTCTGGCAACGCCGCAACCTTACCGAGCACGTTATAGGGGCTTCCGAGGTTATATGATAATATCTATCTTACTTTTAGACTTTCCAGTGGCCCCCATAGATTTGGTATTTTCCGGATGGGTTTCAGATGGCATGTTAACGGTATGTAACGATGTGGGATCTTGGTTTGAAGGTAACAATGTTGATATAAGGATCTAATACTGTATACTCAAATTAACTACTGAAGAGATCTTTTAGCTACTCATGAGGTTTCCATCTAGCATTATACATTTCAGATCGTCAGTCCGCGGCACCCAGGAGCCCCAAAGGTTCCCGGGCTCCTGCGCTCCCCAAGGGGTATCACGTGACATGGGTTATTGTTAATCCTTTTGGCCTCCTTTTCAGGCCACATGACTGAGTCTGTAATATAGTTATAATGTTTACTCTAGAATCATAATTAGAGTACCCAGAAGACGTATATATACGTACCTGAGGTGTCTTTACCGGACTTTTAGCCGTTGAGTATGATTAGGAAGGCTACGCCTTATAAGCTGCTAAGTCTCCCATGGGGAAAGTAATTCACTTCCAGGGACTCTAATGATGAAACTAGGCAAATTCTCAAATTTTCAACAGTACCTAAAGTTCCTATGCTTGTTAGGCATATACGCGAAGAGGCTAGCTGGCTCGACACCTCCTTCTATTTTCTATTTTATGTTTATTTTTGGATTAAAACAAATATCGCAGTCGCTGCTGGACTGTACGATGTCAGTTGTTATGTATTCGAACACCCTATGCAACCATGTTGAGTTGCGTGCTTCTTTTCTTAACGGCATGGACGCATGTTGTTGTTGTTTATTACCTACATGGGTCATATTTATAAGCTCTTGCTTTCCTTAGCCATGCCTTAGGTCTATGTGGCAAATTCACTTGTTTACTCTTTCACATATCATACGAAACTAAATTAGGTGTCAATGATACCAGCTACTAAGCTCGCTTCACTTCAGGGCTAGTGCTGCCCTATACCTATACTTCACAACTTTGTTTTCGGGCTACTCCTTTCGTCGAATCTTATTACCCTCCCAATACAATACATGAAGGTATAATCATATGTGTTTTATTCACCTATATACCTAGGAAAATTATCCAAATCTCGGGAGACATTAAGAGTTGTGGTAATTATTGTCCTAAGAAAATAAATTTCATTTCAAATCTTTGGAGCCAAAGCTTTGTACGATTCTCTTACACGATGGATATCTACAGCGTAATAAATTCGAAATAGCCTTCAGCTCCAACACTCTCCAACCACCTATAGGAGTTTGCTATGTAAGATCTGGGCAATACAAAAGCAAAGGACGTAACAACGCTAGTGCGTGATGGGTATATAACATATGTTTAGCTGCGGTTCTCGACGAAAACGCCGCCCTGGGCCTTCTCAACATCCGTCGCCAGAGAGGCCGATCCAGATCCACCGCCCTCGCGGTGCTCGGGGCGCTCAACGTGGGCCTTGTGCTCCTCCGTCTCTTCGTAGGCGATGAGTAGCTCGCCGTTCTTGCCGTATCGGCGGGGCTCCTTTTCAGCCACGTCTACGACCGTAAAGTAGCCCTTAGCACCGTGTACCTTGTGGAAGATAGTGTCCATTTCCTCAAGTGAGCGGTATGCCGTTTCAGGAAAGAAGAAGTAGACCGACGGTACCATGAACGCGTTGATTACTGCAAAGATGATATAGGTCTGGTATCCAATACTGTTGAAAGCTATGGGTGTAATCATAACAACGAGGAAGTTGAAAATCCAGTTAGAGGAAGTAGAGAGCGCGTTAGCGGGCGCACGAGTCCGGAGAGTTGTGATTTCAGCAGGGTATAACCAAGCTAAAAGAAAAGGAGAAGTTAGCCACATTCTAGAAAACGTTTCTGCAAGTAGAAATACACCACAGGTTCTCAACACCCCAAAATAAGGTTGGAGCGTTTTATAGGTTTCGTGAGACAACATGTGGAAAGTAAAATGGACCTACTCATTCCGAGCCAGCCAACGGCGAAAAATGTATTAAAAACAAACAGAAAGGCGATGGCAGCGCCCTGAGCTGCTTTGTTATCAGGTACAGAATTTACACCAGCTAAAATAGCCATGCTGATAGCTTGGCCGGCGGCACCGAATAGCATGAGCTTCCGGCGTCCAACCCTTTCAACAAGGAAAACAGCAGGCCATGAAGCAAGGAAGTATTCTGTGCCGTTGATCGCCGCGAGTAGTCGAGCCATGAAGTCGCTCATACCGAGTCCGCTGTAAATCACTGGTGCATAGTAACTGATGAAAACATCCCATGTTAGCTTTATAACCCTACACTTTGGGGGGGGTTTACTATTCTTTTCTTTTCCGAGTGAGTCGACTTATTAGGGTAATTGCAACTTACTACTGGGCGTTAGCTACTGTATACTTGAAAGAAGTGGGGGATGAAAGTAACAACCAGGGGCGTTTTTATACATACCGTGATTAAATTAATGCCTGAGATTTGTTGGAACATTTGGTTTACGAAAGCAAGCAAGGTGCGATGCAAGTTCCTGTCCTTGTCCATAGTAAAAAGGTCGCTAAAGCTGCCCTTAGACATTTCGAGGACAGTGTCCTTGATAGCAATAAACTCATTTTTCACTTCTTGGGAGTCGACCGTGGTGTCTCCTAATGCAGCAAGGACTTCTCGAGCTTCGTCTTCGCGGTTCTTTAGGATCAGCCATCTTGGGGACTCGGGCAAATTCCAAATGAAAGCCAAGATGAACAAGCAGAATACGATTTGGAAAGCGAGCGGGAATCTCCAAGCGACACTGCTGTCGATAAAACTGAAGCCGAGATCAATCCAGTAGCTGATCATAATACCACATGTAATCAGAGCGCCTTCTATCATAACCAGCTTGCCTCGCTTGTGGGCGCGAGAAGTCTCCGATTGCCAAGTGGGAACAGTTGATGTGTTACCTCCGTTTCCGAGTCCAGTGATTACACGGCCGATGATGAAGTGGGGGAGCGTTGTAGCACTGGTCTGTAGAATAGCACCGATGATCATGATTGAAGTACCGAGAATAATCATTCGCCTTCGGCCGAGGGGGTTGGAGATAAAAATAGTAGTGACCGCGCCGGCAAAGCACCCAAGGTTGTATGCTGCAACAGCGATACCCTGGGTTGAAGATCGCGTTGCTTTTTCTATCGAATCTATACCTGAGGCGTCTGGGTTTATAGCCGGGAAAGCCTCAAGAAATTGACGCATTGTAAGAATACCGCCCATCACACCCTGATCTAAGACATTGTTAGATTATTTAAGTACCTAGTTAGCGCTTATATGGGATGGTGATATCTACCATATCCAAAAAGTAAGAAATCACATCCTGCAATTATGCCAATGGCATAGTTGAGCCAGTTGCCTCGAAGGCCGAAATATTTCCCCATGGTGAATGTGTCTAATGTAGCTGGCCTCGAGGTGAAGTATGAGATTGGGCCAAGTCGAGGTGACTCAATAGTTTATATAGGAAGGCCCCTCAGCTTAGACACTGGTAGGATACAAGACCCAAGATCAATCGCGCGACATAGATCTGTGGGCCGATGACCTTCTATTTATATTGGTCCCACGCCGATGTCGATCAAGTTATGGGACTAAAGAAACTAATAAAGATATTCGGCTATATTCAATGCTCGTAACAATCTGCCCGAGGACCAAGCAACAACGGGTGCATATGTAAGTATAATCAACAAAGACAATTAGGAAAGTAGATTTACGGTTTGAGGCAGGTTGACAACAGATGATATATATACTCGGCGGTAGGTCAGACGGTTAAAAGATATAGACCGCTATGTACACGGTAACCTTGGAATTTTCCCTTCATGTCAACCGCCAACCCCAATCAACAACCCATGAGTGCAGAAAGCCGGGATGGAACCGGGGTCTCCAAACCAGCGATGTACCCCAAGTACGGAATTGGTAGGAAGATAAATGGAGACTCATGGCACTTAGTGGAGCTTCAACCAAGTCGGGATCTACGTGAACGGAATAGCGCTCTCGGCCTCGTGTCTTAAGTGGCGGTGCGCTAATGTGGAATGTGGAGGAATTGTGGAGGATAGGTCTGAAGTTTTGGAGGGTTTGAAAAAGGTTGCTTAGGCAATTTGGGGAAAAGTCTTTTGGGGTAGTTAGGTAGTTTCTCTACATACATAGGTACCTAGGTATGTTATAACTTATGTACCTAGTGATGGTATACATGTATGTAATATTTCTAAAGTTGTATAACTAGTACTTTTATAGTACTTTGGTTTAGTCATGTATTTGTCTGAACTAATAAGATAGCGAGGTGTTAGTCAAAGCGGAGGTCCTGATAGAAAAAATTGGGCTTGGAGGCTTGGATGATTCGATGCAAGCACGGCCGCCACGATATGCAGGTCAGATCGCAACATCTTACAATCGGTTGAAGCAAAACGCTGCAAAGGCAAAGGTAAACCATTTTTGAGGGGCAACGGCTTCAGGGGCCCGACCCCAGAAATCACATAACCCATATTAACCCCATTCCAAAAGGGACCCCCCGCAAAGAGACCCAAACATTAGGTACCTAACCTAAATAGCTGACGACTTCGGGACCTATTGGTAACATCGGTATGCGACCAACGTTTTTGGCGGCGACGCTAGAGAGATTATTCATCGATGGATTTCCTAGCCCGGTAACCCGAATCCGCTCATACTACTATGTATAAGTCTATAACCAAGGATATCAAGCAGAAAGCGGAAATTTTTGACGTAACTAAGTGCAAGATCAACTTTCGCGAAGAAAAGAGGCAACCCTTGTATGACAGCTACTTAAGTTGTGAGAGGATGACGTCGACCAGGCTGGGATGTTCCGCTCATTATCGGTCTTATATCGGTGATAATAGTTTCTTTCCGTCAACTAATACCTATCTCATTTTTACTAAAAACCTGTACAAGAATTTTCATAAGGCTGCAATCTTGAGGTTGTTTTCATTTTTGGAATGTATTCCTAACGTTATAGGATGACGAAAGAGTGAACAGTTCCGTCAATATCAACCGGGGGGTCGTGACAGGTCGGGACCCCAACATCCGGGTAGCCTAGCTTAGGTAGGAACGGGGTAACAGAATACATACATATTAGGATTAGGATATACGGGGTTGAAAATGTGACTAATGGTTGTCCGACGGCAGAACGGCTAGGTAGTTATTCGGATCCAGGATTTTTAGAAATGAATATTATAAATATCGAAGTCTTATTTGTCACTGTATTAGAAATTGGTATACATTGGCCATTGCCGCGCCGCAATGTATCTGTATTCATGGTCTCATTTCTATCTACATTATTAACGCTTTTGGATTTAGTATACCCTCGCATCGTGAGGCTGCTGAACTTATAACCCGTTCTCGGTCTTGAACTTATCCCAGCTTTCATTTAGGGTGGCAAATACCGTGGCGGCAATGAGTCTTACCTCTGTGCTTGCATCTTGAGGTAACTATATAATACCTATTAGTATCGAAGAGACGGCATATATGTATATGGTTATTTTGTAGAAATAGACAACTCACCTTATCAGGATGACACTTAGCAATGGCTTTCATGTAGTGTATCTTGACCTTGTTCGCAACTACCAACTCATGCAAGCCGACCTTCTTCCACCCGCTGTTCTCCCATAGCACCTGATCAAGACTTCCGAGAAGGGCTCGTAGATTATCTCTTTTTCCATCACGCCATGAAGCGATCTTCGCATCGACTTTCTCGCTAAGCGCAAATTTCTCATCATCAGCTGCCTCAGCTGCCTTGTTGGCCTGCCGAAGGCGCTGCACAGCTTCCGAGCCTTTCTGCGAGTTGAGGTCTGATACGACGGAGGGTTTCGGTCGAGGCTTAACTACCTGTGCCGGCTTCGGGGCTGGTTTAGGCTTAGGAGCAAGCGCTTTCTGACAGCGTTGTCGGCCAGCAATCGCGTTTGCACCGCCAACACCCGCCTCGACACATTGCTGCCAAACGTTCCCAGCATCCGTCCACTTCTCCATTTGCTCAAGAGCCTCGGCTTTTCGGCTGAGAGCTTTGCCGTATAGATCTTTCATTTCGCGTGTTTCGCCGTCAGGCAATGCGACTTTCTCGCCTTCGCCGTGAGAGGGCCCTATAATGCCGATCGCAGCATCTGCATCGCCAACAGCCTGTTTAGGACTCCCGGTTTTCAGTGCAGTGAGTGCGCGATTAGTAAGCAGAACGATGCAAATGGGATGTGACTGTGGTATGCCGGCCAGCGAATTTGTGTAACTTGTGTGCGCAGCGTCATAATCCCCCCTTTTAAAATGTGCTGTTCCTTCGAGACGGTGTCGTGTAGAAGCTTCTAAAGTTGATGAAGGGATAGCGGGAACATTTCGAGTGGGCGGGACTAGCCGTGGAGTGATGGGTTTTGAAGGGGCCCGCGTAGGCGGTTTAGTTGAAGGGGTTGATGACTGAGCAGCGCGCCGGGGTTGAGATTGAGAAGGTTGATCAGAAGGCTGGTCAAATAGTAGGGTTGGTTCGGATTCAGATGGTGGTGCGAGTTGAGGTGCTGCCTTTTTTCTCCTTGCAGGACTAACATACGCCTGTGCGCTTTGTTCCTCGATATCTTGCTTGTTTAAGCGCACACGGGGATCCCGGGAACTTGGTGGTGCTTCTTGCTGCCATTTGGGTACCCCTGGGGAATGCGTGCGCGGTCGAGTGGGTAAGGCCGGGGATTGGTCTCTCGATTCACTACGCAAACTTCGAGTAGGCCTGGACGGGTGTCTCTCTGGTCGCGCACCAGATTCTAGCATTAAAGCTTCGTCTGTGGTATTCTGAGACTCACGCTTTCCTGCATATGACTGATCTAAATGAGCTGAACGCATCCATTTTGGTTGACTAGGATCGCCGCCCTCTTGCTGGAAATCAGCAACTGCCTTTTGGACCTGCTTTTGTCCACTCTTCCAAAGGGAATTAGCCGTTTTGAAGAAACTGGAGCCTACTGCCGCGGCCCTTTTTGAGAAGTCATCCCCAGAAACAGGCGATCGATTATCTCTCCGTGAAGGAGGATCACCTGTATGGTCTCCACTCATCCACGCGGGGTTGCCATGATTTCTAGAACGGTTATCGTCCCTCCTAGTTCGTCCAGGAGCGGGTTCCGCAGGAGACTGGTTATTACGAGCTTGCCTATGTGCATCGTCCAGGAGCCACCCAACAGCTGCTTGGATACTTAAGCCTGCTCCGCTTTCCGTTAAACCTCGCCTTGCGTTCTCGGCTGTGAAACCCATATCAACCAATTCCGCAACCGCCTTGTCAAATGGGTCAGAACTAGCTCCCCTTGGAGGCATTTCGGGCTCGGAGTCCGAGTCCATGGCCTCGATAGGTCGACCTGGTTCTGGTTCTGGCTTTGGCTTTGGCTGGGTAGCTTGGGTTTTACGCCGTACCTCGTCAACGGGTTTCCCAAGATCTCCTAGGAAATCGTCATCTTCGTCGTCATTAACTAATAGTTGTTGCTGTGGTTGTTTCTTCATCTGGCTCAAGCCGAAGGGGTCATCGTCATCACCAAGCTCGCCTCCACTCAAAGCCGTAGGCTTATTCCACGCGCTAGCGCTAGTTAAGTCGAGCTGAGCGGTATTGGCTGGGGTACTTTTTCTAGATAATTGTTGCTCGGGTGGAGGAAAGTGGCTGGCATTGTCAACTTTTGTATCTCTATTGAATGCAGCAAAAAGGTCATCGTCATCGTTTTTTTCCTGTCCAATTTGACTCCCTATCCCGCTACCGACTAATGGTGATGGGATAGCCGGGGAAATGGTTCGGGACGCAGGCGTAGAGCTCTGCCCAATATTGTCCCAAAATTGACCGCCTCCATACTGAGATTGTAGTTTTCGTCTGTCCTCCTCTTCTTTTTGACGCCTTTGAGCTTCTAGTTGTTCTTGCCGCTCTCGGAGGCTTAAGTTGGCGTTGCTCTTGGCGCCTCCAAAGCTCACGAGACCACTAAAGCTATCGGCCGCTGGTTTGCCGGTTTGTGGTTTCAGGGCAGCGAAGCCGGAACCTTGGGTAGAGAGCGGCGTGGTTCGGCCGGAAGGCTGGGGGGATGGCGTCGGGCGTAGAGTGGAATAGAAAGAAGGTGGGTTCATGGGATTCATAGGGGAAGGCTTGTTGGCCTCTTTGTTCGGGTTGGTCGAAGACCAATTAAGGCCGGAGAGATCGTCCATGGTCGCGCAGAAGGAATGAAAATATGGTTATGTCAAGGACACCACATGATTAGGTTGCGATTAGGTTGCGCCTCTAACGGTCACGATGTTCACAGGAACTATCTGCATCAGCTGTCGCATTCGAATTGATCCAACGTCAATGGTTTGGTTAAAACGTGGCTGGTGCTTGGAGGTGGTGGATCACGAAGTGTGGCTGGTTATCTATTACATCTATGGATTATATTAGGTAATCAACATCGCACCTGCATTGGCACCTTTTTCTTAGGTAGGCACATGTAGATTCCCTTTCCTTACCTCACCTTACCCATTTGCACTTGCATAATATGTTAACCTAGGTAGGTAGTGTTATGATGAAATCTCGACTTCCTATAAAATCACGACTCTGCATAGTATACATTTATTGCAACTCTATAAATTACTGGTGCTATCCTAAAATCATTGGGTTGGCATTAGTATTAACCTGATAACATCGTGTTCTGTTGTTTCATATTAACTAATCTATACCTCTTAAGTACCTAGCTTAGGATTTGGTGTCGATCCCCCTTTTCCGCATTAGAAGCAAATTCAGCATGAAAGAAATACCCTTAAATTGAAGGGTTTCACGGTAAAATCGATAGCGTTAGAATATCTACGTGGTCCATGTGGCAGGTAAGGTCATGAAGGGGCACCTACCTGTATTAATGAACGATTTAACAACTGGCACTGAGATGATTATAAATATAATCACCTCTTACCTAGGTACAGATAGATACTGTTTAATAGGATTTGGAGAGAAAAGGAATATCCCTAAGATGTGATTGTAAGATTTTACGATCGTGATAAGTTGTGTTCCTAAACAGGTATTTAGGTACATTTATTTAGGTGTGTTCCATGTCGGCCGTTCCATGCTATGGAAGTTATGATACTTCCATACCCTTCTTCAGCTTTAATTGTGATGAGCTGAATAACATTGGCGAGAAGGACCAATAATAGTACGCGCCTTGTACTTGAAGAAATTCCGGCAGGTAGATCATTTCGTCATCTTTTACGTCCGTGACCTGGCAGCCTGGGGAAAGTATGATTAATACTACAGTTGACCGGATGTTTTGTGACTTTATCCGCCAAATCTTGCTTGCACCAATTACGGTTCAACTTGAATTTTGGGATTATGTTGAAGTTCTTAAATGTATTTCATAAGTACCGTCACGTAGTGTCGTATTACTGAAGACAATAAAATAAAGAATATATTCTTCGCTTGTATTGGCCATTTTAGCTTTGGCTAAGGAATTTTTAACCATGGTCCTAATCTGCATTCCCAACCGAGTAATCATTAGATCAAATATTCGCTTTGATTGGCTAACCTTATATGCTAGGGGCTGAAACTTGTTTCAGGAACCTGGATGTTCCCCTCTCTGTTCCTGCCCTGATTTGGCTTTAGATGTCTTTAGGTACAGAACAGGTACGTCGGATCGATGTCATTGGTGTACCCAATGAGCAATCGCCCAAGTAGAAAAGAAGAAAAAAAGAAAAAAAAAAAGGCATTTATCATAGTAAGTCATATTATATGTAGGTAGCTACATGTGTTCTTTGCAGTACTCTGAGGTCTTTGGGCTTATTGAAATGAATCATAGAGCACACCATATCACTCATCTTGTGCATTTGACTACTTGTATAAACGATGCAGATGTATTTATTTACTTCATAATATGATTGAGGCACAGGTCATTCCTAACGTGAAGCAAGAATCTTATTTGTATCTAGCAATGAGATTACAATCAGTAACCTTAATTATAGTATGTGGATAGACCATGAAGCTCGGATGAGCAATTAATGCGCATACTGCATTCACTATCAAGCAAGCACACGCCTCAAGGGGTTTTAATACTGTAATGAGAGATTTCCTAATAACATTACTAGCTACTCCGTACACAGAGAACAGACGCTATGGTGATTTAGGATTTAACAGACCGCCTATTATGAACTGTGGACGGCTTCGTGCAGACCCCAATAGCAATGTCTAAGCAAACACTCGGTAAAGACCTTTGGGTCTACTATTTTATTATCGAATTAGAGTTACGCCTTAGAAGAGAAAATAGGAATATCTATTTCACGAGGTGTAGTTATTTTTAGCCAAATCCATCTTGCTGTGCCGTTTTCTGCAATGTAGTTTTTTTCTATATCTATAAGTGCCCAAGTGCCCATTGATCTATAGTGTATATCAGATACGTGGGTATTGTACATCATTCGGCTGTAACCGCATTTTGGGCAGTCACTTGGGAAATTGGAGAAACGGGATCTGTACCTGCGTGGGACTGTCACCCCTTTGCTCTTGGCCCTGAATATATCCAGCCAATGAAGCGTTATTAAGAAAGAGCCCCTTGATGACATAGTGTATTATCAGTATGTAGGTACATACGCTTCGCCATCTGGCCTAGGTAATCTAGCTTCTCTGGTACTGGTAAAGCTGCTTAATCTTCTTTAGGTAGGAATGACGACCCTACAGGGTTTCCTGGAACCGAGCCTGTCGTTTTTGCCAAGACCAGCAAGAAAACCCTTTTTTGCGCAACCACGAGAACGTTACCTATCAAGTCGGCTTTCAGCAGCTTTTGGGAAATGCGCAGGACGAATATGATGCTACTGTATACGAAATAGGTGCAACCTAGGCAACATAGATGCAAATAACTGTGCGCATATGTGATTGTACAAGCCGTTGTGATCTGATATGTGTAGAAATGCTTACCTACATATGTACCTCCTAAGTAAAAGGAGGTGCACAAGGTACCTAATGGTAAGTGCGACTGGCCTCTCTATTTCCCTTTTTGGATGTATCTACGTACCCGATAGTACCTACCCCGTACTGTCTCACGATGCCCAACACCTCCTTATGCGCCAATCCCCACCTACCCTCCTGCTCCTTTACCCTTTGCCCTTTCTACGCGCCGCTATTTTCAATATCCCCCTTGCCTTCGCCGCCCTTCTTCTCGTCTTTCGCTCTGCTCCTCTTGGGACTTCACCCTCATCACCACCAAAGCATTTCGTTCATTATAACTCCCGACGGTTAACGTCAACCACGCTCTTTACCAACATTCACGGTAGTCTAGATCTCCATCTAGATTATTGACATCATCACACTCTTTTCTTGTGTTGATCGCATTCATTTCGACTCTGAAAAATCAAATCAAGCAAACATTTATTCCGTTTGGCATCGCGCGACCCTGAATTTGGAGGCGAAAAAAGGCATTTAGGTAGTCACCTTCGGAAACGGTCGTTATCTGCATCTGAATTACTCGATATCAACCCTCGGGTTCATTTCACGCCACTTGGCTTAGGTTACGCACAGGCCAATCAGACACTTACCGATTACAAGGGTTGAAGTTCTGATTGCTCTGGATAGCAAGTGTGTATTTGGCAGAAATAGCGAATTGGGGGACTCGAGGTGGAAGGAATTGGCGATAGCATCAGCAGCCTTGGGTGTGCCATTCGGGAATTCAGTATACTGCAGCAAAAGGGCGCCAGTTCTTGGGCCTCTCGCCAGTGAATTATCCGTATTGGCAACAACTAAACGTTGAGACTGAGCCGCCCCAGCAGTCACAGCTGAACTACTAAACTTACACTCGTCTGACCGTTTGCGCTTTGGTGCCTAGCGACCAACAAACCACTACATAAAGCAACGAGATTGTGAGCCGGCTACACTTTTTCTTGCAACCCGAAAAAAACCCCAAGAACAACTCTTGGTCAAATAACAACTTCACGCAGAACCTTTTAATCAAATCGACGAACCTCCTACTTTAAGTCGAATCTAACGATTGCAAAATGGCGTCCAAGGTTTTCTCTGCCTTCTTCCTCCTAAGCAGCTTTGGAGATGTGGCAGCTTTCTGGCGCATGGAGTGTCATGGCCGCACAGGTCTAGCTCGTATTGATCCAATTATGGATGCTGGCACGATATCTCCTCATATCCATACCGTCCACGGCTCTTCTGGTATGCTCCTACTATATTTACTACTGCGCCTACCTATCTGTCTTGCATGTTGGACTTGGTACATGTTTATTGACCACTCCTATAGGTTTTTCGCTCAGCGCTACTTACGATGAACTTATCCAGGGGAGCTGCAGCTCGTGTGCCGTGAAGCAAGACAAGTCGGCATATTGGACACCTGCGCTCTACTTTCAAGATAGCCAGACCAAGCAGTTTGAGATCGTTCCTCAGGTTGGAGGAATGCTTGCGTAAGTTCTAGTATTTTGTTTCATCGTTCTACCTGCTGCCACAAAGTCTGGTTATTTAGATTGTATTGTTTTATATATTTTGGGTGCATTATGTGGCGGGCTACCTACCCATTTCCTATCGACCAACCCCTTTATTGGTTACCTATTTTTCGTAATGCCGGGTGCCTAGTATTGAAGCTAATATGAAAAATAGGTACTATCTTCTGCGAGGAGATAACGTTACAGCTTTCCCGCCGGGATTCCAGATGGTCGCTGGAAGCAACTATCGACGAGACTATACTGTTGGGGATCCAAAGTCACCTGACCCCCCACAGTCTGACTGGGCTGCTCTCAAGCAAACTAGCCAGAATGACCTCGAGCAACGAGCAATCGGATACAATTGCATGAACTACAAGAAGGCACCCGAAGGTTCGCTGCTACGTCACTACTTACCTGACAAGAGTTTCCTCGACGCAAACTGCCCTGATGGTCTCCGCATCGAATTGATGTTCCCATCATGCTGGAACGGTGATATCACAGCTACGGACCACAAGAGCCATTTGGCCTACCCCAGCTTGGTTGGAAATGGTGACTGCCCCGATTCCCACCCGAAGCGATTAGTTACTCTATTCTACGAGACTATCTGGGATACCGGCAACAAACAGTTCAATGGCCGCAGTGGAGAATTTGTCGTTTCCAACGGTGACCCAACAGGTAAGCAGACAAACTCGAAGCTTGTATCATAAAATACTAATATGTTTAAAAGGATTTGGTTATCATGGCGATTTCATGACTGGCTGGGATGTTGAATTCTTGCAGGAAGCTATTGACACCTGCACGAACGAATCCGGCAACATCCGGGACTGCCAACTCTTTGTGAACAACGGGCCTCTCCAGACTGACGAGGAACAAAATTCTTGTGAATTCGATGTTCCGCCAATGCTAGCCCAGGAAGATGGTTCTGCTCGTAACCTTGCAAACCTCCCCGGTAATATCCAGATCCAGGCTGGCCCACAGTCTGCTACCCCCGGTGTCGGTAATGCCAATCCTATCATTTCCGCCGCAACTAGCTTACTTGGTGGTTTCTTTGGTGATGGCGCCTCGTCGTCTACAACGTCCTCTAGTATTCCAGCTGTTACCTCGTCCAGTGCATCCGCAGCAAGCACAAGCTCAATTGCTCCTGTCGAATCAGCTCCGGCATCTAAGAATTTCGGTGCCCTTGCAGTGCCGCCTGCCGAGACGCCCTCTTCGAGTACGCCTCCACCTCCCCCGCCAACGACTACCCCTGCCCCAGCAGTTACTTCAGACCCTGGTGTGTCATACGAAGTGGTTAGCACACAGACCATTACGCGCGGTTCCGAAGTCGAAGTTGTGATCTGGAAAGAGCCCGTTGTATATGTAACGGAGGAGTCCATGACGACCGTAACAGTTGCACCCCCGGCAGTGAAGCCACGAAGATTCTATGGTAGACATGCCTTACAGCACGCACACCATGCTCGCAGGACTTAAAAGATCAACCAAGCTGCGCGTTCTTTTATATTCGTTTCGGTGGAAATACTTGTTCGCCAATTAGGACCGGCGATGATTTTTTGCATCATGTTTCAGGGTCTGATCCGATTTCACCCAGAGACTTTTTTTTTTAAACACGTTGTGGAGGTTCCTTGTGGAAAAGCAGAACATATGCGATGAGTTAGAATGGAAGGCATTGATGCAAATACGATTGCATTAAATTTCACTACCCGATGCATACTTCATGCCTGACTGAAAAGTGATATTGCATATAGGGTTCATGTTTCGGCGTTCAGCGATCCGACTGTAGGGGGGCAGTGGGTCTAAATGGTCTGATTTGAAGCATACAAATTGGCGTATTGAAGGTACTCGTTGCATTTTCGGGATGCATCTCTTCTGGCAAGAGATCTTTTCAATGTCCCTTTGCCTTGAGTTTGATACCCATGGATGAGCCATCTCAAGACAATGAAATGAACCAGTCCACCATATGTGTTCTTGAGTAGTTCGTTCATCATGTTTTCGACATTGTGTCGCGTTTTCTATTGCAGTATTTTTGTAATTCCTGTCGCTTGAGTTTGGCTTGTGCAAGTAGCTTACCTAGATATATAGCTATTCTAGGTCTGGCAGTAGGATGAAATCAATCGCAGTCTATCTCAATCTTAAATTTGACCGTAATTAGCTGTAGAATGCATGCGTTATGACTAGTTATTATTCCGGCCCACGGCCAAATGTCTTTGTCTCATCAGCCAGGGATGAGTCGGCTTGGAATGCGACTTGCTCTCAACGGCCCACGCAACGCTCCTGGTGCTGATAGCAACGCATTCCAGCAGCAGATTTGGGACCCGAGATGACGCATTCTGAGATTATCTAGGCATTGCATGGCTCGTAAGTGTTTAGGGTTGGGTATGAGGATTTTGATTTGGCTGTTTTGTTTTATCATATGTTGACTTCGTCTTGAACCGCTTCTCCTCGCTGCCCGCTTGTGTGAATTTGTTCTCTCTGGTGACTACACTCTTCCGCGGATTCGTGAAGTATCTTCCATATCCATGTAGTGTCAATACGAAGTTTTATGCGTCTTACTAACCAAGCAGCCCATGAGTGAGCGAGGAAGGCGTTAGAAGAAGTACGAATGCGACCTAAAGGAAACCAGACATACTTTTAGGAAGTAAGTTTAGGCCTCACCTCGACCTTGGTATAAGAAATGTCTTCCTATATTAGAAGTCGAAATACCGCGTCGACTATAGCGGCACACTCGACCGGCGCCGAGATGGCTCTCTCTACAGGAGCCATAGCCGGCATCGCAGTCGGCGGGGCCGTGCTTCTCTTCGCAGCGCTGGCACCTTTGCTCATCAAACTTGCCAGGAAGCAAGATCAGCGTCGCGCGTCTACCTTCCCTGATGCTGCAGTAGAGTCCGGGGACACGACAACGAACGAAGCGGGCCCACGGCGACTACGCAAGAAGAGTTTTATCGGCGAGCAGGCGGCTGTCATGATGGATAAGGACGACGAGGTCGGGATGGAGGAGAGTAGGAGTAGACGCTCGAGTCTGAACGTCATATCTCCCGCTCGGACACGTCCGGGAAGCTTTTCTGGGGGGGACGGAAGCGCTAGGGGCAGCGTAGACACGCAGCAGGGACAAAAACCGCAGTCACAGGACAAGGAGCGCGGTTACGACATGTACCAGCACCGGCGCAAGACATCGTGGATCGACGAAGACGCGCTTCATGGTCCGACTATCACATCTCCGAAGAAGTCAAAACAGAAGCACAAGAGGAAAGTGAGCTGGTTCGACGGTGGTTTAGGCCGCTCCTTAAGTCGCCTCTCGACGAGGAGTGGTATAGGGGAAGTGAGCCCTACTCTGCCGTATACCGAGACGGGAACGGAAAAGCAGCTCGACACTCCTGCTGATAGTACCAATGAGCAGAGGATGAGCGGAACACCCCAGGATCCAAACTTCACCGGATACACAGCAACGCCACGTCAGAGCCAACATCAGCCTCAGGTATATACCAGTCCACAGAAGTCATACGGGCCCCCAAACGACCCAAGCCCCGGGTCCGCCTCTAACAGCCCTTCAAAGTCGCCGCCAGATATCATCCATAACCCACGATACCGCAACAGGGTTTCGTTCCAAGCCGCCCAACAACTAGCCGGCGGAGCGCGTCTGCCAGCTCCTATTAGTATTCCGCAGGGGCAGACGCTGAGACAGCCGGTATTAAGGCACAGCGCAACGGACACGGAACTAACGGAAATTCTGCGCATGACCGCAGAGAGACTACAAGACGGGCATAGGAGCGCGCGACGGCAGACTTTAATGGCTCCCCCATATACCCCTGCGAGGGTACTCAACAGAGGGATTTACGGTAATCAATATGGAGGATATATGGACTTCAGTTATGAGACTCGCGACCGAGGGGACGTTAGTCCCGTGAAGAGCCACAAGAGCGCCCCGGCAACACTGTCGTATGCAGAATTAGAAGGATCTACTCCAAAGCCACATCCATCTCAACGTCAGATACGGACTCCTGGACATTCGCGACAGCAATCCCATATATCTAGGATGTCGCAAGTCTCGATGTTATCGGAACCGGATAGCCTCGTTGCGCCTAAGAGGGAGTCGTGTCAAGACGTACGAACCGCTCTGTCCAGCCCGAGCCGGGCTAACAGGTCGGCAGAACCTAGTCCTAGCCCGCAAGGGAGTCAGCCGACTCGTCCATTTTCAAACGGCAGTACCTTGTCTTCCGCTTTATCAACACTATATAGCATGGAAGAAACATCTGTTCGTAGCCCGCCGGTCGACTCGAGATTGGAGGGCAGCGTAGAGAGGCGCGCCCCTGGCGAAGTTCTTTCCAATCACGAGGTGCTCTCCCCAAACAAAAACCCCGAGACAAACCCGGGGCGAAGTCCCAAGTCTCGCGTCAAGGAGGAAGAAGTACCTCCTCCATTACGAATTCGCCGAGGAACCTTAGGCATGGACACATCGCCTGCGCCTCGGTTGCCGTTGCAACAGAGCATACAAGCTAGCAGTATACCCAGGCGTAAACCATCGTTCACTCTCCCATCGTCAGACGAAAACGACGACGATCCATTCACTATGTCAACCCCGCCGCCGCAAAACGCCGCTCGTTTATCAAAGGTCTTCTCACCACTTCCAGCCGAACTACCCCGTAAACAGTCAGACGCGAAGCATCCCGCGCACAAAAGAACCATATCCCAAGAAAGCGCCTCTATCTCAACCCCAACCCCAACGCCCTCGCCCTCGCGTAGGCGAGTATTGCCCTCCCCCCGCTCCATACTCAACTCGCCCACCTTCGCGAACCGCCAACGTGCCCCCAGCCCGGTAGTCTCCGAAGCCGGGCTATCATCCGTATACGACAGCTACAACTACAGCTATAACGATTTCCAAGCCGACAACCCCGACGTCTCGCCCGAGAAGCTCGACCGGAATATATCCAACTCAGGCCGCTCCTCGCGCATCGGGTTCCGCATCCCGAACTACGGACAAGCCGAGGAGCCGCGGCAGTTCAACCACGAATCCGTAACGTGGGTTCCAGCATCGCCGGCGCCGCCGCGGCGCAGCATGCCCTCCGACGGATCCATATACTCGCAAGACGAAGACCAAGTCCCGCCACTGCGCGCGCAGACCATCAAGCGCAGCAAGACGGTGCGCATGTCAACCGCCATCACGGAGCTGCGGCGTATGAACAGCCAGATGAGCACCATGAGCGACATCAGCGTTGCCAGTTCGACGGTCGTAGGGATGCGAGGAGGTGGATTCAGTCCCGGGCGACAGAGCGGCGGTGTGAGGAATTATCTTGCGCTGGGAGGGGACCTAAAGCGTAGTAGTGGTGGTAGTAACAGATTCTCACAGTCGAGCGTGGGAAGCGGTACTATCATTCGCAACGCTAGTTCCAGTTCCAACACCAATGCGAAATACGGCAGTCCCTTACGACGGAGTGGCGCTGGGAGAAGCCGTCGGGGGACAGTGGTGGTGCAAGGGTTAGATGCTAAAAGGGGGGGTAGCATCGGAACAGACGCCGTGAAGCACGCCAGCCAGATCATGACGCATGCCACGAAGCTAAGCCGCGAAGAGGCGAAGGTCAAGCGGTCGAGCGTTGAAAGTTTGTACGACGCGAAGGGGTTCCTGAAGGGCTAGTTGTAAACGCCGCGGTTTTATACACCACGCTCTTGACGAGCGCAATATTTCCTCTGTCATGTAAACACAGTGTGCTGATATCTTTAACCTTCGTTGTATATTATATATATCCCGATATGTACCTGGGTTGGGTTAGGGGGTTCCAATATAGTAGTTATTTGAATTTCCAGAGCATCTATCCTTGACTCTTAGACACCGAGGATAACTATACATACTAGAGAAACATTAGGTACCTACCCTAGAGGATACCATAATAATTGGACTATTCAACTCTCTTAATGAACTACCGTAATCAGATCCAGTATTAAAGGGGTATCTATCTATCCTAGCCTTATTGCATGTTAATATTCTAGTTTTAATTGAGAACCAAATGAGTGGTAAAACTTACCAAGGTATGAAGCTTTGTTTAACATCGTAAACTACGAACGGACTGCATTAAATTATCACACATGTGCTCGGATGGTAGCACGAATCGTAAGTCGTCCCGAATACCAGGCAGCCCGAAAGTACATACTCGCGAGCTCGGTTGGGCGCTTGGTTTCCATGTACGGCTCGCTTATTCGGTTCGCGGACGTTTCGAGTCGGCACCATCGCCATTTTCCACTCCATCCATGGCATCCTGATCTACTTCGACATGTCCTCGGACGCGACCTGCACCATCTCCGAGTTCGCCGCTCACACCATTTCCCCCGATCCAATTACCGTCTTGATCGAAATATTGGTTGACATTATCGGCGGTAATCCAGCCGGAGCTTCCCGGCATTGGAGGCGGCAGACCACCGTTGAGGTCTCCCCTAAAGGCACCAGGTAGTCCCTCAATCGCATCTCCTTCCACATTGCCCTCGAACACGATGCGGTCGAATTCATTTCCATCATCCTCTTCATCTTCCTCCTCGTGGGGATCAGGGTGTAGATTTGAGCACGCCGAGACCTGGTTGAATAACGCAGTAGCACGCTCACTGTTCAAGGGGTCGATAATTGGGGTCTCCGTTTCAGATTGCTCTCTTGGTGATGCCTTGTACGGGATAAGCGTGAGCTCGATGGGGTCGGAGATTTCATCGTCCTCTCCACCCGAGTTCGAGAACTCGAGCTGCATGTAAACTCCGATGAATTTAGACGAAGCCTCATCCGGTTTCTCTACATGGCGGAAATTCTTGATGGCGTGGAGTGTGATGGCCGGGTAAGGAATCTCAATACCAGTTCCACTCTTGTGAGAGAAAAGTGTCAACTTGCTATGGGAGATGTCAGTAATACTCAGTTTTAAGATCTGGTAAAGGGATATTTACTTTGATGCAACGAATAACTCGACCTTCTCTTCGAATAAATGCTTTCCCCAGTTGTTCTCGAGCGCATAGCATTCTGGCGGACTAGGATTTAGGGGTGTGAGGCCGTCCTCGGAACCTTTTGAAAAGATATATAGAGCTTCATATTGCTCGTTCGAGACCCACGCCTTGACATGTTCGTCGTGATAATATAGGATGGGCTTCCCATCGAAGAAGGTATCTGGGGTTTGAGCTTGATATTCACTTAAGGGCTGAAAGTCGTTGTCTGCCGAAGGGCAAGTTCTAATTACGGTTGGAGGCAGCATGACTTATAGAATTCTCGCCGCGATTAAGGATAATAGAGGTTCTTATTCAATATCAGCCGCGTGTTATTGCGATACAACCCAAGTCAATATATGAAAACGTGAAACAGAAGTTTTTACTTGGGCGATCAAAGACGCGAAAGGTTATGGCGGTCTTGAATTATTATAAATTATTATTATTTGGTTTAATCGAGAAATTGGGGAATAGAGGGGCTTATCGCTTATCGATATCTCACGTCATACACGTCACGGCAGCTTCGATGCAGCTTCGATACTTCGATCTTACAACCAAACATATCCCTTATCCGTCAAGTCCAATTACCTACTTCCTAAGCTGGCAAACAGATAGTCTATTTAAACAATGGTCACAATGCGTGATGATCGTAAGTACCTCTTAACCCATTATCTCCATCATTTATTTCTACCAACCAACACTAACACTACCACTCACCCACCAGGCACACACCCCCTCCTAGCCCAAATCCCCCTAACCGTCTCCCCCTTCGTCTCGCTCCCCACCGCCGCCACACTCCCCTATACCTACAAGTCGATGCCGTCAACGCTGCCCCCTCCCGCGAGCGGCGTAACCGGCGCCGGCGCCAGCGACGCCAAAGTCAAGTACGTGGTCGCGCAGTCCGGGCACGCCGCCCACCCCGACGACATCATCGCGTCGTGCAAGGCGCTGCAGGCGCACCTCACGCGCATGCAAGAAGACTCGGAGCGCGTGCTGCGGGACCTGCAAACCCACATCCGCGAGCGCGAGCTCGCCGAGAAGCGCCGCGTCGCGCCGGGCTGGCTCGACAGCGACGCGCGTCTGCTGCAGCCCGAACGCAGTAATTACCCTGCCGAGGCCGAGATCGCAGGCCAGTTCGCGGAGATGAGCGTTGCGGACGGGGATGGCGGGGCTACGGCCGGGATTAGCGAGATGGCGGTTGATCAGGGCGAGGAGTTGGATCGCGCGTTTGGTGGTTTGAGGTGAGGTGAGGTGGGATAAGACAAGATGGATAGAAAGGGAGAGAAGACAGGTTAGGCGTTTATAAGCGAGGCTTCATGTCCTTGTACTGGGTGTTATGTTTTACCTCGTCTTTGCATCAAGGATCTTGGCATGGAGTTAGGGTATTCGGGGCATTAACCAATGATTAATAATTAATTATACTAAAATATTACTGTAGTAACCACAAATTAGAAGTTCAAGAACGTATGGTTATAAGGAAACGGTGTTTTCTGAAGTTATTTGACTTACTGATTCATTTGACAGTTTCTCACAGATAGCCATGTTTATGTCTACCAAGACTTGTCTCCAGTACAGCTATCAGGAGGTGGTCAAAAAGCACCTTCAGTATTTAACTTGGCAATCGATGGCTACATCGTATCATACCTACAACACTCGACGCGAGAAACGTGAGTTGCCGAAAAACCAGTGCACGTTCGTATTTGGCATCCTTCCGGTATCTTCAAGGCTCTTGACGGCCTCTACTACTTCGTTGTGTGCCTCCGAAACCTTGTGGAAGTTTTCATCGCTCATGTAGGCCTCTGCCACACCCGGACCATCCCACTGGAGAATATTTTTCGAGCCGGAATCTTTAATGACTTTGGCGTGTAGCTGATTCAGTAATACGGCATGAATAATCAGTAAGGAGACCTGGACAAAGAGTAGACTTGCTTCTTGGTGACAATTCCCACGGCTAAGTTGAAGCACATGCCGAACTGCCTCCAAATAGCTGTTTGTCTCTTCCTGTTGCGACTCTTCGGGCAAATGATCTCGGGGTTCCAGGCTGTAGAGGTATCTCATGACATGGTCGGCAACATACTGGCCTAGATCTGGAATATACCTGTTGACATGACAAATGATATGGTTTTGCTGGTAGGATGGTGGCTCAAATAGTTGGAGCATCTTAATAACCAATTCGGGATCAAGGTCTGTTTCAAAGACTTGAAGCTGACGCCGGGATGATGCGGTAAGTTGAGCTAAGCGCTAAATAGATTCATATACGTTAGAAAATATTTTGTATAAGCAAGGCAATTATATAGAATAGCGACTTACTTCAAGTACGTCAAGCTGTGCCTTGATATTTTGGACCATAGAAACCTTAAGATCAGTCCATTGGGTGTGATTCTCATCCTCTGCCACTATTTCTAGACTGAAATTGTCGAGAAATGGAAGAAAACGGTGTCCTTGATATACGACGTGCAAGCTTGACAGATCAACATCGCACGCAATTTTCGAATCCCCGAGAATAGCAATATCGTTCAGAAGAGCGTCTTTGAAACGACAGACATGTCGCATACGTAACAACGGCGCCGTTCGGTCACCATATCCGCGCGCTCTATCATAAATGCTCACCAGGCCGTAAGTAGGATATTGTAGCTCAATCTCGAGCCGGTTACGGTCTTGGCCGTGTAGACGGGGCACCAGGCTGGTTAGGTCAGGGATGGCCCGAAGCTGAGTGTAAATATGGACTGCACGATCGAATTGTAACTGATTGTCGAACCGGCGTGTAGTTATATTAATAGTTGTATTAAGTTGTTTATCCCGATGATGTCGATGATGGTGATGGCGATGATGTTGAATTCGGGGTCTAACTGGGAATGCTTCTTGCGCTTTGGTGATATGTTTAATTGCGATCTTTCTGATAAGAGGCGTTTCATGTCGCCTGACTTTGATATGACGAGAGATCATGACGTCGCTAAGTGGTCGACGTGATCGCCGGGGCGTTCGGTTATGCGGTAGATCCATGACTGGTGGTTGCAATATACCTACCTATATTAGGTGAACATACGCTATGGGAGATATCTTTTATTCTCTACTATGAATCATGAATAATGATGATTAACGACGTTGGCAAATATTTTGTAAGTGGGAAGCACATTGTTACCATGCCTACATGTTGCCTAACTAATGAAAATATCTTGAAAGTATGAAAATACCATACGAAATGCAAACTTAGTGGGTCAGTTTGTGTTGGTCATACCCAGACACCTACAGTGCATTTATCTATGTAAAACAGTATATGCAAACATTATATCGTCATCTGAAAAGCGTGCAAAGAGGTATGAAAATAAGATCGATGTATTAAAGAAGCTATGTCCTAAAAGCTAACAGTATCAATGTCTCATATTAAATATCATATGTTAAACCCTAGTTACTCCCATGCCTAGGTACTCATCATCTTTTTCTTCGGTTTCTTGTGTTTCTTGCCGTTCGTGTCCGTCGCTCGTCTCCGTTGCGTAATCGACCTGCAGAGACACTACCATATCTAATAGGGTATATGGCCCTTTTCGTCTGGAAACGAAGCCTTTCCTACAGAACGTCGTATAAAACTGTTCGGCATTCTTGTTTTTGGCGTATGCAAAGCCCTTTGTGCTGAACATAGGTCATCAAGTTATTAAGTCGTTCCGTTTTTTGGTTTAGTACTTAGTAGAGACTGGGGACTCTTGGTAAATTTTGCGGACGCGTTCCTCTCTGGGAGGGCCAAACATTTCCCCATATACGAACCACCCGATAAAATAGAGCATTACGGGGGAATACTTGGTACCCAAAGATATCACATATTTCCTCGGACACGGCTTAACCGGCCGGGGACGAGGTCTTTTCAAACCATCTCTATCTTGAACTTAGTACGGCGATGTGATAGTCTAATTTACTCTAGAGCTTAGTCTTAATCTACTCCCGAAATATTACAATGTAAGACTCTTCTAAAATACATATTATCATAGGCCCGGGGTATAACGGCGGGCCTTGACCATCCCATATACATACGGCCCAGGTTTTGTGCTCCTTCATATACTAAAGTGCGTGCCTCGAAACCGCCTGGGTCACTCTATAAGTCTGGGTCTCGATGCACTGGAGCCATCAAGATCCTCCTCTGCTTTCCTCTTCCCCCCGGCAGTCCTCGTTGTTCCAGCACCGTCCGCACCCCACGCATCTTCCAGGAGGACCAGCTCTTGGTACAGCTCTTTTCCTAATAGAGATCTCATGTACTCGCACTTGAACGATTCGAGTTCATTACTGAGGAGCAAAAGGCGACGTTGGTATTCCCTCATGTCCTCCTCGAACTCCTTTCCCAGCTTAGTTACAATCAATCCGTACGGCGCACGGCCTGTTCTAGTGCGGCAATGGAACCGATTTTTCGGTAGCTGGCTTTCAAGATGTTGTCGTTGTTTCGTAACCATGGTAAATTCGCGTTCTTCTTCTTTGCTATCCACAAGGAAGGAGTTAAGCTCCCTGCAGTCGTGGCAGTTTATATGACAGTTTATCGGCCTGTGCTTCCAACCCTGGGACTTTGTGGGACGCTTTGGCAACCCTCCGACGAAGATATCGCGGAAGAGAGTTACGAACATGTTCTTGACACATTCAAGAGGAGGGACCTTGTGTTTCTGTAGGACGGCCAATAGAGCTTCTAAGAAGCTCTTAACTGGACTGGAAGCAAATGAATTATTTTCTCTTAGTTCCAGGCTGGATTGACAGATATTAGTACAACTCATCTCGAGGAGTTTAGTGACCTCTTTGGATAACCCCATGTCTAGACCCAGGCTGATAACCTCTATAATCTTATGAAAACCTAAGGTGTTTTTACTGGGAGGTCTGGAGAGGTAGGGCTGAGGGGCTGAGAAATTTCTGGTGCGCAAAGCCAGCTTTTCTGTACTACTTTCTAGAATGCACCGGTACGCATCAGTAGCTCTCGCGAGTGTTTTGCGCTGGCGATTGTAATAGATATCCCGTAATATTGTATAAATGAGCTGGTTAGAACCTTTGCTCGACAGTATCGGCGCAAACCTAATTAATAAAAAAACAATGAATCAGTCCGTCATAATCTTGTATGCTTCAAATCACTGAACTTACCAGTTTGTCAACCACGCCAAGTCATTAGATTGTGAGAAGAGGAGGCAAATCAAGTAATCATGATCTTCCATGCCCAATATGTGCTTTGACTTGATCATTTTCCCCGTTATTGGTGTCCTCCAGCTTTGAAACGAAACTTTTAAATCATCGTCTTGTATCAAAGCATCTAGGCGATTCAATACATCAGCTAGGATTACCAGGGAAATCTTATTAGGTCCATAAAACGCGTCGCCGAGCCTAGAGTAATTAGATCAAAGTCATCGAGATCACGGGAAATATCGACTTACCAAAAATCCCAGTCCGGCTGTTTCTGAGTGTCCTTGAGATAATCATCTTTCATGAGCTGGACTATTGTCTCTAATACTAACTGTCGAGAAGTCGAGTCCTTCAGTGCAGTACGAACAGCTACCTGGTACAGTGACTTTTTTTGCAACTTGATAGCTAGGTTGATCACGTTGGACAATAACGTGCCATCAGGCGACCCGTAGAGAATGGCATTTTCCAAATTTGTCAGCAGGGAGGCCTGGAGACGACGATCGTCCGGCCGGTGTTCTAAAGTATGGCTGGCCAGGCTCAATGCAATACGTGGGTCGGGCTTGGGAAGAAACGAGGGCATAGTGCTCATAGGCACTATAACAACGACCTAAATTAAGTTAACATAGGAGCCTTAAGACAAAGATTAGGCTATGGCGAACTTACAGTGTCATGGTAACGGAGTGTCGACGGCATGCTTTCATTTCCAGTAAACTCACCTTCATCTTCACTGTCGGGGTCTCGGTCCCATAGGTCTGACCCTAGGATATCCTCATCCTCCAAGTATATGTTATTGCAAACAATCGATCCATCACAAGCCCTCACGTCTTCCAGCTCTGTTGACTCTTCATCCTCATAAAACTCGTACGCATCGCCGCTCTGCGTTCGGGTCATCTTGGCAAGAAAAATGGTGAAGCCGCAGCTTAGGCCAACTTCGTACAAACTTTGACATATGGCTCTGTCCCGACCTTTAAGATTGCTCAGCTTCAGGCTCGACTGGGTATATTGGTGGTCAAGCATATAAACTAGCTTCTCCCTGAACGGCAGCTTTGATTGCCACTTAACTAGCACCGAACGGAGACGCTCTGATTGCTTTCCGACCAGTCCAGCAGACATGTGCTTGTGGCCCGTATGGATGATGTTATATGTCAACACTAAGCGGTATCCGGACTTCAAGGGTTTAATCTCGTGCGTAACATCAGAGAACCACGAGAGGCTCGTTAGGCCGAAGTCAGAAGTCTTGTCTGTTTCGAAGACGTAGCTCTTACCAGCATGAGACAGGTGAACGCTACCGCCATCATGTTTCGAAGGAAGGCAAATGACCATCGTTCCGATCATTCCTGGGACCTTTTCCGAGTCTTTATGACGTTTGAAGAAAGAGCCTTCTTCATATAGAAGCAGCTTATAAGGCTCAGCTCTCACCTCTGACATGGCCAAACTTTGTGCAGCATCGTCTAATAGAGAGGCAACATAGGCTTGCCAAGCAGGATTCGCAAGCGTGAATTGAGTATGGTCAAGTTCCCATGTCTTTCGTACCGAAGCATCAACCACCGTCTACAGCAGCATACGTTAACTGCCTGATCATGTAACTATTCAGGGATTTTCGACTTGAGGTTATTCCTTTCCCTTAGGGTAGAAAGGAAACAATAAAAAAAGACTCTAATCTTTTATAAAGAGCAGAAGTCACAGGGGTTACATCCAAACTACATACCTCGTCACCTTTGCCAAATGGAGCTTCTCTAGATACACTCTTAATCGTCTCGGCATCGCGAGGTACTAATGGTAATGGTATAAGAGTGTCAGCAATCGTCAAGCCAGGGTTGGCAAATTGCTCGTGCTGTTTAGATACAGCGACACGGCCAGCGGTTTGGATGTTATCAAGACATCTTAGTAGATCTTTCTTTATCTCGTTTAGACTATCCTCCTCGGATATGGAATCCATGTCATCCTCGTCATTTCCGGAGGAGCTATCGGATATTTCTATCGGGACTTCAGAATATCTATTCATATTGAGATTTGTTGAAAGACTCGGTCTTTCAATTAGAATCAAGTTATCTGATACTAGAATATTTCAAGAGGTATGAGATAGCAGACGCGAACAATAGTATTTAAGACGCGTCTCGAACCGTGCACAGCGTAAGAACCGCTTATTGGTCGAGCGGCTTATAGCGCAGAGTGAAGGAGCGAGAGGCATAGCGTATGTACCATTCAAAAAACATGGATTGGCTCATAGCACCGATACGTATGAATTTGGTGAGCTTCACAATTTTCACTAACATTTGGGAGCGGCTTATACCTGGGAGCCGTATGTATACTGTATATATACGGCTACCGCAACCCCCCATCTGACGCTAAGGTATGTATGTACGGATGACCCTTTCAAAAGTTTTGTCCATAGGGCGGCCCTGTCAGGTTCGACACGCACAGACTACTTTTCGCGATAGTGAACAGGAGTTGGTATCTCCTGCAGAGTATGGCATATCATTTCAACGTCTAGATTTTCGTGAAAGGCCTTAAACAGTTGATGATAGCATTATATTCTGAAAGAATTGTAAGGATTTACTGATTGGATAGGATATATAAGATAAATACGCAAGATAGGGCTATAAGCTGTAAATATGGGAAAATAACGAATGTGTTTATATTGAATGTATAATTGAATGGTGATGATCGTAGCTATTTGATTAGAAGAATACGACGAATATTAAACTTTTATATGGCCTATGACTTAAGATTACATAATAATACCCTTGCTCTTGGCAATGTGGCACCACACCAGTTCAATAGCTGCTCACCTATTAAAAACATGTATTATATTTTACCTTATTTTTTTTCAACCAAAATATTTCTTTTTAAAAACATTTATAAATATTTAAAGTATAAAAGTATTATTTTATATATACATCTACCTTTAAACTGCCAAATGTTAGCAAATTATGGTCTGTGCGTGTCGGGCTTGACAAGGCCGCCTTGTGGATAAAACTTTTAAAAGGGTCATCCGAACAAGTCTGGTAGGGTGTAAATCTTCGCTTGCTTCAGAGTAACCCGACCAACTGGGATGACATCCGACTCCGCATTGGCTCTCTGATGATAAAAAAAAGTTGCCTTTCAGAATGCCGTCAAAAAAAAACTACACGCTACAGTTCATTTTGTTGCTGGGCTGCCTATGTAAACCGTCTATATATACTTGATTCAATCCCCCTTCCTCGTGCTCTCCTCATATTCTGTGAATAATCAGCAAGCGAATCGGTAAGCGAATTTTATTTTCCTAACGCTGAAGGCATTCTTATCTCTACCCTTCAATATGACTTCTGACATCGACATGGGGCTATTCACACTGTGGGGTCTTGATCTACACGCGGTTTTGACCCTACAAAACTTGATGATTGGACCCCCGGAGATCTGCGCTAACAAGATCCAGCATCTAACCCAGAATATCGGGTATGTTTTCTATTACTCTGGCTAACACTTACACGAGGATATATGGGTTTCCGAAGGATGAGGGTGATTTTGAGCCACGTGGACAGCTATGTGAGACTCACACTCCTATACATTACAATCCGTCGCTGAAGATGATCGAACACTTTGGAGATACCCTACCAGGTACATAAGATGAAATCCCCGGTATCAAGTAATGTTGACTGAATCGTGCTAATACTGCAATAGGAAACTCGGGAAGTCCGGTGATTAACTCCTCAGGGAACATCGTCGCTGTGCACTTTGGTTCGGATTTCGTAGACGGCAGGACGGTTAACCTTGCGGTAGTAATTGAACGTAATGGAAATAACATTACGGCCCTCCGCCAAGCCCCTAATAATATGTTGACAAGTTCGGGCTCCTCTCCACGCCGCCATCAGCAAAACATCAATGCCCAACAGTTTATGGAAATCAGGGGTGCCGGGGGTCTTATCTTCGCCTGGTAATGCAGTGACAGGGGTAAGTGAATATGAAAATATGGTTACGTGCCATACGATTATTATAAATGTGGCGTCTGGATTGTTGGAAAACTCGGACGGTATGGTTTTGGGTAGATATTATTTATAACTCATAACGCTGTGCATGTTGCATTAGATATAAACCAGTCTTCAATGGTTTAGGTACCTGTAGGAAGACCAGGGGGTAAATGATTAGGTAAGGATTAGGTGTACACCAATAAGAGTACGTTGAAAGGAAAGGAAACACACGGTACTGAAATGAGGCTATCACGATCTGTTGTTGTCTATGGTTCAGTTGTGTGTGTGTGGGTTAGCCTAAAAGGTAAACCCTTTTAGGCTTAGCCCCACGCACGTGGTGGCACGTGACTAGATTACATAATTGGCTATTCCCCATATTCCAACAGTACCTACCCATTGGGCGTAAATACCTAAACATGGTCTCATATGCATCTTAACTCGTGCCCCAATTGCCAATGCCCCTCCTATCAAATACGTCCACTTCCCTAGTGCCATGGTATCGATTTATCGAAGCTATAGCAATTTAAGGTCTCTGGCTGTTTATAGAGGCAACCTCGGGTTGGTTCTTTGAAGCGGCAGCTATTGCTTCATTGTCAAGCGTCTGGGTCTTGCGTCTCCGGAGGAGTACAAATGCAATAACGCCCACAATAGCAAGAGAAGCCACAATTACGCCAACGGCAATGCCTGCCTTTGCGCCACCTGATAGACCATCGCCGGATGAGCTCGAGCTAGGGGCCAAGTTTGCGTCAGATACAGCATTTGTCGCACTTGGTGCTGGGGTAGAAGTGGAAGATGAATCGCCGGATTCGAAGTCTGTTGATGTTACGTTGAAGCAAGGAGGTTGAATCTCCATGTCTTTAGGCTCGACGAAGGTCTATGGAAGATGTTAGAGGGTATGCTTCATATATAATTATGGGTGTTGTTGGTATCATACAATGTCAGCGCAAGCGTAGAAGGTCTGATTTCTACCATTGAGCTCATTGTCAACGTTCGACCAATATTCCAACTGTATTGTGGCATTGGTTCCCGCGGCTACAGTATTTGGGATATCGGCAATCTTGTAGCATTGGTGGCCAGGCTCAATCTCCGTGACATCGCTAACAACTTGCTGACTGAACTGGCTCTGGATAGTAGGTGCTGGGGTATTGTCAGTGTTGAACTGCACGATATACACGGTAGCACTAACTATTGTCATATGCGATGGAGAAGTTGACATTCCAGGCATCGTCAGCGATTGATAGGGCAACAGTTCCCTGAGCTAAACGGAGACGAAGTTAGCTCAATATATACTTGCCCATGCCATTGCTAAAGATACTCACTGAGTGGGAATGCAGTTCTATTAGTTACACCGCTGGGGCTTCCGCAAGGCCCTACGTTGTCGGTTGAAGCGCTCCATGGTCTGTCATCAGGCCAGAGGAAAGCAACGGGGCCCATGACACTACTTTCGAGGCCCTCGCCGTGAGCCTCTCCATCGCCGGCGACGAGCTGGCTCCCAGCCAGTGCGACAATATAGGACAACTGACTGAACCTCATATTGAATAGATAATATACCACAAGGAGCTACCTCTGAGATTGTTATAATGATATCGTGGATGCTTGCCTGTATAGCTACGGAGAGGCGGTTGTGACTGAGGGAGCGTTTTGAAGGATGAAGACAGGCGCAGAACGATCTTATAAGTATTCATCGTGCAACCCGTGGGAAGTTCATTTAGGTCATATAGCCGGCACCTTTTCACAAGCCAATCACTTCATTGCCAAGCTCGATTCCCACCATCAAGTTGTTAATGGACACGCACAGTCATCTGTCCGAGATAAGCCGACCCAAGACGTCGTTAGATTCTATAGCCTGCATCTACATAAGTGGCAACCCTGGGCAACGCTTTCTTGCCCAGGGATATACTAGTTAGCTAGTGAAGAATAGGCATCTCGGATTTATCGACGTACTCACGCCGTCTGCGTCTACTATAGGATTTTCTCGTAACAATACTCGAATACAAACTAGTTCGTACGAGAAACTAACATGTCAGGTCGGGGTGTGATACAATTGGCCTAGCCAGCTTTAGGCCCCGGTCACGATCGAGCTAACACTCGGTGATTCCACGCTCCAAAGAGTGGGACAAGCCGGCCTCTTGGAATCCAATTGGCCGAGCAACCACCGTAGGCGGCTACCGAAGACTTACATGTCCCCTGCGAGATGTAAAGATATAGGGACGGCGATGATCCGATGACGGCAGAGTAGTTGGTGGTATGAAAGCTATCATCTAGGTTAGGAAGGTCTCACAAAGGCTCATTTATTTTCCTTCGTGGTAAATAGTAGATGACCTAATTCCACGCGGTTGGACTGCCCATGCTGTATCAGGAACCATGTGTGTGGGTATTGGAACTCTCTGGCTGCCGAAATTATCCATTACTTCTCTTCGTTACTTACCCAAAGACATACCTACGTCTTAGATTAACAGCACGCATTATTTTCTTCGCTCATACTCTAGCTGCAGAACTTATTGTTGAAATACTTCAAGAACGTCAACATATAAGTCATAGCTTTGACGATCACGGTGTATGCCATGTACTAAATAATGATGACAGTAGCAACCAACCCAGAATCATCGCACAGGCATCATAAGGGTCAGCTAAGTATGCTTGCCAAGTAACAAGTAACAGGATATCCTACGGCTAGCAACGTAGTAACTAAGTCCACCTCGCTCGCCATCACCATCTATGTAGTAGTGGTCGCCTGAACCATGTGGGGACGAGTCTATTAATCTAGCTAGCCCAAGTATGGATAGTATGAGACCAGGAGAAAATAAACGAATCAGACCTGCAGGTTGACACTCTGACAGGACAGACTTGGGTGGCTAGATGGAGTGGGTGGTATGATTTCTTACGAATCCTCAGATCGCGAGTCACCCCAGCTCTCCTGCAGCCGAGCCTTTAAAAACAGGTTACTCGAATCGAAGGGTGGGAGGTAACGCTGCAACTTTAAGTACCTAGTTGGCACGGGCATACGGCTGCAGTAAAATCTAAGAGCATAATAGCATAAATCTGGCTTACACCTACCTAGAGTATAGGATCTACGTATATAACATCATATTGTATACCTATCTCAGTAAAATCATATAAAAGGCTAATTGGGACATAATATAGAAATTCCAAAGTCGTAGAGCTTCTTCACCGTTTATTCTTTCTAGCTGATTTGTTTATCTGATGGCGCTAAGAGGAGATCCCCTTGCTTAACCCTTGCTAGTTTGTTCTTGGGTTGCAACGGATCCGACTCCATGGCGGAGAAGACCCCACAAGGGGTGGCACTCCATCTAATCTTATCAATCTAATCAGATCGAAGGTCCAATACGGGGCCAGAACTTCATTATTTTCGTAATGGGTTCCAAAGAGGTTTAGTAGTAGATGACGGGGGGAGAAATCTCATGACCCGACTATTCCGTAATATGGGGACATCGAGTGACGATATTTAACGACTTGGCTGATATTATAGTTAATTTGCCTTGGTTGTAAGCCACAGGTATCATAGACAAATGAAAATGGAATAGGGCCAAATATCAATCCTCGGTTCGACAGTTAACCTAATTATCCATCCTAAAGTAAAGGTTATCCCGCATGTAATGACACGTGCATACTATTGTATAGGTCATCATGCCTCGGAAACCTTCTCTTGGAAAGTCTATGTACCAGGCCTAGTATCAGGCCTGGTTTATAGCCGGAATATGGATTCCTTTACGAAAGCAATTCTCAAAACAGGACGAACTTCTCAAAGCAGTGACTCGATTCTGCTTGGAATACCTATAACCCAATCTCCGAGCATCGGCTGCTTTCATACCATTCGTCCACGGATCCTAGCCAACGTTCGGTGAAACCCCTTGCTTTAGCTGAATATTTGCATGCATTTCCCCGGTTACCTTCTTTTAAGCTTACTTGTATCCAAGATGCGTAACTATAAGACGATGGGAGCCGCTGTCACCCTCCACTTTGAATTTACTTGTTTCCACATCGACTTCCTCCTATAGCCGAACACTTCGAAATAAGCCGCTCGTTCTAGTTTATCATCACGTTCGTTCTTTTGGACATATAGCTATCAAGATGATTGTAGCTCGCTGGACTTTCGGGGCAATCCTCGCTGCCACTGCAGCCTCCGCATCGGCGGACGAGCTACAGTTCTTTGCTCGTCTGCTCAAGCGTCAGGACCCTGAGTCTCCTTCCTACTACTGCCACGATAACTGTGGTAAGTATCATATCTTCGGTGACTACCGGAAGAGATGAACTGATACTAATATTCTTCAATCTAGGCCAAGCCATCATCCAGGGAAGAAGCAGCAAGGATGTATGCCATGACGATATCTTCCTGACCGACTACAAGGCCTGCTTGCAGTGCGCCGGTCCCGACAACGAGGACATCTGGCAGTACTACGGGAATACCCTAACAAAGAGCGCAAGTTCATGCGGTCTATCAACGTCGCCTCTCTCCGGTGATCAACCCGATGTGGGGCCGGCGGTTCCCGCCGGGTCTTCCGGTACGACAAGCGCATCGGAGTCTCCTTCACCTACATCCGCGACCGAGACCTCTGAGACCGAGGCGCCGACTCCTACCGAGACTCCTACTGAAACCCCTACTGAGACCCCTACCGAAGCACCAACCACTACAGAATCCTCGACAGAGACATCCACTGTTAGTTCCAGCACCCAGGAAACAACCCCAACCGATTCGACATCCGCTTCTTCTTCGGAGCGCCACACTGTGACAGTCACCGAATCATCATCAGCGACGAGCGCGTCCGAGGCAAAAGCAACCACGGATGCTTCGGCGGGTACCAGCAGCGGAAGCGACAGCGGATACGGAAATGGAACAGCGCCTACAGTCAGTCTTCCCTCCTAATCAAAAGAAACGACTTTTAGCTAATTGACAACTAGTCATCTGGAGTTGCCGTAGCTGGTAATTCTGCCAATGTCCTCTCCGGCAGTGCTGTTGGTTTCTACGGCGCGCTGGCGCTTGGTGCTCTGTATGCCGTCGCGCAGTAGATGTGACTTTTCAGGGTCATGGTGCGCTGTATGCCTGTGTGTGTAAGATATAATATAGGGAGATATTCACATACTTAATACATATTGCACTACTTAATCAAGAATTCATATATTCGCAGTCTCGTCTCTATTAATGCTATTAGATGCTAGAAGGCCATATACTCTAAGGAGACATATGTTGAGTGAAGATACTCGGATAGGGGTTGGGGCGTTTTGCATAGTTATAAACAAGTCTGATGAAAAATTTATGAATAAAACAGAAGCTATCAACTACTTATTTCGCTACTTATAGAAGACACCACAGATCCCATGGCAAATGAGAAGAAAATAATCGGAATACATTCCCGAAGCTCTAGCAGAAATCTCCTCGTTCAATACCGCATGTGACATGGGGGAACTCGACAGCCTCTTATCATGGCTGAATGTCGCAGTCGTAGTAACCATTTATTTTACTACTTTTACGTTATACCATTTATCTCTGACCTGCTTTACGGCGATCTGCATATACCTAAGGGCATGCCAGTGGGGAGACAGGTACCTTTTTAATGCATACAGGTGAGAACTGTCCTTATGTCGGCCGAGGTGTATCTTGTAGCGACCAGTTCCCTACTAGAACTTATGGCAAGGGGGTTTTGAAAGCTTTGTTCAACATCTCTCGAGATTGAAAGTACCTACACTAGAGAATCTTCATCATGACCTTACACACCTCATTAATAATTCTTACTTTACTCCTTGGAAAGAGGCAGTCGGGAGCATTGCCAATTTAAAGCTTTTTTTTTTTTTTTGAATCAGGCATTTATGGTCCTTCATGCTCATCCAATAGCTTCGTAGGAACATATTCTTCAGTATGTAACTTTATGTGTTATTACGCATTTGATGAGAGCAAGTTTCGGGCTTGAAGTTCGGCATACCTACGACATGTCACCATCCCCATAGGGAAAACATCATATAGCCAAAATTATTCACGTATAGATACTGCATATGTATTACTCTGATATGCAATCAAAATCTTTAGGTTTTATATATAAACTTTAGGATTTTGAACGAGGACGCGTCCCGCTCAGTATAAGCACAGACCTTCAAAACGTCATGCTAGAGTTCTTAGGGAATGTGAAAACCTAAGTAGAGGCGGAACTCGTAGCTTAGCATGCAGATATAACAGAGACGTTGGATTCATTCAGGTCATAACTAACACTATATACATGGCGTCGTGTACCAAATATCATCACCCTTCCCCCTTTCTTCGCGAAATTCTGGCGGTATATTACATGATCCCGCAGATAAGTTTCCCCCTCGCTCCGGGTATCAATTTATTCGTAGTACCGGTACATCGACGGCGAAGGAGGCGAACGTCGACGAAAAATCTCGTCATTCTCGCTGTCGGACGGAGGCTGAGAATCCTGCTGATGTGAGCTAAATGACTGGATCCAGTACACAAGGTTGCCTAATTCGCCAGTCCAGAGCAGACCAAGGAAAATAACGACAACGGTCACGGGCACGGATGTAGCCCAGTAGGCCCACTGATCAAGATCCATGTCGCGCACGTCGCGCGTATTCATACCGAATATACTCGCTACAGCACTAAGAGGTAAGAAGATTATGGTCACAATGGTGAAAGCGTATATAGCATTATCGTGGCGGTCTTTGGTGGTATCGATCTTGTTACGATTCTGTAGCAAGACGACTTCAGCAAAACGGTGCAGTATAGGAAGGTCAGGCAGATAAGGGCGAGGCGCACCGTTCTCTTAAGGGAGAATACTCGGTATTTGAGGTTATTGAATTCATCTTTACGTCCATCTAGGAGCCAGCAGCATTCGTTCAGAAACAGGATACGGTAGCCGCCTTGATCCGTCGACGCCAGCTTGAAATCAGTCGGTAGATCCTCCGCATCATAGATTAAGACCGGGTCGTAATAACGCTGGGTTTCGTGGATGTACCCGGGAGCTGCGGTTTCGTAGGAGTCGTGATTCCGCGGAGTTCTGGAGGTGACCCGGTCGTAATAACGTCGTAACTTAGATCTAGACCTCGTCTGCTGCGAGCGCCTGCTGGGCCTCTGAGTATAGTATCCTTCAGAACTTTCTTTGGGTCGGTAGGTTGGATCAGATTCGTAAGCTTGCATGGAATAATTCTCGCGGTTTGGCTCGAACAGCCTCTCACCTCGGCTCATCTCTTGCGTGAAGCTTCGCAGTGACTGGAAAACGGATTCTTGAGCCACGACAACTCGATCTATAGCCGATATCTCTTCCTCTAGGCGGCTAAGGTGATACTCCAGAGATCGGTCCGAGGGTTTGGATGCGATATCTACCTCCTATATACATTACTAGGTCAACTTTGAAGTTTGAAAATTCTAGCCTCATACCTAACTTACTATTATGTCGAGACAATCGGAATAGTGCTCGTTAATGTTCGGTGTCCCCACGGTAACGCCTTGCAGTAGTTTCATACATAGTAGGGACAGAAGTTCCAGTGGCAAAACAACAGAGTTATCTAATAGTGGCCTTTTCGATAACAAGCGAACCATAGTCACCATACCTCTATAGATGAGAAATCGAGCACCGTCGAGGAGGTGGCTGGCCTTGTCGTAATCCGTGAGTAGATATATGAGTCCTATAAGGAGGTGGATCCATCCCTCGAAGATCTCCTTAGGAACCATGATTTTGGCCTGCTCCTGTCTTCCTGATTGAGTGAAGATCTCGTTGAATGTCCTCAAGTCAACGCAAAGGTCTCGTAGTTTGCGCCGTATCTTCGAAGTAGACTTATATGTGTTAGTTCTACTGTCCTAGGTCAAATTAGATTTTGCAGATCCACGATCGACAAGATCTTACTCGACTCACAATGACGATAAATTTCAATGCACCCCAAAACTTTCGAATTGTCGGCACCTCTACATTGGGCGGGAAGAAAAAATTCAAAATCGCGTTAGCCGCATTGAAGATGTCCAGTCGTTCTTCGTAATCATGTTGCCTTTCGTGCTGACCGTCAGTCGGCTTTGAGAGTTCAACTCCTTCTTGTTCGAGATCGCCGTAGATTTCATCGTAGGTAGCTTCATGACACGTACTGTAAGCACGGCGATCGCTGAAACTTGTCCTGGAAAGTAAGTAGTCATCTACCTCTTCCAGATGGTTGTAAAGGGCTTCCTCATCGATAGCATCGGAGCCAGGGTGAATAACGCCGGCGAGGCAAGAGAATATGTGCAGCATAGACTCGGCCATTGACTCTGGATTTTCTGGCATAGTCCTACCTTTCAAACCTAGCGGGGACTTTTCGGATGCTATATTGCTCGGCCCCGGCATATCCTCTGCTTCTAATCTAGAGGATGTGGCTCCCTTCTCACCTTGAATGGTCATCTTAAACGAGTGAAGCGTGGTTTCAAAAATATCCGTGTCGTCACTCCGGAGGATAGCCGCTACGTGCTAAGAAGTACCCGTAGATAAAGGTCACCTCCCTGTTAATTCTGAACCATTAGAATAGCTAAAGCTACTACTATAAATCAATATCAACATTGAAAGAAAAACGACCTACGCTATCGGCACTAGTTCTATCGTGTGATAGGGTTCTACCTGGCCATTAGACTAAGTTTGTTCGAGAAATATATGACATGTCGCCATTCAAGGATTAGGACCTGGGCTTTTAGGGATGACTACAGAATAAAATGACTCTGTAAGGCAGACGAACAAGGCCTATGTATACGCTCTTTCAAAGACTGGCAGAAAATAGCCTCCCAGTTAATCGACCATTATTACCAGCTATTACTGTCAGAGATACCCCTTGATTGATGTCATACGTAGAGTGAATGTTAGAAGCAGCAGCGAAGCTGCTGTATAGTAGCCGTGTAGTAGTATGAATCTATTAACGCTTAACCTTTTATCCTCTTACAAAGGCGCTTCGCGCCCCTTATATATCTGTTCTATGTAGATCTATATCTAATTCATACTAGCTTCACTTGTCTCCTAACGATTACCTACTATTACTATCAATATTATTATATCATTTACAAGATATATTAGGACCTAGTTTAGGGTAATATTAGTACGGAGAGTGTACCGTAGCAATGCCTATATATCGGAACTATTGACTCCCTATATAAACTGTGACAAGGACAGTCAGAAATTTCTGTTTACTAGGTATGTCTACGGTCCCCCTATACCAATCTAATCTTTATAAAATTTTGCAGGGCCCTCTTATTGACATAATACTAGTAGTTTTAAGCTTAACTACCTAGGTATCTTAGCAGTCTTATATAGTGAGTATTAACTAACTCGAAGTAAGGCAAAATGGAACCTAGCGTTCGGAGTAGTATAAGTAAAGTCTCCTGGGCTCTTGGCGGCTCTACCCGAAGAAAACAATTATCAAGCCCCATTATAAAAGGTGCTCAGAAAGGAGGTCGGATTTTAACCATGCAGTTTAAAGAAGGTAAAATTTAACGATTCAGTAAATATACTTATTCTATACTATCTAGTTAGTGGTTAGTAAATCTTCTTAAGTAACTCTAAGGTAGCTATGAAAGCTCGTGGCTATACATACCGAACATATTCTTTATTCTAGATATCTCATCTGGAATCCTAATAGACATGGCATTCCTTGAAGTAGTAAATTATTATTCTATTTGGCAATATTTTTCTTGGGGAGGGGGGAGATGCATTAACTGCCTAAGTATTGGGTACCCTTTCCTCGCTGAGCCTTGATGATATTCAGACTCATAACATACGGCCTCTGGGCCCAATATACACACAAGTTAACTTAACCACGGGTCTACCTGGCAGCTATACATATCTGAGAGGCGGATATATATACCTATATACGAACAACCCGTAGGACGTAGCCCAGCTTGAAACTACGTTATAGATATGCCCCGGGTTGGATAGTTGAAGAGTATCGGTGTAGGTAGGCCAGTAGAAGTCATAATTATGGTCCCCGAATGAGTTGGCCAAAGCGACTTAGTTCGCCGACCAACTTCTACGTAATACATCCCCTTAGAAAATCCATAGTCACCGCATATTGTCGTAGTTCGAGAAGCACGGAACGACTACGCGGCGGCAGTTGGTGACGCCTTGCTGCACGTCGATCTGAATTTAGCCAATATCCAGTTGAATATAAGCGGTGTTACTCAATGAAGATCAGATATAGAGTCTGAAGCATTCAAACCTCTGAACAACACTGTCTCGACATACAATAACGAGTTCTCGACTGGTTCGGACGAACCGGGACCATTCCTGTGCATGGATATAATGCCAGAAATCAGATAGGCTATTGGATATATTCAAATCTGTAGACGCACATGGACCTGTCGTGTGTGCAAAATTCTTAACAAGGTTCGAATTGGAGTAAGTTACTAATACTAAGACAACTATGCTATTTTTGGAGTTTTAGAGCGTACTGTATTAGATGAACTTAGGTGATAAAGTAATTATCTATGGTATACCTGAAGCATATGCTTGGGCAAAGGCCTTAAAGCCAGTATATTGATGCGTCGATGGTCAACACGGGGGTAATTCAAAAATGTATCTGCCCTGACAAGGTAGGGCTCATTGATCGACACAGCTACCTCACCCCGTCAGCCCCGTATGTTCGCATCCAGTTGCCTCAATCTCAGGGGAGATGGGATCGGCAGGGTGTTGGTGCACTCTCGGTTAACTCAACCAGGAGCAACAGGTAGTTGGAAAGAAAACGTTTAAACCCATCCAGTTTGCCAGCATATCGTTACATGTATTTCGATTATAAAGATTCTATCCAGGGTCTCCATAATCGTGCTTCCTACAACACGAATAGAAGCGATAGTTTAGTTGAACCGGACCCGGATACGGGACAAGACACCGGTACTCAACAGAGCCTGCCGTCCGAAGTTAGGGGCCGGATCAAAGAAATTCTGATTGGGTTTTTAAACGAAGCCGACATTTACGCCACATTCGGCTCAGTCCACAATGCGGCCAGTGTCGTTAGAATTTGTGGCCATACCGTACTTAGCGCAAATAGATTACTGACACCTCTTATGCATCGTATATTCTTTCCAGTGAATCTCATGAAATATTGTCCGTGGTAGAATATGCCGGTACCCAATCTCGTGTTGGAATATGCACCCCGACGTAGAGCGAATGGTAGCTGAGCGCAGATCTTTCTGTGCCGCGTCCTGCCAACATCAGCCTCCGGGGAATATTAACGAGTGGTGATCGGCACACGTATTAGCGCTTACCGTATGAGCGGTCCGCGAGTCTAATAATGGAGCTGATGGTTAAAGGGTCGACGACAACTTCTTATAAAGCCAGTAGTTGAATCCTGCAAAGTCGAATCTTAATCAACACATCAACAACGCAATCTTCAAAGCAAACTACAATTCAACAAACTCACCAAATAATTCTCATAATTTTAATATCGACATTAGTCAACCCCCTTCAACATTCAAAATGCAGTTCTCCGCTATCTTCGCCTCTGCCATTGCTTTCACCGGCTTGGCCACCGCTCAGGTTCAGCGTCCCTTCGTCAAGATCAACGTTGAGTCTTCTCACGGTGGTGCTGGCAACGGTCTCGTGAACAAGACCATCCAAGTTGGTTTCGACGAGCCCTTCCGGGGCGAAGCCCTTAAGGAGGTTTCGAGTCTCTACCTCATCAGCGCTTCTCTAGTCGACATCAACACTGTCGTCTGCCAGCCTCACAAAAACGAGGATGGGTAAGTTGTCCAGCTGTAATAATTAATCATTAACCTAGTTAATTAACATAAATCTAGCTCCGACACTGCCGCCAAGACCTTCGACATCAACAACCCCGGCCGTCTCTCTACCAACACTGTCGTCGTTGGCAGCATCACCTGCCGCCACTCCTAAGCTGATGGGCCTAGCTTAGCACCGATTCCGCATTTCGTGGGGTCGTGAGAACTACTTGGTGAAGGTTTCGCGGTGAAGTTGCTTGTCATTTGAGGGAGATACATAGACATAGAGGAGGGGGGAAACGGTGCGATGCATACATACATAATGGTGTTCACTGGCGCATATTACTATTCTATTCGCTCGTTCTATCACTATTAGACAGGTATCAATATAAAAGTTGCACCCTACGTCATTTTGTCATTTTGATTTGTTTATTTCGGACTGAATGTGCCGTTTAAATTGTGGCTAGGCAGCTAGGATTTTAATGCTTGTGGTTTGTGGCGAAAGTTTCCGCGCTTTTGGCTTGGCGCTAGGTACCTAAGGTACTACTGAACAGATGGAAGGTACATAGGTACCTAGGTAAGTACTATGTAAAAGTGAACGATTAGTAAAGCTCGTTGGAATATTGCCTAAACCTTATAAGTACTGTATTAGGTATTATATGTTGGCTTTCAGCTGATTTTTAATAACTAAGTGTTAGGTACTTCAAAGTTGCAAGTCGCAAGTCAGGATGACCTCAGGTACCTACGCCTAAGTTACACAGCCAAGATGCACCAAGCCACAAGCATGTACCTAAAGGTATATATCAGCGCTGAATGGTACTTCACTTATACGCGTGGACTCCGCCTCCGCCACGAAGCTAGTTAACGTTTATACTCGAATGGAAGGCAGTTTCTTTGTTGAAGCTGGCCCTATTACGACATTTATCGGAAATCTACCCGGAAGCTATCATTCACTGCCTCAGTAACGTGTGAGGTGTGAGGCGCAAGCTCTAGGTAGCAAGCTGAAATAAATACCTAGGTAGGCTTAGGTACCTACGTCTCTTAAGAGTCATTGCTATGTACCCAGCCTAAGGTAGTCACTATCATCTTATTTTTCATATATTTATCGCTTAGCAACCTGTATTACTTCATTCCTCCTCCCTTCGTCTACTCCGCTTTTGAACTACGTTTTCAAATTCTGTACATTCTCAACATCAAGCACACGCAAATTTTCTAAACAACAATCAGTTATAGTCTTTTAATTACCCTATAAAGAAATATTCTCAGATCAAAGACCAAGTGATAGGCAAACTCTGAGCATGTCGTACCCTTATGGCCAACCGGGTTATCCCGGCCAATACCCTCCTCCGGGTCAGTATCCTCCTCCGGGCCAACCACAGCCATATCCTCCGGGCCAATGGTCGGCGCCCCCTCCTTCTCAGGGGTATAATCAACCTCCTCCTCAAGGTTATTATCAGCCTGCCCCTCCTCCTGGCCCTCCTGGCCCTCCTCAGGGTTATAATCAATACGGGCGCCCTCCTGGTCCTCCTGGTCCTCCTCAAGGGTATAATCAATATCCCCAAGGCCAATATCCCCCTGCGCAACCCCCGTATGGTCAGCCTTACCCCCCAGCACCCATAGGGCCGCCTACACCTCACAGTCTAGGATATGGGCCACTACCGCAAATTCAATGGGATGCAACTCCTGACGCGCGGATACTGAGGGGCGCCATGAAAGGTTTCGGCACAGACGAAAAGGCGTTGATTCGTGTACTATCTTCTAAAGATCCCATACAGATTGAGGCTATCAAAGCAGCTTACTTCCGGGATTTTAGCCGCACGCTCGAGAAGGATATAATATCAGAGACGAGAGGATGGTTCGAGACAGGACTAGTCGCGGTTGTCAGGGGACCCTTACTCCACGATGTGCATCTCTTGCATTCAGCAATGGATGGGCCCGGGACCAAGGAAAAGATCCTCAACGACGTCTTGCTAAGTCGCAGTAACGCGGATATGAATGCCATCAAGAGTATGTACCAACAAACCTTCCGTCGGTCGCTAGAGAGCGACGTGAAAGGAGATCTCAGCATGAAGACCGAAAGACATTTCATGATCGTACTGGGCGCAAACAGGGCTGAGGACAGTGCTCCGGTCATCCCCCAAGCTATCGATCAGGATGTCATGGAATTATATCGCGCTACAGAGGGCAAAGTCGGTACGGATGAAATGATGGTGTGCTCGATACTATCTACGAGAAACGACAATCAAATACGGGCTATTAATCATGCCTACGAGCAAAAGTTCAGACGACGATTAGAGGATGTAATAAGAAAGGTACGTTTAGCTACTTAATACATAGGCCACCCCGAATTCCAAGTGCTGACCTTTTTGTAGGAGTTTAGTGGGCATATGGAGGAAGCTCTACTATATCAGCTGCGGAACGCCATCGACAAATACATGCATGCGGCCGCTTTACTCGAAGACGCAATGGCAGGCTTAGGTACGAAGGATCACCTATTAATCTCGAGAGTAGTCCGATACCACTGGGACAAGCAGATGATGGCAAATGTCAAGGGCGCATATCAGCAGCGTTATCGTCGAAGTCTTGCCGGTCGCATTAAAGGCGAAACAAGCGGGGATTACGAGAGGCTTATGCTAGGTTGTCTTGGGGAGCCGGTCTAAATGCACGTTAAGGGGGCCTTTCATGCTTTTTTTTTTTTTTTACCTTCATTGATTGGCGTTACTCAGTGTCATGTCGGGGATGTCTTGTACGACTTTATACCATTCCGTTGATGTTATCCTACTACGCTCTTGTTGTGTGAGCAATGATTGTAATGCCGCTTCAAGCGAGACAATGGTCGTCTATTTTCGATCAATTATTACTCTGTTCCAAGCGCTACTATTATTGATACGTGACTGTCGAGACGATATACTTCTAAGCTGTTTAGTCGTCCATGGCTTTAATTTCTATGCAGATATTTAATGCTAATGTACCTAAGAGTAAGACACAATATCCGTTGGGGATGGTGCAATCTTACCTGCCCGCACCCGCAGAGAAATATGCTAAACCCCACAATAGACAGCTGCTTCCATCTGCAAGCAGCCGAATCTTGGACCGCTACATATAGGTATGTACCTCGGCCTCGACCATTGTGGCACTGCATCTTTAATACTTCAACTAAACTTTATTGCTTGGTTGTTTATCCCCCCCCCCCCCCCCAGCTACCGTATGTACATACAAATTTCATAGCTCTTTTAAGCTTTTCTTTTTTAGCTTACCATAAGCTTCCGCCTCCCGCTTGGATCTCTTGTGCTACCGACAAATCTGCAACTAGCCTGTTGAGCCTAAGTTCAGGCCCTTGGAATCATCCATATCAAAAACAGCCATGTATGTACCTACCTAGGCAAACTTCAATAGAGACAGACCTCCAGTAAACGGGTTTTTTTCTTCTTTGGCGTTTTGTGAAGGGAACACTCGGATCTCGTTGGCCTTTTTATTACTAATAAACTCCGCCCTGCTGACGATCTCCCGCTTTTAGAGTCGCGGGGCCGTTCGTTCGCCTTTGAATTATGGATACGGCGGCTCAAGCACCTTTCTCCGGTTCCTCGCAATGAGTATATTATATACAAGCCAACATGAATTCTTTGCGTCTTTTACAGAGACCAGTTATTCTTTACTTTTCGCTTCTCACGCTCCCTTGGACAAACGCCAAGACTTGACCTCCATGGACGTCGTGTCACGAGCCTCGATCGCGCAGGCGGCAATTGCCGGCTGCTGTTTTCTGTTATATACCGCCCGCGGTCTATTTTCTAAAGGACCTCAATGGATCCGCCCTTTTGCTAAAGAAGAGGCGCTCTTGCCTGGCATCCGTACGAGATCTTGGAATTTTTGGACTTTCTCCCTGTTGGTTCTGTCTATAATCGGACTTGCTTTGGCTATCTTGACCGCTGTATCACCGCCATTTAACACCACCAGGATCTTAGAGCTGGCGCCATGGGCCGTAGCTCTATTCATTACGGCCGCGGGCCGCCCCAGGAAGACGCCGAAATCTTTACTAATTCTATTCACTACCACCGTCGTGTGCGGTTTAATATCACTCGTGTTGTGGTACGGTGAGACGAAGCGAGTGAACATTACCCATGTCGCCTCTGTCGGTGTGGCGCTCGCCGCTATATTTCTAATCCTCTCGATGCCCATGCGAGACCCAGACCTAGATCCAACGGGTATCGCAAATTCTCATTATCCCCCTACTTCCCAGCTTCGCAGCCCCGAGGATAACTTGAGCTTATGGCAATTCATGACCGTCTCATGGTTGTCTCCGCTGATATCTCGGGGGTATAAAAGTAGATTAGATGACGAAGACGTCTGGCTACTACCATATGACTTTCAGCATGAAAGGTTGCATCTACTATTTCGAGATCTTAAGGGTTCTATAATAAATCGTTTGGTTAGAGCAAACGGGTTGGATTTGATCATCATCACATTTTTGGGACTTATAGAGACAGCGGCTAATCTTTCAAACCCGGCTCTTCTCCAACGCTTGCTACAATCTATCGAGAAAGGCCTCGCTAACAGAGATGAGTCCTTCTTCTACGCGTTAGCTATCTTGTTAGTCCGTCTCGTCGCATGCCAATCGGGCGTCTTTCTTCTTTGGTTTAGTCGGCGCGCATATGAACGGTCGCGGGGAGAGCTGCTTACAGCGGTTTACGCTAAAACGTTAGCACGGAAATCATTTGGGCTTCGTACAGATCTGGGCGAGGCTCCTCAAAAGAATAGTGTAGAGGATAGCGTTGATGACAACATTGAGCCGGGAGAGGAGACGTCGCTGCTTGGTAGGAAGCCCAAGAAGACGCGCTTGGCTCGTCTTCTCGAGTTTCTAAGACTTCGCAGAGCTAAGAATCAAGGCAAAGCCAAAACCAACCCGGAGCAACCTGCGACTATGGGCAAAATCCTCAATTTGATGAGAAACGATGTATATGAGATAGCCCAGCGCTTTTGGGAATTCCCGAACCTCGTCACGAAGCCGTTGCAGCTGATTTTCTCCCTGGTTCTCATCTGGCAACTGCTGGGATGGCCTTGTCTTCTTGGGTTGGCCTGGGCAGTGGTTCTTCAAATTCTGAACGCAGCTTGTGTTCGTTCACTAATCAAGGTTGAGAAGACTCGAAGAGTTGCGACTGATGTTAGACTTCAAGCAACTACACAATTTGTCGAGGCTATTAGACCCCTCCGATGGTATGATTGGCAGTCTAAGTGGCTAGGAAACGTCATGCAAGCACGAGCGAAGGAACTGCACTTGAAGATTATCACCAGCTTATGGACCATTGGGGTCAGTGCTACTAACCTTGCTGCTAGTGCCCTTTTCCCAGTGTTCACTTTCTTTGCGGTGACCTATATCGCAGGGCGCCCTCTACCAGTTGACGTAGCCTTCCCCGCTCTTCAGCTCTTCACAATGCTGGAGAGTAGCTTGAAAGAACTGCCCAACCTAATAACAGTACTCTTGAACGCGTCTATAGCGATAGGGCGTCTAGAGACATTTATGAATGAACCGGACAAAGAAGAGGGCGACTATAACAACGCCAACACCGAGATCGAGTTCCGGGATGCATCCTTTGCGTGGCCGACCAACGGCAAATTGGTTCTCGAAGACCTTAATTTACGCTTCCCTCCTGGCCTCACCCTTATTTACGGCAAAGTCGGTGCCGGGAAAACCGCATTGCTTGATGCTATCCTGGGTGAGCTTAACCAGGTCAAGGGCGATTCTACTCTACCCAACGAGATGGTAGGCTATTGTGCTCAATCTCCATGGCTTCAGAACATGAGTATTCGGGACAATATCCTTTTCAATTTCCCTCTAGACAGGACTAGATATAACGAAGTTCTAGACGCGTGTGAACTTATGCCCGATCTAGCTAATTTCTCACATGGAGACAAATCCAATATCGGAGAAAATGGCATCGGCCTTTCGGGAGGTCAGAAGGCGAGGGTGGCGTTAGCAAGAGCTGTGTACTGCCAATCCCGAATATTACTGCTTGACGACCCTCTCGCTGCACTCGACCATCAAACAGCTCAGTCTATTGTTCGCAAATTATTCCGCGGGTCCCTTTTGGACGACCGCACAGTTGTACTGGTCACGCATCGGGTTGACCTATGTCTATCGCTTGCAGATCAAGTAGTCGAAATTGTGGATGGCAAAGCTCGCATCCTTGACCCAGATGAATATCCTAGAGAAGTCAATATGCCATCGCAAACGCACGATGTCGCTACTGAGGATGAAGCCAAGGTGGTCACCGAAGAGTTAGCGAATACTGCAATTCCAGACAAGTTCATCGAAGATGAAGCTCGCGCATCGGGCGGTGTAGTTGCTAAAGTTTATTGGACATATATCAAAGCAGGCGGTGTGACATGGTGGCTGGCGGTTATTGGGATTTTCTCCCTTTTCCGGTTCGCCCGCGTGTTCAACTACTGGTTCCTCAAGGCGTGGGGCGAAGCGTACGAAAGAATTAAGGCACGGTCCTCTACGGGCCTTTCTGATATGGCAGACCATATCTTCGACGGGCTACCAAGCCCTGAAGATGATGTCAGTCCATGGCTTGCGTGGTATGCCGTACTTGGGCTACTTATGACCATATTGTATATCTTGACCCAGTGTGGTCTTACCATTATCCTATATAGGGCGTCCAGGAACTTGTTCGGCAGGGTCGTTGACCGAGTAAGCCGTGCGACATTCCGTTTTTACGATGTCACTCCAGTTGGACGTTTGATGAACCGCTTAACTTCTGATATTGGGATGCTGGATGGTGGTGTCATATATCCGCTTCAGAACTTTGCTCTTTGGTCTTTAACGTGGCTAAGCTCCCTGTTCGTCATCGCTTTAACGACACCAATATTCTTTGCCGTTGCGCTTGGGATGACAGCCTGGTTTATTGCCATTTTCATGCGGTTCTTGCCAACCTCACAAAGCCTGCGCCGGCTAGAAATGGTGACCCTCAGCCCGTTAATGTCAAATTTCGGTATACTTGTTGACGGTCTAGCCACCATTCGAGCTTTTAGGGCACAGTCAGACTTCCAAAACCGTAACATTGTCGCTACCGACATGTTTCAGAAAATGGATCATTTCTACTGGAGCTTGCAAACATGGCTCCAACTCCGATATGATCTACTATCCGCTTTTTCTATATTTGCCCTGACGATACTAGCCTTGGCTCAAGGACTATCCCCCGGCTTAACAGCTTTCGTGCTCACGAGTGCTGCCCAGCTAGTTGAGGCTACTCACGTTCTGTGTAAAACATATGGCCAACTTCAGATGGATTTCGTATCCGTGGAGAGGGTTACTGAGCTTTTGGATCTAGAAGAGGAGCCCAATGGAGATGTTAAACCCCCTGCGTATTGGCCTTCGTATCAGGATAGTATCACGTTCGATTCGGTGACGCTTAAGTACGCACCGCATCTTGAGCCTTCACTAGTTGATGTCTCCTTTACAATTCCTAGCGGATCGACCTGCGCAGTCTTAGGCCGAACGGGATCTGGTAAATCTACACTAGCCCTCGCCCTTCTAGCAACGATGCACCCCGAAAAGGGGCAGATCCGCGTTGGAGACCAGGATATCTCTAAAGTTGACGTACATACATGGCGCCAACGAATCAGTTTCGTGGCGCAGGACCCTGTACTATTCCCAGGCACGATCCGAGAGAACCTAGATCCATTAGAGCAACATTCGGATGATGAACGCAAGGAGGCGTTACTGCGTGTCCTAGGGCCGGAATGGTCCCTAGACTCGATCATTGATGTTGGGGGGAAGAATCTTAGCCAGGGCCAACGTCAGCTCGTGGGTATTGGACGGGCCATTCTCAGGAAGAGCCCTATTATCATCTTGGATGAGGCAACTGCGTCGATTGATAAGAAGACGGCCCTCGCCATCCAAGATGTCCTTTTAGCGGAATTAAAGGAGAGTACTGTTATCACGATTGCTCATAGATTAGAAGCGGTCAAAGATGCCGATTATTTTATTAGATTAGATGCCGGTAGAGTGGTCGAAGCAGGACCAGCTGGCGGGTTAAGATAGGGGGTCAACGTACCTAAGTACCTTATATATCAGGTACAATAATACATTAGCAGATTGGATATTACCTTAGGTACCTACATGTATGTAGGTACATCCCTCACCAGGAAAGAGCTACCGGATAAATTAAGCAAGTGCCAAATTGAGCGTCAGGTACGATAGACTTGGAAAATGACAAACGAAATAAAAAAAGAAGTCACATCCCTCTTTAGGTACTCTACTACATTAGGTACATGTGACAACGCCGTTTCCTATAAGGAGGAGTATTTGTCTGTCATTGCCGTAGCGCACTGTTTCAAGGGACGTATCAAAGACCGCAGACTCATAAGGTGTAAGCAGTACCTTCCGAACTACGTGACTTCTCTAGAGAAACCGGAACTCTGTCAGTGCATCTATATATCATTCGTGACAGCATCACCTTCCCGAAGAAGTTGGACATCGTCACTAGTATTGATTCTAGCATTAAATATATTTCCTATATAAGCTACATGCTTCCTATCGTTGATGATACTCATCATCTCTTCTACATGATCTACCGACAGGTTAATTAGGCCAAGTTCTCTTCGAAGAGAGCGATCAGATCAACCATGGCTAGTGACTATCCACTACTCGCTAATTGCGCCGATCAGGGTACGCCTATACGGGGGTGTACTCTACCCTTTAACAAAGCGCCTAGCCTCACCGAGCTGAAGTTGAAGTTCAATGAAGTATCGACTTTCGATTGGTCATATCCCTGGGCACGTCCTCCGGGACCAACCATCTACAACGTCTATATGCGTAATATCGATGAGTTCATCTGTTCTTTTGAGTTGAGCCGCGAGAAGGATGACTTGGAGCAGTTCAAAAGTACCCGCCTATGCCCAGAATTCGCTTCTCTCTCAGACGAGGAGATCTTGAAGCGAGTGGCTGATCTCGCGCAAGACAGAGCTCTCATGATCAATTACTTACTCGGTTCTCGCGTGTCACCCGTATACCACCAGGACTGTGTTAATGAACAGAACCGACCGGATACTGAATATGAGAGGCGGGAGCTGAAAAAAGACCAGCCACGTATGGCAGCGAAAATAGTCGAGGTCTTCTGGGGATTCGCACACTCGGGAAATCCACTGCCAACCCACCGTCACAAGCAACTGGGTATATCCTCTTACGATGGCTGGGCTGATCGTATTGATGACAAACTAACGGCGATGGCTGAGAGACTCAATAAAGACCCACAGAAAATGAGGGATCTGTTCTAGGAGAGCGGACCTCAGCCTCGTCTTATTCCTCAGATTCGTGAGTCAGTGAAGGCCATTACTAACAAGGGGAGCAACAGCAACCCAATTGTCATCGAAAGCGATGATTCTTCTAACGAACCCGACGACAAACCCAAGCACGTACTCGAGAACGTCACCAACACGGAAAGGAGCACCAAGTTCACTAAAGAACTCTCGAACGACCGACATACTACGAAGAGACGCCTCGTACTACCACCCCCGCCGAATCTATCCTTTAGTCAGGCTACGGAGCAGACATCGAGAGATGTCGACAAGATGGTCTCGCCTACATTTGGGGAGTTTCAACCCGAAAGCCCAAAGAGGAAAGATCGGAAGTAGGAGTGAACCTAAATAGGATTTGCGTTGAGGATGCGGACAAGGTACGCGTGTAACTTGGACAGATTATGGCCTGTTTCTTTTTGGTTTTATTTGTTTGGTGTAGCCCCGCAATTACAGCACAGATACCCTTTGATGCTTTAGGGATAAGAGGAGGAAGGACGTGAGATCTGAAGCTCGCGTTTCTGAGGATTTAACCAAGGTTCTAAGAAGTTTGGCTTTCATTTAGGCAGGTTTCTTCCTAGCCTACCTGTTATTTGAAGTAAAAACAGCTTCATAGGGATTACTGGTGGCTTATATGCAAAGTTCTCGCTAGCCTACTTAGAGTTAGCGGTCTCACGAAGATAGCCTATAGTCAATGATACTTGCGTTTCGTTTACAAAGTATGATGGGAGTTCTCAGACATTAGATTTTCCTTGTGCGCTTGATTTATTTAAACGTGAATTGCCCGATCCAATAATCGTAAACCGATGGTTGAGAACAACATACACCAGACATTGGAATGCGACCTGTCGTTTCCCATAATCAACGTTAACTATAAAATACAATTGCTTCATATTTACCTCATATAAAAACCCATAATTGAAACTTTTAAAGGGGATAAATTGATGTATTCATTCTGATAGGTAGATGGCTAACCTAGTACATATAAGAAGTTCGTGACGATGAAAAGGTGTATTACATCATCTAATATGAAGGTCCACGTCATGATACAAGCCTGCTTATAGAATAGTTGGCTTAACTCTCAGAGCATCGCCTTGATTAACTAAACAATGCTTTAAAAGCTATTGATCAATAAAATCACGCGGTTCAAGATGACTTCGATGCGCCATCTCCATCTTGATCCATTGAAGAGGCAACCCTTGCTTAAAGATCAAACGGCCCCCAATGAAGACACTACGAAACTACCGGTGAAAAAGGTTTACACCGACCCTCAAGGGTCCAAGAATAATGAAGATGCAAGTATATACTTTATAGGTACAGCAACAACGATGATCGAGTGGCAAGGACTTCGAATCCTTACTGACCCCAACTTCTTGCATGCTGGCGACCACGTGCATTTAGGTCCAGGGGTGACCGCTCAGCGAAAGACAAACCCGGCAGTAGATTTACATGAGCTGCCTGCAATTGACTGCATCCTGCTGTCTCATTACCACGAGGACCACTTTGACCAGCTCGTTGAAAAATCGCTGAACAGGACGTTCGATATCATCACGACTCCGCACGCTAAGGAATGCCTCTCGGGCGAGACCAAAGAAGATGCGTTCCAGTCTGTGCACGATCTAGATTTCTTCGAGAGCATGATACTCCACATTGACCGCAAAGACCCGTCTCATGCGGGTGGGTACGGCAAGGTGCCAGTCATCAAGGTAACGGGGATGCCGGGGAAACACGTGCCTCCGGGACCGCTCGCTATGGTCAACAACCTCCTCAAAGCCGTGCCGCCAACGAACGGATGGCTTATCGAGCTTGGCTATAGCTTTACGGCCCCGACCGGAGGCGACTCGGGCTCCATCGACACGGGTTACCGCATCTATATCTCGGGAGACACGTTGTTTGTAGACGAGCTCAGGGAAATTCCGAAGCGGCTTAAGAACGAGAAGATCGACCTCATGTTAGTGCACTTGGGCGGCACGACAATTCCGAGCCCGTCAATACCCCTCTTGATGGTGACGATGGATGCCGAGCAAGGATTAAAGCTGATGCAGCTCATAAACCCGGACGTGACCATCCCGATTCATTACGACGACTACAATGTCTTCTTGTCGCCTCTATCGGATTTCAAGAAGAAAGTTGACGAGGAGGGGTGGAGTAAGCGAGTTGCTTATCTTGACCGCGGGGAGCAGTACCAATTCAAAGTCCCGGGAAACTGAATGAGTGAGACTATGTACCTAATAAGGAGACTTGAATAGCAAGATGACCTGACTTTGTGCTGTGTGTTACAGCGAGGACGGGAATCGGGAATCGGGATTTTCTGCAGGATCGCGGGCCGCGTTGTGGATGAACTAAGTAGAAATTTAATTGACCAGTCATATAATCGCTATTTAATTTCCCCTTTTCAATAAGTTCAATAATACGGTAATACCCATCTCTCGTTAGGTAGATGCATGTTCATTTATCAGATGAACTTTGAAAACAGCCTAAACTGGACCGATATATGAAAATGATATATGTGCACTTTGTATCCTCTTAGCCCTCTTCAGTAAGCCGTAAACCAGATTGTATATATTGTATGTACGATGGTGTAACTAGATAATTTGTTCGAAGCCCATTTCGGATGGGATAAGATGGCCTGTTCAATAAAAGATCGAGTCCTAGCGTCTAGGTTAGTTCTCTGTTGTCTTACACTATTTCCCGAGACCCAACAGATTGTCCTCTTATGAGAGATGTACAGGCTTGTTTGTAATGCATCGCACCGCAGTTAGATATGAACACTTACTTATATGAGCATGGAAACATTACCTTGAACACCTGTAAATTATAAGTTCGGAGCGTAGTCCGTACGCATGAAATATACCTTACATAGGTACCCTACATACCTTACATACCTTACGTACATAGCAGTTGACGAGATGTCACGCAATGCTTGAGGGTTATATTAATAAATCAAAAATTGCCTGCATGGGGTACAGTACCTAAATTAACCCAATATGCCTGGGTGTTACTTACATGAAGTATGTACCTAATGTACTTAATAAGCTTTTCGGTCGCAAAGAAGAAAGGATACCCTCAGGTACGTAAAAAAGAACGCGGATTGTATTGGAACCTTATTGATTCATCCGGGTTAAGACATTTGGGGCTTGCCATGTTAAAAAGGGCCAATGTCACACCTTTCGCGTAGCAAGATAGAGTACAAGCCAATCATGGGCGAGCTTGCTCTTTAAGCGTGGGCCATTTATAAGTTGCTCAAATATTAAGTACATCCACTTTCCTTATTTAATTAGCACTAATCGGAGGTAAAATCAGCTACTAATAATGTAGATTATGTGGACCCACAAGTTAAAAAGACTTTAATAGTCCCGGACATCCTCTTTACTTTGTCCGCTTGCTGTTTGTTGTTTATTAAATTCAATTCTTACTGGTGTTGGTACGTTTAAATGCTGATTAAAAAAAAGGAGCCTGTTAGACTCTTTTCCCCAGGAGCAGTAAGTAAGTACCTGGATATAACATGTCATGCGGTCAGACGAATACATGCGCTAATTGCTTTACCAGGCACCAATAACAAGCAATAAGTAAAGAGAATCTTTAAGCAGACAAAAACCAGAACAAGTGCAGCCAGTTACTCATTATACGGTTTCCCTTTTTTTTAAAAAAAAAAAAGGGAAAGGAAAAAAAAACTATTAGAGCCTGTCCCCACCAAGCAAATCCCCTAAGTACAACAGTATTACCACCAATTTTATGTACAAAGGCGGCCCGTGAACCCTTTAAGGAATCATCCACATTTTAATGTTAGCAATCCAACTGCGCGGCTATGGAAGCACAACCGCCATCTGCACCAGCTGCACCGGCTGCAACAGCTGCAACAGCTCCGGCGCCTCCCGCGTCTAGTCCGTCACCTGTACAGGTACAAGCTCCGTCGCCAGGTAACCAGCCAGCTGTTAACCCTGCAACACACTACCCAAACGGTCTTCCTCGCAGCATTAATGGACTTAACGGGGATGCGGCTGACGGCTCGGGACCAACCCCTCCGGCAAGAGGGTCATCCGGTTCGACAACACCCGTTCAACCGGCAGCGGCAGCGCCGTCCCCGACCGCAACTGCAACACCGGTATTGGCAGCCCGGGCAGTGGCGGCGGTAGCGGCAAGTGCATCGGCAAGTGCGCCGGCGCCACCTCCGGCTCCTACGCCTACACCTACACCTACACCTACACTCCCACCCATTGCAGCGAAACCACTCAAACCAATGGTAATATACACACCCTCGCAACCACATCCTCATTCTCAATCGCGTCAACCTTTACAACGCCATTCCACAGGATCGGCGCATAAGATTTCCATCGTAGATCCGCCTCGAGCCTATTCGCGACCGGGAAGCAACAACCCGCAGCTACCAAACATCTCTCCTACTCAGGGCTTCCCGTCTCCCCGAAGAGAACACCATCTCGAGAACCCAAAGTTTGCTGATGACTTATCTCGTCTTACCCATGCTATGCAGCAATCTGTCCCTGCTGCTGTGAGAAGGGTCATTCGCGACAACTGGGAGAAGTGCCTACTTGGTTCAGAATTCCACCACGCGTTCCTTGTAAGTGTATCTTCCTTTTTAGCCATGTTTCAACTATACTGTCCTGTTTTTCAACCTCTTTATTCTCATCTTACTTGTCATATTACTATTAAGTGGCATTTCATCCTTCCCAGCACGTTTCCTAGCTATTATATAGCTATTACCCCTCTCACACATTGCGCTTCGTCAATTGCATTCAATTGTTCTCGCATCTCCAGGATTACATCACAAGATCTGCAGCTACTTGGAGTTCTTAGTGGTCCCAAGAGGATTTATACACTCCTACAGATTTCGTACCTATCCACAATATCATTTAGCGCATTATTGTTTCTTGTCTTGCATCCCCTCTGTCCCCCAACCTCCCCAGGACCTTTGCGCCTTCAACCCAAGAATAGGCTTCACTTACATTTCTATATACGCGAGACTTGATGGTCTAAATTTCAGATACTAATATATCACTAGCTGAACGCTGTTATTCACCACTCCAACGGAGTTATAATTCGACGGTCTATTAAAGATTTTGGTGCCAAAATGGTGTCCGAATCAAAGCACGAGATTGTCTCGCACCTTTCAACTGCTGACCTGAATGAACTGGCCAATGACGTACTCGAAAAGGCCAGTGACTACTTCCTAGATCAGGCGCTGGAGAAGCGATTGAGAACTATTGACGCACGCTCTCTCATCAACGCCCTTGCTCGCGCTGAGCGTCTTGGTTATGAGAATAGTGATGTACTCGATGACCGGAAAGGAAACAGGTCTAGATTTAACCCAGCACCCTTCGATCCGTCACCCAGCCCCATCCAAATTACGCCCATGTCAAAATCGAACCATAAGCCTAGCATGCCGACCCAGCTGCAAGTAGCGGCGCGTACTGCTGCTCCTGCTCCCACCGTGTTGCAGTGTCCTCTATGCTGGCGCAAGTTTGATAATCCACAGCCTTACGAATATGTAAGTCTTAGTCAACTCCCTTACAGGTCTAGTACTAATTCAAATATAGCATGTTCAGAAGCAAGTATGCACTAAAGAACCTCCTAACAAGGAAGGATTCCCCTTCTCATGCATGTACTGTGGTGCTGGCTTCATCACGAAGGTTGGCCAGCAATATGTAAGTGAATATATCTTGACCTTGTAAACAAATAGCTAATACAAACAACAGCATCTTGCTAATCATGTGTGCGGTGAGCATGGTACCATGCCGGCAACACCTAAAAGACCGGCGAACGCTGGATCGCCTATCACGCTCTCGTCAGGCAACAACAGCCCAATTCAGCCTGCATCTGTCCTGACCTACCCTTCAGGCAGTCAGCAAAAGTTCCGTGCCACACCTCAGCGTACTGCAACACCTGTACATCATCGGCCGGTATCGACTCCCGGATCTCTGCCCAAGGAGCAGGACCCGTATGCCCATCTGCATCCTAGGACACGGGAAAGACTAGAAGAAGAACTACGGCAAGCTGAAACTACGTATACCGCTCGCTTCAAAGAAGCAGAGGCGATAGAAGACCCAGCTCAACGACAGCTCAAGATCGATGGTCTGCAGAATAGCTTCAGCACTAAACAGAGTATCATTAGGAAGAAGTACGGTGTTCGGCTTAGAAACCGGCGGACAAAGGCAGAGATTGAAGACGAGCGTCAACGTATGGGCTTCAAGCATGGTAGTCCCGGCCAGGCAGAAGATACACCAAGCGCAAAGCGTCAACGAACTGACGATGGCCCTTCTTACACAAATACCCAGGCTCCAGGACTAAGTAGCAATGGTCCCGAACTTAAGAGTAATCATATACCCGTAGCAGATATGTCAGCTGGGCTAGGCGGCTCGAGCGCAACAGCAACTACCACTGACCCTACACTACCGAGACCTTCTTCGGAGCTGCTACTGCAGCAGCAGTCGCCTACACAGAACAGCCTTTCATCATTGCAACGCAAAGGTTACCGAGTCTCGTCCCACCTCTCACAATCAAACCAAGTTTCCCCGACAGATACCACGATGGAAGGATCTACTACTCTACGAAGCGGCTCAGCGTCAGTCCCTGTAGTAGACGACTCTTCAGATGCCGACTCAGACGGAGATATACCCGCGAGTCTACCACCTTGCAGAGCCAGCAATACACCTTCAAGTTCGAAGGGTCTAGCAGGATGAGGTTACGAACTCGGTTGAACTTTCTGGAATCTCGGATCGAAAAGACGAAGTATCTTCTCGATAATCGAAGCTCGGAACGCGGGTGAAAAAGCCGTTGGTATATCATCATGACTTGGTTTAAGAAGGCTTTCTATTCCATAAGTAAGCCTATAAGTTTGCGCGTTATGGTCACATTGTACGAGTACGAGGAGTTGTGTCTACGGTTGCATTGCCCACCTACTTTGCTAGCTTTATTGCAAGGCGCGACGTAGCTTTATTTTGTTTGCGAGTTGTATTTGACTGGACACCCCAAAAGTCATCGATCTGATTTCGACGAGGAGAAGAGGGCACGAGGTGAGGAGGCAGGCGTGGAAAAAAAAATACCTAGGCGGATGGGCACACATGATTCTAACGTATCTACCTACCTACCTAGGTACCTAGGTAGGTAGATATGTTCGTTGGCGGTTCGTCGTTGCAGAGATACTCAGCATGGATTTGCAGAAAGGGGACTGGCCTATAGGACCTAGTAATGATTGCATAGCTTAGGTTAGGAAGTAGCCAGGATTAATTCGCGACTGAGCTTGGTTGAAAATGCCTATTGTATATAATTGTAATAAGTACTTCTTCATCCCATGCCTACCTGTTATATGATGGCCCATCGTTTGTCTCTCCGCTAGAACAGACTATACTCTCTTTCTCTACATTTACACGCCTCTTTTTGCTTGCTACCTAATGTCTACGATGCATCCTGCACTGCTGGTATCATGAAAGAGAACAGCTAAGTGTAGTCAGTGTATCTAAGCAATATTGCAATGTGATCGTACATGTCTAACAACAAGGGAACAACGGGACTTACATCAGTATACGTAAGGAGACAAGCAAGAAATGAAAAGGAGAAGTCACACTCATACCTAATTGAAATCTCACTGTGTCTATTCTCTTTATACCCCATGTGTATAACCCCTTTGGATTTGCTTGTATGCATACTGCAAATTACATTCATCCACGTCCGCTTACGAGGCATACTACGAAAATGTTTGAACTCATTCGCATTTATATTTACGATTACACTTCCTTTCGGTACCCTTACCCGACCTTCCTCTATCGTGGGGACCAGACACAAAACCCCACATAAACGAACACGCCGTACAACTCCACGCTTCCACCAGCTCTCCTCTCTCCTTAATCTCAGCTAGCCCCGTCCTTCTCCTCGGATAGTAGGGGGAAGGGCACTAAAAGCCGCCGGCGAAAACGACCCGAAAATAAAATAAGACGTAGTCGTGCCGTAGTCGTAGCATAGCATCACTGTAGACCGCCCCTATTTCGGAAAACAAATGACCGAAAAAACTCAATAAATAAAACTCGAGGATACTTATCATCCCCGCTTCCTTTCCAGTAGGGAAAGTCTCAACTTGTTCTGGGTATCGCATTATGGAAGGTGAGCAATCCAGTGCTTCTTCAACAACGTAAATCTCGCTGCCAACACCGTTGCTACTATAACCCTTACGCTTGTTTAACAGCCCATGTTCCCTTCTTCTCCACTCCCCAACTTTGGTCCTACTACCCCGTAACCCTCCTCACCCACAACGTGGTCGGCTCGTATTCCGCATTGCGATCGAGTCTCTTATAGACGCGGTGTAGCTTTAGCCCAAGATCATAGCTCTCGCGCTCGACATCGGCCAGCTCGAGTCGCAGCGTCTCTACTTTGCGTTTCTCTTCCTCGCGCCGTCGCGCCACCGCGTCGCTCGCCAGGATGTGGTCCGTCGGCATAAGCTCCGTCATCTGCTTGATCGCAGTGTTTAGGTTGATGCGTCGATTACCCAGTGCCCGTAACCGTGCGTCTAGCTGCGCCACGCGATCGTGGGCTTCCAATGACTGCGTCTCGGGTGGTGCTGGGGGGAGGGATTTATCCATTGTCGATGTAATTGAAAGCTTCGAGCTGTTGTTGTGGAGGCTAATATTGTTGATGACCTTGTTCTTGATGTCGGATTTGCTGGTGCTGCTGCTTTTGACATTGCTTCCGGCACCCGTCATATAGTACGAATCTAAGCTAATCTTGACGGGTTCCACAGGGCTGTTTTTTCGTGGGGAGTTGCTATCATAGCCTGTGACTACCGGACGCTTGCGGTCAAGGATTGAGGGCTCTGAAGGAGCGGGCACTGGCGGCACGTCCTCTTCTATACTCTCCCTATGGGCTGATTGGTCTGATGTTCCGTATGTGGTGACGCTGAAACGAGAGGGCGGTTGCGTCCAACCTTCCAGGGACGTGTCAGGTGGTGCCTGGGCTGGGTGGATTTCTTGTTGCGAGTATACGGACGAAGAGGTTGACTGGTGGGGCTGGTAGCCGGGGGCACCTGTTGGCTTCCTACGAACTGCCTTGTCGTTCGATGGGACTTGTAGAGATTGATGAGGAGGATTACCGGCCATGTTATCGTCCGAAAGGGGTGAGCTTGGATACGTATGCGGATTGGCGTTTGTATTCGCGACTGCAATATTAGGCGATTGCGGCTGGGAAGTAAGTTCAGAATCGACAGAGTCAATACGAGCTAAAGTACCAGCCTCACGGGCGGCTCGTTTGCTACTTTTCCGGGGTAGCTGCAGTGGAGCCACGTCTTCTGTGTCGTTCACGGGTGCAACAAGAGTTGTTCGACCACTAGCCCCTCGCCATGCCGGTCGTGGAGCTGATTCAGGTTGAGGGCTACCGCTGGGTTGTCGTATTCGACGCAAACGGTCGCCAAAGGAAATAGGGCCTTGATGAGCCGGTTTGGCTGGTGGCGGAGATACCGAGCCTGGGCGATCACCAAGACCCTGAACAAATTGTTGCGGATTTACTTGCGACGGTCTACCCTTCGTATCTGTAGTAGGTTCCCCGGTATTCGGGTCCCAGAGCACATCGTGGCCATATGGCCGCTGCTGCTTTAGCTTCTCACGAGACTTGGCCTCTCGAAGAGCATTCATGGCAGCATCCGAGTTCTTCCGACGCTCGCGACGGGCTGCTGGAATATTGGTGCGAGATTCATTTTTTGCGGGACCCCGAGGGTCTATGGCGAGTTGAGACATGCCTGGGATATCGTCTATAGGAGAGACATCGCCTGGGTTGGGCCTGAAACAAAAGAGGGATATTAGCTTGAATCTCACGACGTCTCTGCTCGGACAGAAAAGGCTTTTGATCTTCATGATGTATCCAAAGGTTTTGGTACGGATTGACGTTTTAAGTAGGGACGTCTTTCCAAAAATAACTCCCAAAAATAGCGCCAAGTTCATGACACAGGGGACAGGGAATTGGAGAGGTAATATGTCTGTTTGACAGTGGTGATATAAGGCATGCTGCCAAATACAGTCACTACCAGTCCATCTTTCCATGCCACCGACTCGCTCCTCTTTGCCCCTTCTCCCTTTCTCCTTGCTCTTTCTCATAGATGGTTGTTTCCGTTCTCTTCCAATGGGCCTAAGAAAAAAGGAATGATCGCACTTACTCGTCCTGTGGTGAAAAGGCGTCAGGGGAACTCGGCGGGGAAACTTCGTTCAGGTTATAAGGCTTGTTGTAAGGCGGAACTTCAACTCTCAGCTGTCGCGCGGCGAAGGTAGCAGCGGCCGGCGAAGGTTGTGAGTAGACGGAGGATACGGGACGTGGGTAGTTCGAATTGCGATGTTGGTTCGGCGCTTGTACGGGGGGTGCGGGTCGGAGATTTTGCCGATTCTGCTGACTGAGGTATCGTGACGTTAGCATCGTCTCATAGATCAGATGATGCGATGTAGAGAAGGGGGGGGGGAAGCGACAGGTGTGCCAAATCTGACGAATGCGATACGAGGATTTACAATCCTCTTCAGCTCCTTTTTTTCGTCTCGAGTCGACAAATCCTTCAATTCGCTGACACCAACAAACCAGATACACTAGGAAATGCATATGATTGTCACAACTTGCAGAAGGCCGTCGCCCGCCGACGTACTGTCGTTTCCGTATTCCTCATGGCTAAACCAGGCGATACCAAACTGTGAATATACCACCCAAAATAAAAATAAAGGCTTACCGTTGAGTCGGGTGGACGGGTTCTCTCGACGGCCTCGGGGGCGGAGCTGGTCCTCCTTTGATAGAATACTGGTAATGCGCGTCTCCTCCCTTTACGCCCTGAGAACGTGATTTCTGCCAGGCCTCGAGCTTCTTCCTATCCATCGTCGGCGCACCCTGATCCTTTGAGGAATTTCGCAAGCGGTCAAACATGGTGAATTGCCACCGGGGCTCCTTCAGATACCGATTCTGTCTTTCGCTGCCGCCTCTTATTTGTATCACCAACGCTTAGAGCGCGTCGGATCGCCAGCCGGGGTGCGATGCTTCACACTAGCAATTAATCTTGGCTATTCTGAAGAAGTGGCCTTAGGGATAACGCATGAATCCGGATGGTTCCCAAGCTTTAAGAAACCGGCTGCTTTTTTTTTCAAGTGCTTTCCCAAAGTGCCTTTAGGAGAGAGAAACAAGGTTTGATCGTTGTCGGGAAATCCTCCTCTAATATCCTTTAATATGGTGGTATTTTGGCCTCCAGCGATGTTGCGTCCTAGATTGTTTGTTTGTCGATTGCTTCGTAACTTGTTATTTTCTTGGCAAGCCGAATGCTGAAAGTCACGCCTCTTTATTTATTGTTCAGCTGAAACTTAGGAAAGTTAGGCAAGTGCAAACTAATTCCTATGGCACAGGCGCAGGTGCAGGCACTGGTTTCCTTGTATGTACTTGTTGAAGACTCGGGATGTCGGGGCCAAACCGGTCGCATAACGGGTCCTTTTCCACCTATCGATTAAGTCCCGTTTCGTGCAGTTCGTGTAAAGAGAGTCAAAGAGCCAAATAAATGCGCGCCTCGGTCCTCACATTCCTCACGCTAAAAACCCCCGTTCCTGAAGATCGGTAAGCTAATGTCGTGCGTTCTCATAGATTAATTTTCTAAATTGTGGTAATGTACTGTATATGCATTTATATAGACAGCATCTATGTATTTCAAAAGCAAGTATTTGTTTGCTGTGTCAGATAGCAATCTGGTTAATAAAAGGGAGGGGGGTTAAGTCAATGCCCTTTCATATTGTATGCTGGCGTTATTATAGCAGGTCCTTTAATATTAATATTACGTACATATAGCTCTCGTCATCACACCTCAAAGAGCCACCTTTTCCGTCAGCCTAATAATAATCCTTCTCCCGCTTTTGGCCATTCCATATTCATAGTTCAACCCTAATATAATAGATCGCCGCTCAAAGTGTTGATATAGATACCGATGCCGGCAATGCATCACGAATGAACATATTTCATCGTATCGACGTATTTGTCTCTGATCCCTACTATGTAGGTTTTGAGACAAGAGACTAGGTTAGGTTAATAATCTTTTACTCCATAAACCAGGCAATCCTATCAATATTTTCGGACCAGGGACGAACCCCGAAGAATTGAATGGCCTTCGAAGCTAAAGGACCTGGACCTCGTGGAGACGCAGGGCAACTTGTTTCACCTTAGACTGCCTTACATGCCTTAGGTAGGTCAGGTACGTCCAGGGGTTCGCAAAAGAGAACTTGGTTGTCTCAATTGGGAAAGTGGGTTGATGGCTGGCTGATTCACAGAGCCAACAGAGCCAATCGTTCAGACCGTCCACATTAGATGTCAATCCGCCGCGTAACGGCACGTCACGATACATTTACTATTATTTACACGTATGTTATGTTATGCTTTTCTACCCTAAACCATAACGCGGACCAATCTCAACATGTAACATTCGGCGTTTGTTAGGGTTGTGCGAGTTCAAGTCATACGAGCGCCAGGGTTGGTATATCATCTATTTTCAACAGTCTATCCAAGTCTACATGATTAGATAGTGCTCTCAAGAGCCATCTAATCGAAATAACTAGCAACAAGAGCTCCAAGCCTACATTTAGAAGTTGGGAACGATATAACCCGTATAAGGTAAGATATCATCTATAAGTGACTTAGCGTAGCATTTATACCCAAAGATGCAATGATACATTAACTGATAGGAATACTTTCTTGGTTACATTTAACAGATATCCCACCCGTCCCTTGCTCTTTTACTATGTCATCCCTTCCCTTAAACCCTTAGCTTAACTTTTATTAGGTATGACAAACTTGGAATTATGTCTGGTACTAAGGGCCTACACCAATATTCATTATCAGATAGAAATTGGTAAGCTATCTCTAAACAAGATCTAATAAAACTCTGAAGTGTTTAACTTTAAGGTTTCGACTAGTTACCTACTTAGTTGCGATGTCGCATGACTATTAGTTGGTACTGTTGTGAAATTTATAAAATCGCTCTAGCATAACTTGTTAGTTAATAAAAGTTGAAAATAACACCCATATATAATGACTTTAATAGACACTTAAGTAATTAAATAGTCACTGTAAACTTACAGTGCTTTTGCATGCAAAGACAACTTTGATCAAGTCTTTAAAGCCATTATAATATCAAGTTCATATTAAATAGTCTCCGGTTTGGTAGGATGGGTGAAAGATATGTTGGTTTTGGTAATGACCATCAAAGCAAATTGAATCTAAACCTAAATAGGCAGTTAGATAATCAATGTACCTAAGTACTAGAAAGGTGGGTTGATCTTTTAAATTGTTCAAATCCAATCATGTGCAAACCAGTCACGTGCATGGATGCTTGAAGGGAAAAATCATTTTCCATCAAAGCTTTAAAGCTGTACAAACAATGGCTTAAAGTTTATCCGAGTGCACTTACCATAACAACTCAAGGTTTATCCGAGACCTGTACCCGCCACAACGGTCCGAGCTTTATCCGCGCGCACCCGCCATAACTCCGAAACTTGTCCGGGTGCTCCCGCCACGGCCCCACTAATACCCGGCCCCACTCAGGTCCATCCATCTGCCTTACAGACTGGAAAAACTATTCTGCCTAGCGCCGGATAATCTTCGGCTAAATAATACACAAATCTGCTACTAGGTACCAATTTCTTGAAGATGTGGGCCCCTAAGAATAATAACCCCGCCATTTCGGCACCACCAAATTTACATTTTCAGCTTGCACTTCGCGACAACGACAGCGAAGAAGAACTCAAAGCTGGAACACGCGGTGGCCGTCGCCGTAAACCCTCCAAGAAACAGAACCACAGGCCAATCCAACACTTTTCTATCCCTAGCCAGGCTATTTCTTCTACATCAACCTCACCACTTTTCCCCCCCAAACTCGAAGACAACCCTAGCAATACTCCTAGCACTGACCAGAGCGACGATTCTGGTGGTGATTACGAAGAGCCTAACGAGGATAAGGATAACTCTGGCAACGAAAGTGACGAATACAAGGAAGTCGATCTCACTCAAGCGCTTCTCAATTACGTAACACACCGACTCGAAGAACTAATTGCTGAGCGCGTAATCGAGGAGCAACCTAAGGAACTGCTTGAAGAGTCTTCGGACGATATTTCCGAGTGCAACATGGCCGCTCAAGAGGAGCAGCAGGAATCGCGTCAGCAGTATGCTTTCGTCGACGGCAGTTTTGCAGAGCTAGCTCAGGACTTGGCTAACCACCTCAACGTTGGCGACGACGTCAAGTCTATTATTGAGAAGGACGAGAAAGATCAGCAAGATGAGGTGCTCAAGAAGCTCATCATCGCATCTGCTTCTCTACACTCGGTTCCCGAGAGAGAGTTTACTGCTAACTATAACCTGCTTATCTACTTGGTTTTGCAATCTGATCATGTCGGCATGTTCCTCCCTCGAGTTTGCGACAATCTCATGAAGCCCGTCACCTCTTCGCCAGTTCACGGCCCTGCACTCGCTCTCCAAGCACTCACCACCATCTTCAATCTGCTTCAGCAAGAGAACGAGCACAATTACGAGTTGCGCTTCAATGTCCTCATGGCAATCTTGCGATTCATCAGGCTGAACAGCATGTACGACAATCTTAAGAAGGCCTTACCTAACATCAAAGAGTGGCTTAAGCAGTGGGAGACTGACGAGGAGGACCAGCGCAAGCTATTCCTCGAGATGGCGGAGGTGGCTCATGATGCAGGCGATGACGAGTGAGTTACAATTTCGTCAATTTCGTATGGTTTTACTTGGTCAATTGCTAATTTTGCAACTTGGATAGGGCCTCTTACCAGCATGTCCTCAGTGCTCTACACACATTTGACGAAGAAGACGTTAAGTCAGAGCAGGCCCAGCAATTTGCCCTCCGTGCTTTGAAGACAGCACTTCTATCCCCTACCCACAACGACTTTCAAGACCTTCTTGCCGTCCCCGCGATTCAAGCGCTCTCTGACTCCCACCCTCTCTACTTCGAACTACTTACAATCTTCGCCGAGAAGGATCTAGAAGACTACAAAGACTTCAACGACGAGCACGAGGGCTTCGTTGAGAAGGAACACCTTGATGGAGACAAGCTTCATCGCAAGATCCGACTGCTCACCTTTGCGAGCTTAGCAGCTAGCACCCCCAACCGCGAGATTCCTTACGAGAACATCGCCAAGGCCCTTCAGATTCCTATTGAGGAGGTCGAGATGTGGACGATCGATGTAATTCGTGCCGGCCTAGTCGAAGGAAAGTTGTCGCAGCAGAAGAAGGTCTTCCTGGTCCACCAGACATTCTACCGAGTATTCGGCGAGAAGCAATGGCGCGAGGTCGGCGACCGTCTCGATGGCTGGCGAACCCTGATCGCTAATGTGATCGCCAACCTGCGCCGAGAGCAAGCCAACGCCGATGCGCATAAGAAACGCGAGGCAGAAGAGCTCGAGCGACGCCTAGCGAACACGGGTATTGGTGGCGGTAATCTGTCAGGTGCTGGTGGCGGTGGACGCCGAGGAGGTGGCAATCATAGCGAGCGAGCGCCTCGCAGAGAGCGAAATGAGGATGAGGATTAGATGAAGGCATATTCTCTTCTCTCGACGTTTCCGTCTTTGGATTGTCTGCATCGGGTACGGTCTACGGCGTCTTACGGATTTGCGGGGCGAGAGTTTAATTCGGTTGCGAATAATTTCCAGGTTTAATGCGCGGTGGTTGAAGGCTACATGATGATTCATCCATCTCGTCGCGATCGGTTGCGATTTACGTTGCATCATGTTGAGGCTCCAGGTTTGCAGGAGAGAGGAGTGGAATGTCACCGGGCCCAAGTATAGATTATGAGGATTGGCCCCTCCGCGTTACTTCACGACTTGTATTTAGAGGATACAGAAAAGTTGCCTGGGAATGCGTTGCGCATCGTATTTAATTTGCAAGCGTTCATTTAAGCATTTCTTGCTTGTGCTTCTTTCTACCATATAGAAGTAAAATCGCCACTCGCCCTCGTAGATTATGCAGCCCAGACAGACTCTTGGCTGTCTGTACATTTACCTATAGATCCCCTGATTCTTGATAGTCCTCTATCATTCATAGTCGTATCTCCTCTCTCTCTCTCTCTATAACCTTAATAGGATAGAAAAGGCTGAATTCTATATCCGGAATAACTACCCGTTTTCCTTTGTTTAAAAATCTACCTCCCCGCCGTCACGGCTCACGAGCCTACTAATAAAGCTTCGTTCTACGACCAGCTCTGGCTAGCTAAACATAGCTCGATTCAGACTCAGAGCTGGAGGCGCTTCTCAAGCTCCTTCTGGGTAGTCTCGAAGACCTGGTCGGGCTGCCGAACAGCGTCAACTTTGACAACGCGGTTCTGCTTCTCGAAGTAATCGACAACAGGCATGCTGGTCTCGACAAACGTGCGGAAGCGCTTGCGGATGGACTCGGCGTTGTCGTCCTCGCGGCCGGAGGTCTTGCCGCGCTCCAGCAACCGGCGCTCCATCTCGTGCTCGGGGCAGTCGTAGAACAGCACGAAGCGCGCGGGCACGACGGCCTCCTCGAACTTGATGGCCTGGTCGAGCTTGCGCGGGAAGCCGTCGATCAGGAACTTGCCCCCCTTGTTGGGGCGGGGGGCGGCGGCGGCGGCGGCGTCGGGTTCGGGCCCGTCGAGGATCTGGCGCATGGCGGCTTCGAGCAGGGCGATTGTGACTTCCATGGGCACGATCAGGCCGTTCCGGATGTAGTGGCGGATCAGGTCGCCGAACTCGCTGTCGGGGCGGTTCTGCTCGGCGCGGAGCAGGTCGCCGGCGGAGAGGTGGGCGAAGCCGTACCGGGCGACGAGGCGCTCGCATTGGGTGCCCTTGCCGGCGCCGGGGCCGCCGAGGACGAATATGACGGTGACGTCGTCGGGGGAGAAGACGGGGGTGGTGCGGTCTTTGAGGTTGTCGATGGTGGACATTTTGAATGACTAGCTTGTCTTGTCTTGTCTTGTCTATATTTTCTTGCTTGCTTGCTTGCTTGTTTATAGTCGGTATTTATTTGATATGTCTGGTTGTAGGGAGGAAGAACGAATGAAGGGAGAGAAAGAAGAAAAAAGCGAGAAAAAAAGGGGGGGTTTGTTTACCGGGTGAAGCTGTGCTAATAATGCTATGCTATGTTGGCATAGTGGAATCTCATGAGTGAATGAATGAGTGGTACAGGCTTAATTTCTTGATATGTCCCGCATTTTGATACTCGGGTACCTGTTCATCTATTGGCTACCTACATAGCTGGGTGGAACAGGGATACACTTGATAAACTCATGCGAGCCCCTCCTTATTTGCACCTGCTATCGATTGTAACCTCGATTAAGGTAAACTCTAGGTTATACTTGTATCTACCTAAGTATTAAACCGAATTAAGTAAATAATAAATACATGTACGATAAAAGATTAAGTTGGTGTTACTTTACAACAATGGATTTTAAATAATAGACAGCCTCTCTTACAAGTGCTTGGCTAATATGTATACCATTCCCCCGTTGTAATGAGTAGGTGAAGATGAGCTGAACATACACATATCAAAGTAATGATCGAAGAAGCCTCCGCTGGCTATGGTATTTCCTATTTTCTGCTCTACCAATATTATACAGCCGAATTCTCCCACTCGCTCTCAAACAAAAGCATCGTGCTCAGCGAATAATGTATGTTGGTGGACCGGAAACCCATCCACACCCAGGCAATAATCATACATATGATATATCACTTTGACAGGCTTGTTGCCAAATATATCCAGTAAAGGAGCCATTATTGCAACCTTCTTGCCGGCGCATTCCTGCACACGACCTGTCAATATAATGCCTCTAACCACAATACAAAAGCGAACACTGGAGTCTAGCGTGCTCACCTGCTCGCAGCCTTAGCCCTGACCAACATCACATACCCCGCGGTCCCAAGCCCGATGATAGCAACGAACGGCCAGAACTTCACCGTGTTGTTCGAGCCTCTTGGGGGCTGCGTGCTGTACGTTCGAAACCGAAAGGGCGACGCGGGCCGCACCAGCAGCCGCCGCGCGCACGCCGTAACACCCGCCATTGGATTGGATGCTCGTAATTTGGGGGCCGTCTCCTTTTTCGTAAGGGAATTGCTTGACCCACAGCCTTGCTGCACTTGGGATTTCGGTATGCGCCCGCGATGGGTGGGTGACTTGGTAGGTGGCTGATATATGAGGTAGGTATACAACTGGAGCTGGAGCTGGAGCTTGGAGCTTGGAGAAACTCTTTTGGAAACGGCCCACCGTGAACTGATGACGGTATGCGGCTGATGAACAGCTGGCAGCACTTGGGCGGAAATGCAAGAGTTCGAGTTCAAGTCAATAACATCGAACTTTGTTACTTTCACATTTTCATCGATACCTACCTAACCTCATAGCCACCGCCTTTACAAGTACGGATCTATATATTATATATTGCTTACTTACTTGCATCCTACGAAAGTAGATCATCCTTCACCGGTACGAGGCTTACCAAATATAAAATTATCATAACTCCAATACCAATCAACAACTGCTCGGAGAATCCAACCCAATTAATAAACCCAAGGCCCAGGAACACCACCACTCGTCACTTGCTTCTCTCACTCTGAGCCGAGCTAACTGCGCCTTCCGGGAGAGCTCTCTCCGTACTCCTACTAGCCCCGGGTGTGTGGCCCTGCGGCTCTGCAATAACTAACCCTTGCTTGTTGCAGAATGTTGTGCGTCAATAGTACCAACATAGCCACGAAGAGGGTCCTCATTGCTACGGCCTATCACGAGAGCCTACCAGCCAAGTATCTGACGTACAGGTCCATTCGTACATATCCCCAGGTGCCATACATTAACGAGTACTATTATAGACAGACATCTCACCGAAAATAAAGCAATTTGAGAAGAAGTAGTTTGTTGAACTGATATGTCATTGTTCAAGAAAAAAAAATGCTATGCACATTGCAGCAGTAATTATGATATATGTAAAAGTTGCTTGTTCCATCCCCGAGGTATATTCCAAGTTCGCCGGTATCCAAAATTCATACACAACCCACACCTTTCTCTCCAATCATATATCACCTCGAGGACGCCGCCTCGTCGTTGGGTCAGTTTGATTCGCCGGTTTTCCTACGTTCCTGCATGATAGAGCATAGAACATAGCGCGTGATAGTAATAAGTAGGTAGGGGGGAATCCAAACTTGGATCGATGTGATCCGTTTCCAGCTCAGCTGAACAAAAGAAATTAAGTATATCCAAATAATAGTATAGTTCTTTTTATTTTATTTTATTTTATTTTTATATTTTCCTTACCGTATCGCGCCCGTTTACCGAGGGTGGCTGAAACTCGTCTGTGCTGGCGGCGGGCTCTTGACAACGGCGTCGTTGTACGCGCCGGGGATAGGTACGGCATCGTACTGTACCTCTCCAGGTGCAACTGGGCCGTGCTCGTTGAAATTGGAGCTGAAGCTGGGTCCAGGTGCGTTGGGTGTTGTAGGTGTTCGGAATGCACCCTGGCCCATCTTGGGGGTGGCGGAGGGGGCCTTGGTAGGAGGAGCCTGAAGCTTGAACGGCTTCTCGGCGCTCTTGGGTTGGCTCGCGAAGGTGGATTGTGGCTCGGCGATCTGCGCTCCTGGCGTGAACGCGGGTCCTTCCGAGATATCCCCAAGAGACTTGTAAGCCGAAGGAGGGAAGCGCGGCGACATAGCGTACTGCGAGAATGATGGAGACTTAGGGCCAAAGCCTGGAGTGTTAGGGGCCGATTGCGATCGGAGCTGGGCAAGGTATAGGTCGGATCGAGCGCGGTCTCGCAGGTCCATCGACTTGGCTAGACGTCGCTTGGTGTAGTATCGATAGAAGACAACGCTGTAGAGGATGATGGTCAGGACGTCGATCACGATCTCGATGATGATGCAGATCAGGGCCCAGTTCTAAGGAGATTGTTAGCTATATGATCAAGCAATTTGACAGGTTTATATAGGCACTCACCTGAAGTCTGCAAACAAGCTCGTAGTCAACCTTTTGCGAGAAGAGGTCGGCACGGTGGTTCTGGACACATGCCCATCCCCATAGGTCCTTGTTGTCACTGTTGTTCCTCGTGAATTGCAAAACACCCGCAGCGGCAGCCCATAGAATCACGGAAACGATGAACCAGCCAACCGCAAACAATGTGTAGTATACACCAACTTTCTCCGCGCGATGGTGGCCACCTCGGCAGTACCCGATGAAGATGAGGATGCAGATGAGGAGATTGGTGCAGGAGACAGCTAATACGAGTATTTGCGGCCACGTGCTCGTGCCCGTCGCCCATGGAGGTAGGCCGTTCTGTGCTGGTAGACTCTTGGTCGCGTGGAAGATAGCGAAGGATGAAGAAAGCATAGCTAGGATAATGGTACTGCAGCTGAAGCTGACACCTCGGAGTGCGAACTTGGCCATCCGCACTTTCGTCTTGAGACCCTGTATTGCGTGTTAGTCTAGATTCTTACACACTTGATCGTGTTTCAACCTACCAAGTCTCGTACTTGCTCCTTTTCGGTGTCCTTCTCCCGCTTCTCTAACATCTCCTCTTCCATGAATGTCGGACTTAAGGGGTTCTCGAATTTCCTCCCTGGCGTACCTGGTACCTTCATGGCGCTCTTTAGGGGCGACTTTGGTGTCATCGGCATGTTTATTATGTGGCTCGACTCATCTCCAATATATCCAAATCCAACATCAGCCGGTTGAGCGTGGGCTACATGTGATCTATCGTCTCTTCTAAACGGCGTATCTGGTTGCTCTACCGGTGAGTATACTGTAGTAGCTTCCGCAAATCTTGGTGTCCTTGGTGGTTTGCCCAGTGACGATGTGGTAGATGTGGAGCCGGTAGACGAAGATCGCGAGGGAGCCAACTTAAGGGCGGAAGGCCGCCTTTTTTCGTCTTGCGGCGCCATTGGATTATAGTGTGTGTATGATGAGGAAGAAAAGTGAAATGAAAAAGAACAAGACTCAGTCTATGATATACGGGCTACTATATGCTCTCATGTGATACCCTTAGGAATAGGACCAGAATGGATGTGGCTTAAAGAGAGGAATGGATTAACACGAGAATGAATTGGAAGAGACCAGCTATCGAAGGAAAAGTATTTCAGAGTTGGATAGCTGGGAAGGTGGGTGGTTTTGAGTAGGCGCCGCTGCGATATATTGTCACCTCATTCGACCTTTTCTGGGAATATTCTGCATGGGATAGTTAGTGGATGGGGCTACATAAAATGCAATGGAATCGCTCACGATAGACCAGGGGTAGGAATAGACCGAGTGCAAGTCTCTGATAGGGTGGCTAGAGTGAACCCCAATATCCAAGTTGTACGATCATGAAAATAGACGCCCGTAGGCCGTAGTCTAACGCTGAGCACTTGCTGGGTTGTATCGGAATTACCAGATCAACGTGTCAACGTTGATTTAGAATACAACGGGGTAAGTCACAGGCTTCTGGTTGCCGACTTTCTCACACGGATGGGAGAGCGTCTGGGTAAAAACGAAACGAAGAGGGTAGGGAGGTATACCGAGACAAAGGCTGAGTATATGAGTGAGAAGAGGGAATTGTTGGTCCTATGCTGGGGAAACGATACTATGGTATCCGGAGCCGACAATACTTTCGCTGCCACGGCTATACAGGTATGAGATAAGTCTCTCGCACCTACATCTATTATCAAAGAGGTACATTGACCCATGGTCAACCACATGTCCATGTACATCATTTACTGCAGTACTATTAGACTGGGCAATCCCTCTTTGCGAGTAGCCGTCTCTTGGGTGCAGACCTGAGCCGTAATTGGATGCACCCGACATACCAAAATGCGCACTACGAATGAGGTTGAAGAAAAGACTCGTTAATGCCAGGGGTCCCTACCCAGTCGCTACCCAGTCGAGCGCAAAAGACGGGGAGGATGAGATGTGGTTGGATGCGTGGGGCTAGCCGGCGCGAATCTTCCTAGGCGCTTTCATGGACCCCAGTCGACGATCTACCGATTTGATAGGCAGATAGCATCCCTGACAAGACCCGTGCCCAGATACAAGGTAGACCATATAGCCAATCAGAAGCTGGAGAGACGTGATACCGCACGACACTATGCATGGGATTAGGTTGTGTCTGGGCGGTAAACTCTTACCCACCATATTCCATATTGAACAACAGGAAACAACCGGCCCCGTTCGGACTTTGAGCCCGAGTCCCTATTACATATTACTCTCGCGCTCATTTCTGTCACCGCAGATACATATGTAATGGGGATGTAATGAGAAGGATTCCGGACCATAACAGCTCAGACCTTGATCGTAAGACGAAGCGCAAATGTCTATAAGAGCTCCTGAGAACTCTGAAGTCCGCCGGCTAGGTGCAACGAATAGCCGATCATATGTTCCCTTTTTTAGCACAGAGAATAATGACTCGACTGCGGACTCGGCCAATTTGAGGAAAATAATCGGCAAGGTGATTGTCATGCTAAAATGTAACCCAAGCACCAAAAAAAAAACCTGCCCCCCTTCCCTCCCCCCTCCTCCCGGACGATCGATTGCACGGACAGGCGGGAATGGAGGTCAATTTCTGACGAATATGCATGCCATCATGCTACTGGACTGGCATAGCTCTTATTTGATAATTTATAAAACAGAATGAGATCGTTGTGCTGCCAAGGATATGTATTAAGGGCTATTTTTAGCGCTTTTGCTCTCATAGCCAATAAGGCGGCGCATGGGTCGTGTAGGTTATATCGCCTCGAAAGCAGTAATTCTTCTATATCAATGCTATTAAACCACACGTCATTGGTCTAGATGCTATACTAGCTCACGCGAGTGAGCGAGGATGCTTTCATTAATATGTCCCTAGTGTTGCTCTAGATACTAGAATAGAATTCAGTGACGCTATGTAACTTACATCAGACCAGAAATCATGATAGGGCTGCATATATGAATAGATTCCTGCAGACTATAGTTTGAATCGTGGTTGCTAGTTGCCTTAGTGCCGAGATAGTGACATGCTGAAGGCTTATAACAGTCTCTCTAGGAATGTTCGTCAGCTTTGAGGGGTAACTACCTAGGTAGGTATCTAGGAATAGTCTTTGTTGAATGATGAGAAAATGATTGTCTCGAGGCTTTGGCGGCTCATAAATACCTAAGCTTAATATTGGATAAAACATACCCTATATGTAGTAACGATGATATTACGACTGATGCTTGAATGATTACTAAATTCAACAGGCTCTGTGACAAGCTGAATAGCTATTGCAAGAAACATGGTCTTACTGAGCTAGCCGAATTGACTCGAAGCTGGATTGTTTGGTTTTCAATGAGAAAAAAATAATTATTGTGTGAAGTTAGAAATTCGAACCCGATTCTACTAACTAGAAGTTGTTGTAAAGATTGTGGGGTCTTGAGTCTTGAAATGTTTAATACTTCATAATATTTCTCAGTTAACTGTATTGGTATATAAGCACGTGACCTATTGCAAGTAGCAGGAAGTACATAGCAGGAAGTAACGGTTTAACACTTACCTATTCTGCCAGGTCTTACCGTCCTCTACAGTTTCCATTCAATGTTCTTAGAGGTACATATGTTGTGGGTTAGTAAAGTCAGGTACCCCAAGCTTTGTACCTATGTAGGTATTGTACCTAACCTACCAAATTTGCCCCTCATTCTTTATCTTATCGCCGCTTGGGAGAAGACTCATACACAACTTTCGAAAAAATCCCAAACTCCACGCCTAAACGTCATTTTGTAAAGTCGTTAGATTTCACTTAGCCGCGAGCCAACGTTGACATCCAGGAGCCAGCGAAAAAAGCACATAGATAAAGGCATAATACCGACAGCACATACGTCACAATGTCCGCGCCCGACAAGTTTGGCAACGACATCGAGTCCGATTCCGATTCGGGCAACGAGTCACCTATCAACGATGGGGTTGACGATGGTGTTGAGGAGTTAGATCAGAAACCTCTCAAGTCGGCTATGAAGAAGTCCCCCTCAGGTCCCTCGCCTCCGATTGAGCGTCCCTATCTCCCTCCTCAAACAGACGCCAAAGACCTCGATCTGCCATCACTAACCCCGCTTACACCTGAGATTATCGCGCGACAAGCCACTATCAACATTGGTACGATCGGCCACGTCGCTCACGGCAAGTCGACCGTTGTGAAGGCTATATCAGGTGTCCAGACTGTCCGTTTCAAGAACGAGTTGATCCGAAACATCACCATCAAGTTGGGATATGCGAATGCCAAGATCTACAAGTGCGATAACCTTGAGTGCCCTAGGCCTGGATGTTATCGAAGCTACAAGAGTGAGAAGGAGGTAGACCCCCCTTGCGAGCGTGAAGGATGCAGCGGTACATACAGACTTCTCCGCCATGTCTCGTAAGTTTATTAATTGTCCTAATTGTGTTTTTATGTTGCTGACAACATTTAGCTTTGTGGATTGCCCTGGTCACGATATTCTCATGAGTACTATGTTGTCTGGAGCTGCGGTGATGGACGCCGCTCTATTACTGATTGCTGGAAATGAAACCGTACCTCAGCCTCAAACTTCAGAACATTTAGCAGCTATCGAAATCATGAAGCTTGACAAGATTATCATCCTTCAGAACAAGGTCGACCTTATGCGAGAAGAGGCCGCCCAACAACACTACCAGTCTATCCTGAAGTTCGTCCGTGGAACTCCTGCTGCCAAATCACCCATCATTCCCATCTCTGCGCAACTGAAATTCAATATCGACGCTATCAACGAGGCTATTGTCAACACCATCCCTGTACCACCCAGAGATTTCACTCAAGAGCCTCACATGATGGTTATTCGATCCTTCGACGTCAACAAGCCTGGTGCCGAGATTGAAGAGTTGAAGGGCGGTGTTGCAGGTGGTAGTATTCTGCATGGTGTGTTGAAGCTCGGCGACGAGATTGAAATTAGACCTGGTATTGTGACTCGAGACGATAAGGGTGCTCTTCAGTGCAAGCCCATCTGCAGTCGTATCGTCTCTCTCAACTCAGAGTTCAATGATCTGAAATATGCAGTCCCCGGTGGTCTCATTGGTGTTGGCACGCGTATTGACCCTACTCTTTGCAGAGCTGATCGTCTGGTTGGATTCGTTCTCGGCCTCAAGGGACGTCTTCCCGCCATCTACAGTGAGATTGAAGTCAACTTTTACCTCCTGAAGAGACTTCTGGGTGTCCGCACAGCAGATGGCAAGCAAGCAAAGGTGGCCAAATTGGCCAAGAATGAAGTACTTATGGTGAACATTGGATCTACCTCAACTGGTGCCAAGGTTGCCGCCATTAAGCAAGATGCCGCTAAGCTATCCCTGACCAGCCCTGCCTGCACAAACCTTGGAGAGAAGATCGCCCTCAGCCGAAGAATTGAGAAGCACTGGCGTCTCATTGGATGGGCTACCATCACAGCGTAAGTTTCTACCCTAGTATACTAAACACGAGTTGCATCAACTAACTGCATCAACTAACCTGTCTAAAGTGGTGTCACATTGGAACCTACCGAGTCATGAAGTCTAGGCCAAGTATAAATTTCTTGACGAAGCGTATCCGATAAGTTATAATTCTGCGGGATGGGTAAAAGGGAAATGACTAGGTATTCCTAAGTACGGCGACCAACGTCGGGGATACGGCTTAAGCACTTCATAGGGGTACAAGATGCCTTAGTCTGAAGCTACTAGGGCTAAAGGGGATGTCCTCAAGAAGGCTATGTATTTAGACGATGATGACGAAGCAAAAGGAGATAGAGGCGTACCTAAATACGGATCCGTTGCACTTTAAGTTCTGGCCTTTTTTGCAGAGACTGTAGTCTCCGGTGGTTTTCATCTACCTATAGGCGCCTAATAGGAAAGGGAATATAAAACCCTATATTCATCCGATAATCCAACTCACTAGCTCATAAGGCTTCGGTCCTTTAGCTTGTGATATAATGTAATAAATACAAATAAGCCTAGGATAACATGGATAGTAAAATACCACATAGTATATTGTATCCTATAGAGATATATGATAGTGGATGACTGCAATTTGTAGCCACGGAATATTCACAAGGCGAAGCTCGTCTAAATACCGTATCTCTTCACAAGTCTATACCTATACTCACATAGAACTAGATGTTCCGGGTCTATAAAGTGATATAGACTACTGTGGAGTTGCTGGTGAGAGGCTAACTAAAGCTAAAACCTACTCTATGCTTGTAGTTATAGATGACTTTAGCAAATTGATATAGAAATTACCTGTCTTTAGAGAGTACTTCTGCTATATCCTATAAGAGATGATCAAAGCCGCTCCTCATACGACTCGAATTTAGTAGAATGACGACTAAGGAGGGTCACTATACCCCTATACTAGTTCTCGCCTCGGACGATCTTTAATATCCTGGTAAATGTTACAGGGAAATCAAACCGGCTGTTAATTTACGTGTGCTAAGTATCCTTTACTTAGGCAAGTGTCCAGTAAATAGGACCGAACACCCCCCCTTAAGACGTACTTTGAAGGATCCTATATAACAATAGAATATCTTGATTTTCGCTTCATCCCGGAAAAGAATCGCAGCACGGGTGAAAAAAAAACGGTTCAGTATGAAGACCAGTCGTAAGTTGCTTCTTGCTAGCAACATATTCATACTACCAATGCAAGGCCAGAACACGATCCCTAGCGTAGCAAAAGAGAACTGAACATCTAGTATACCTATAAGGCATCACCTATCACAGCTAAGAACCGAGGACTTAGATACCGTTTTGCTAGGACACTAGCCCGACGCAAAGCCATTAGTATTACTATGTTGACCCTTTTCCTATTTATTTCCTAGTTTTCCGAGCATGTTTCACAAGGTTTTCTATTACGCCCTCGAACGCCTCGCGATCGCCAATCTTCTCGTCCGTACGTTTCTTCCAATACTCCAGCACGTCCTTCGCCAAGACCTCCATGCCTTGTAATTTTTTCACATGCTGCTGGAGTTCCTTGTCCGTCATACCGCTTAGAGCCTCGTCTGTGGTTGTGCAAAGCTGCTTCGCGGAAACCAAATCCAGATCGGGTGCTTCGGGTGGTCCTTTTCGACGTTTTGATGCGGACCTGGGCTTCTCCTTGTCTTGGGAATCTACGGATGCCGAGGAGTTGTTATCGGTGTCTGGCTTCCTGAGTCTGGAGACGGAGCGAGACTCTGATGATGTGCGTAGCGAGCCGCTTGAAGTGACACGGTGGATGGATGGTAGCACAAGTTTCTTTTGTTTGGAGGCGGGTAATATCTCGTCGAGATCCACTGGTACGCCAAGGGAAACTAGGAATAGGCGCCGTATGCGAGACCGGATCCAATCAGGGGGTTGGAGAGGTGGCGGTGCCGCCAATTGCGACCAGAGAGAGGCGCTTCTGGGGTTGAAGAATATTGGGTTGTCCTTTGGTGGCGACGGTAAAACTGGGAGCTCTTGTATTTCAGGAGAGAACAATGCATCTAGGTATGGTTCTGTTGCAACTATAATATCTTCCGAGTCAAGCCCATCAAGATCTAATATTGGCTGATAGAGAACGTAGTTAGCATAAATATACGACTACCTATAGAGGGACCTAAACATACAAATGAGGGTATTGCGACCTGAGGCTGAGGAACCGGCATGGGAGCCGGTCCTTCTGCCTCGGCCGTCTGAAAGCCATCGTCGAAGTCGCCAAAATCAGCATCTTCATCACCCTCTTCAAACTCGTCAAAGTCGTCGCCAAAGTCACCAAAGTCATCAACGTCATCGCCATCAGCATCTTCTTGACTAACACTTCCCGTTGATTTTGCTGCTGACGATTTCCTCCGTCGATGGGTCAATGGTGACTTAAGTGATGGGGCTACAGTCGCGTTATCTACGAGGGCAAGGGTCAATCGCGCTGGGTAGCTTAGGAGGACTTGGCTGCCGTACCAGTTGCTTCCTGGGTGGTGTCAAGCGAGGAGGGTACCGGATTTGCCTCGCCAGTACCGTCAGGTTTCCGAATAAAGTCTGGTTCGGCATCTGCACGATGACGATTTTCGTTATGGTGATGAGTTGAAGAACCAGGGGCATCGGCCGATTCGTCAACCACCGTCTTTGGAATTGGATGACCCCCCGGCGTCACAGGTCTGTCTGGGGAGACAAACTCTGGCTTCTTCTCGTGGATGATAGCAATCTCATCAGGCTCGGCATCCTCTGTGCGCTTACTGTAAGCTTCCGTGCCCGGGACTTCACCGTAAGACGGCTCATCGTCTACTTTTTCGACTCGCGTTCGCGGTACCGGGGAGGTAGCCCCGGGACTGTTCCTCGGGGAGGATTGAGCATCAGAGAAGTGCTCATCGGAATCGGAGGAGGCTGAATTGGGACAATTGTTAGCTTACTGAGGAGATTGTAAGGGACTTGTAAGGGGTACTAAAGCATACCAAGCTCATGCGCACCTGGATCTTCTGTACCTTTTCTCTCGGGTGCCTCGAGGCTAAGTGACCTCCGCTCTCTGGACATGGCAAAGAGCTTCTAGGTGGTATGTCGGGATTGTGTGACTTGGTTTGAGAAGGTTGACAGGCCTGTAATATAATATCTAGTAGGAAGTTGCGGTCCCTTTTCAACAGCCGTTGGCTGGTTTGAGGGGTACAGTATAACAAATTGACCAGATGTAGGGCTAGAAAGGTCGATGGATCGTAGTTACTGATCTTAGAAAGGCTGTAGGATCGATTTAAAGATGTGCGAGGCCATATAACTAGGCCTTCTATTGTTCTGGCTCTTATGTGAGGTAATCGTAGAGATCGAAACTTCAGCCCAGGGATCGGAAACAGATGTTTCTGGTTGGGCAGGCGGCGAGGGCGGACAGGGCTGGCAGGTTAGTTGGTATTGGCGTAAGAGACCTAGACCTACTGATTAGATAAGGGAGCCTAGAACTCTTGTGGCTTGATCTGGTAAGTAACTAATACCTAGGTATGTACCTACCTAGATACTGTACCTAGGTACCTAACCTACCTAGATACAGTGCTGAAGGCTGAGACCCACATGTGGTTTGTGAATTAGGAACGGTACCCAAGGTATCTATCTTGTAGTACATGCTACCTATACTACATTATGTAGGTACCTATGTACATCAGGTACTACCGTACATACAATAGTCGCGTCCAACTTTACCATCTTAGAAGCTTGTCGCGCAAAAAAAGTGATCGGTCTGTGATGCATCACCAAGTCACCAAGTCAAATTGTAAGTAAAAACAAACTATTATGTTCACAGTTGTATTTCACGAATTGGGGTTTTCATACATACTAACTATTCCACCAAAGATCAGGATACATTTTAATCTTCGACGTCTATCAGCAAATTACAAAACGCCGAAACCCCCAGCCTGTTCTGTGTTTGCGGCTCGGGGATGAGTGCAGGTTCATAAACACGGCTGAGATTAGACGAGCCTACATCACATTCCAATAACTAGATCGGATAGAAAACAACATATAGCACATTCCTTCCTTATACACACTATTCCACCATGTCGCTTTTCGGCAATTCGAGCTCGGGAGGGCAATCCAACAACAATGCCACCACTTCTAGTGCACCTCCTTCTGGTACCTTATTTGGATCATCAACCCCTACTACTTCGGCTTCGACCAATCTCTTTGGTAGTTCAACCGCCGGTACACCTTCCTTCTCTTTCGGAAGTCTTGGTGGTGGGAACAATAGCGCTGCTGCTGGTTCATCGGGAACTACTTCTGGTCCCTTCGGAAACACGGCTGCTAAGCCAGGAGAGCAAAAGCCACTGTTTGGGCAAACGACGGGAAATAGTGCACTGGGATCTACTCCTACGTCGGGTGGTGGTGGATCTGGGTTGTTTAGTAGCAGCTCCCAGACACCTCCCTCCAACCCTAACCTCTTCGGCAGTGCTGCGAAGCCTGCGCAATCTACGAACCTATTTGGAAATCCCGCCTCAACGACACCGACGTCGACGAGTGCCACCCCATCAGCACCGATGATAACAGGGTCTTCTAGCACTCCTACCTCGGCGCCCGGGATCTTTGGCAACCTCGGCGGCGGCGGCAGTAGTCTTTTCAACAACGCCAACTCAAGCACTACCCCAACTAGTAATGCCCCCGGTTCTGGTTCGCTATCGACACCTACAAAAACAATGTTTTCTCTAAACTCAACCACTCCCGCGGGCGCGCCTCCAACGAAACCTGCCAACCTCTTTCAGAGTGCTACGGGTCAACTACCCTTTCCATCTACTCAGCAACCAGACAAGAAGGAAACACAAGGTAGCTCGTTGTTTTCAAACCCGGCCAGTTCCTCTCAGACTGGTACCACGACGAGTAAGCCGTCGTCCTCTACCCCGAGTGGACTCTTTGCCCATGCCGGTCAAAGCTCAGTCCAAACTTCAAACCTATTTGGGGCTTCGAAACCTGCTGATGGTTCTTCCGCCTCAAATTTATTCAGCGCGAAGCCTGCCACTGCACAAGGCGGCGGAGCGGCGCCTGCAGCCAGCCAACTCTTTGGACAGCAACCTTCAAAGCCTGCCGAGGCATCCTCAGCGAAGCCCGCGAATACACTCTTTGGAGGGTCAGGTACTACACCAGCAGCACCAGCAGGCTCATCCTCCTTATTTGATAAAAAGCCTGCATCATCTGGAGCAGCTACTACATCGGCGGCTCCTGCTTCAGCATTTCCGAGCCTTAGCAAGCCCTCGGGCTCTACCTCTGCTTCTGAGACAGCTAAGACACAGGCGGCTTCTTTGTTTGGTCTGGGAAAGCCGGCATCCGGTACCGGAACTACCGAACAAGCCAAACCTACATCCGGTCTCTTTGGTAATACTGTCTCTACTCCAGCAGCAGGAACTGCAAACGCCACGCCAGCCACCGGAGCAACAGTTTCTGCCACTTCGGCCTCAACCGCTACCACAACGACAGCCCCGACAAGCTCTCTGTTCGGTGCCGCGCAAAAAGCTGCTACATCATCTGATAACACAACAGCACAATCTGCTGCAGGAGCTAGTAACGCATTGGGGGCATCGACCGCCGGTCCTACCTCATCTATGGCGCGGTTAAAGAACAAGACGATGGATGAGATCATTACTCGCTGGGCTACTGATCTCTCAAAATACCAGAAAGAGTTCAAAGAACAGGCAGCTCAAGTGGCTCAGTGGGATCGCCTTCTGGTTGAGAATGGAGAGAGGATCCAAAAGCTCTATTTGGAGACGTTTGAGGCCGAAAAGGGTAGTCGTGAGATTGAACGACAGCTCGTCGGCATCGAGAGTCAGCAGGAAGAGCTTGAATCTTGGCTAGATAGATATGAGGGTGAGGTGGACTCGATATTTGCCAAACAGATTGGGCATGGAGACCAGCTTGCGGGACCTGATCAGGAGCGCGAGAAGACATACAAGCTGGCCGAGAAGATTACCGAAAAACTGGATGATATGGGTCGTGACTTGACCAAGATGATCAAAGAGATCAACGACATTTCCGGCACTTTGAGCAAGGGCAACAAACCGGATGACCCGGTAAGTGTTTTGTATAAACCACCTTAAAAATATGTATTGACTAACCCTCCCTTTTTTCTATAGCTGAGCCAGATCGTCCGAGTCCTCAATAGTCACCTTGCTCAACTCCAGTGGATAGATACTAACGCTGCTGCGCTTCAAGCCAAGGTTGCTGCCGCACAAAAGGAGCGCAGCACAATCGGCAACCATTACGGTGGCCCAGAACAAGACAATGTGGACAGCTTCTATAGGTCCTACATGGGACGTCGATAAGCCTAAGGTTTCTTTAATAATTACTAGACCACCGAGGAGGAATTTGAGAAATTCGTGATAGGGCAAGTTCGGTGTAGGAGTTTAGGGAACCATGCACGAAAATTCGAGAATTCGTAGATAGTGACATTCACTAGGATAGGGGAGACCTTCAATCGGGCAGGTATGCCGTGATAAAAGACGAGAATTAATTCTCTCAAGATAGCAACGAGAGCACACTGGCACGCATGTGCAACGGCTGTATTTATGTACACTAGGACATGGCAAATGCGATGGCTGAAGAACAAATCTGGTTTTTTGAACTGTTTCTAGTGACGCCGCAAAGACTCAGACGCATATGCTAGACATCATAATGAGCGGTGCTTCGACATTCCTTCTCTTACGTGCGAAATACTAATACATCTAGTTGTGCTCGCCGCCTTGATCCTTGGTCAACTCGTCGCTATAGCGGAGACGTATCTATTAGTATATCTTGCCCATATTGCAAATCCCGCAGGGGAAGTGTTCTAGGTAAGCTAGGTAGACTTACATGTGGTCGGACAGCTTCTGTAGGTGGTCCTGCTGCTCGCGGAGCTTCTTGCGCAACTCAAGGAGCTTCTCCTTCTCGCGCTGGCGGATCGAGTAATCCTCGTTAGCCTTTTCGCGCTTCTGGAAAGCATCACTGTTTTGGATTTATTTGTTAGTCTTGTTCTTTACTATTTCATCTAGCTTATCCCCTACGATCCTCGACTTCCGGGTGGGCTCTCTCTATGCTCTAGCGAGCTAGGAGATGCCGGCATCTCGGGACACCATTCCAGCTTTCTGGAACTGGATGGCGGGGTATTGGATATTTCGGAATAGACTTGCGACGTACCCTTGGCCGCCTAAGCTGCCTAGCTTGTTCGGCGCACCGGTGTCGCCTGCTGACATGGTGCGGATGGTCGTTGAGAATGTGCGGCGGGAGAGGCCTTGAGACGGGATCTTGATCAGAGTCTGGCGGTACATTTTGGCTTTTAGTTTTTGAGGATCTCAAAGAGTCGCTCGCTGGATTGAGAGAAACGTTTAGTATTTGAACTGGCTTACAAGCAAGTCACGGGATGATGGGTGTAGAAAAGCGAGTACCTGTCTAATTGGTCTGTTGTTGTATGTGGTGTGATTGATGATTGATGATCGATGATCGATGAGGCACTTCTAAAAGTTGGAGGTTCGATTGGAGCTTAGCCTTTCTTACCTAGGTAGGTAGGTACCTCCTATGAAGTCGATAGCAATAGGCAATAGGTAAAGCTAAGGTTCCAACCCCGGCGGAAGAAGACGGGGACGCACGGACGCAAACGGAGCGGAACTCTCCTAAGACCGTTAGGTCTCTGCCTCAATGCCTACATAGGTACAACGTTCATGCCTGCTCAGGCCATACATAGCATCATTAGTGACCACTGATCACGCAAAAGTCCAGCGGACCGGAATAGTTTAATTCTTTCCCTCCACCACGCCATCTGTTTAGGGTCATCTGATATAACAAAACTTCATTTGCCGCGTATCATTATTAAAAGAGGAATGAAAGCCTATGGGAATTCTTCCCTATTTATATTGGCCTTGTCTCGTGTTGATAATTTACAAATTTCACTTCTTAGAGAGGTTACTTACTATGCGTATTAGGTAACAGCCGTGTCAATATATATTTTATATTTTCGTCGAGGCTGAGCATGCCGTAGTGCATGAAAATAAAAATACGCATAATCAATCAATAGGCAAGTGTGTTATGCTACCAGCATCTAAATTTGGCATGATAACTCTCAGCTATGCCAGACGCGAGAAAAGAATGGGACCAAGTATCGTGAGGCTCTGGTCTGGCATGATATCTTCCAGGAATTAGAGGAGCATACATACATAGTAATGTCTTCACCGGGAGGCGGTTCCTGGCCCCGCAAGGGAAGATACTTGGCAATGCATGGGTTTCATCACCCCTCTATGTAAGAAGAAATCAAGTCGGTGACGTTTTTAACAACTCGACCCTTTTCCTTCCCTACTCTTGATTTCCAGGTCAACTTCGCATTGACGATAGTAGAAATGGATTAGACAAATGAGAAGCCAAGTTCCTGTGGTGGCTGGCGCGGGTGTGGCCCCGAATCAGAAAGCAGGATGGCAGCACTGTGCATATGTATGAGCTATTTGGGCTGCAGGTGTTGACGTAGGCTGAAATTCTTTCCCCCCTTATCGCCCAGTCGCGGCCGTGGTAATTCAGACAAAGAATGTAATGGCTCGTGCTTCGAGTAGCCTCGAATTACCTAGGTCTCATCTCCCAAGGGTGATTGGCTAACTCGAGTGTAAACCCTTTCTCGATAATTGTTGAGACATTGAACGAGATTAACGAAGGGTCACTTGAAATACCCTTTCTATTGCGAGTGCTACCGGATAGAGGGGTACGATAAAAAGGGAAGAGTATATGAGCAAGATAAAACTTGGATAACCTCATAGTTACTTGCCTTAGGTCATCCTATATCATTTGAGGCTTGACAGCTCGTTGGGTGTCTATAAAGAATGCCTCATGTACTGGTACAAGCACGAGACAAAATTTAATCGGTTCTTGAAGTACGTGGGGTACGAGTTCAAGTATTTGATAGCATTGAAGCTGACGTAGGAGACTTGGGCAGGGAGGGAAAGGAATTAAACTGCTAGGTAGGTACCTAGTAACAGGGACATTTAAACCTTTCATGAATGACATGTAATTAGGTGGTAAGGTAGCCTTAGGTAAGTGCATCGGACATATGTAGAATGCACATGACAACCACGTGAGGCGTAACTTCTTCAAATCACAAAGGCGTAAAAAAAATATTGGAAGGTGAAATCAAAATAGAGGAGTCAGGAGTGCCTTACCAGCTTTCTACGCCTCAATTCTACCAGACTTGTGTATATGCAGTTGTATGCAATGTCATGCCCACAGCATACATAGTAATGTAGTTTATGTACCCAAATAGGTATGTACTGATGATAATGATACTAGTCATTAAAGGACGAAAGGATGGAGGTACCGAAATGTTTAGATTTGAGGATGACCCCCTTTCGAGCCTTGTTCTATTGTCAAATGATCCGCTGCCCGCTGCCCGTTGCCAAGTTTACAGGCTTATGGCTCTGTTGGTTCAGGTCCAGTAGGCTTTACATACATAAACGGAACCGGTGCTAGCAGTTGGAATTAGTGGAGGCGTTGTACAGCCCTGGGGGAGAAAAGAGGTAGGTACTTTAGGTTAGGTTAGGTACTTCAAGTAGGTACAGTACATGCACGCCTAAGGATTTTAGAATGTACCTAAGGTTACTATTACCTCTCCCCCCCCCCCTCCCCACGCGCGCACTGGGCACACCCGCCTCTGAGCCCATCACCCTCTTTCTCCTTCACCTCAGGCTCCCTCTGTCTACCAACAAAACCAAACTGCTGCACTTCCGCCGACACAAAAACTCTCCCAAAACTTTTTGCATCCCATAAACCTCCCAAACCCAACAACCACCAACTTATTCTATCCTCCGTCTTCGCACTTTCTCTCTAGTGCATCTTTCTCTACAGGTCGTTCCTTGACAACCAAACCTCGAAACAATAGACAGAAGGTACGTTAACCCTTATCCATCCATCTCCTCTCCTTTTAAAAAATCCCCTTTCTTTGCACTTGCGGTCATGTTCCTTGGCCTACCCTGAGTCCCGCCTTGTACTTTCGTCATCGCCCACATCACGACCGCCTCCTTCTTGTCGGCCGTACATACAACAGCAAATTTACCAACCGCCTAATACGACCTGTTCCCTAAATCAATTGATTATTGCGACAACATACACGCCTGTCCGTCTACCTTTACCCTACGCGTTTTCCATTCGCATCCACTGGCGCAAACCCCACTGACTGCGGGGGGTTCGTCTTTGCTTCACCGTCACAATCTTCGAGCCTCTCGATATCCACGGCAAGGTAGCGCGTTCCTCTGGTTTGGGTTGTAAACACTTGCAGTATCGTCCTGGCAACTGTTTACAAACTGCTAGGTCAATAATTGCTGCCTGTTGCCGTGCAAACCTGCATTTATTTTTTCCCCTCTTCCTACTACTTAATATCTATACTGCATACACTTTTCCCATCACAACCAGAAAAAAACAAACACGTTATTCGACCGAAACTAGGGCTGACTTAATACATTAATTTAGTTTTCTCGTCTCACCAAGTCTCACACCGTCAAGATGGGTCACGAAGATGCTGTGTATCTTGCCAAGCTGGCCGAGCAGGCTGAGCGCTACGAGGGTATGTGATGCTATGGTTGTGGTTGCTAGGCCCCGCAGAGTGGCAGTACTAACTTTTACCGTCATCAGAGATGGTTGAGAACATGAAGATCGTTGCTTCTGAGGACCGTGATCTTACCGTTGAGGAGCGCAACCTCCTCTCCGTCGCCTACAAGAACGTGATCGGTGCCCGACGTGCCTCGTGGAGAATTGTCACCTCCATCGAGCAGAAGGAAGAGTCCAAGGGTAACTCCTCTCAAGTCGGTCTTATTAAGGAGTACCGACAGAAGATCGAAGCCGAGCTTGCCAAGATCTGCGATGACATCCTCGATGTTTTGGACAAGCACCTCATCCCCTCTGCTAAGTCTGGCGAGTCCAAGGTGTTCTACCACAAGATGTATGTTTTCTTCGGTGCCGGCACCTATTTCAAACCCAAAGATTTCTAACCAACCAAAACAGGAAGGGAGACTACCACCGTTATCTTGCGGAATTCGCCGTTGGTGACCGACGAAAGGAGTCGGCTGACAAGTCGCTTGAGGCGTACAAGGCTGCTACCGAGGTTGCCCAGACCGAGCTGCCCCCTACACACCCCATCCGTCTTGGTCTCGCCCTGAACTTCTCCGTCTTCTACTACGAGATCCTGAACGCTCCCGATCAGGCTTGCCACCTTGCGAAGCAGGCTTTCGACGATGCGATTGCCGGTAAGTACCAGGCGTACGAGCTAAAAGTAGCTTGAAGCTAATTTAAATCTATAGAACTTGACACTCTGAGCGAGGAGAGCTACAAGGACTCGACTCTCATCATGCAACTCCTCCGAGACAACCTGGTATGTATTCGTATTTATCAAGTATTAGTTGAATCTGCTAACATAAAACCAGACCCTCTGGACGTCTTCTGAGGCTGAGCCTCCTGCGGAGTCGGCCGCAGCCCCCGCCCAGGAACCGGAGAAGGCCACCGAGACCCCGGTTGAGGAGCCTAAGGCTGCCGAGTAAGAAAAAAAAGAAAAGCCCACGTCCCTTATTAGTCTCTAGATTTTAAAGGGGTCGATTGAAGTTGGGTGGACTCTGGTGTCTATGGAGTGTTTGCTTGAGAATTCTCTTGCCTGAGATTCTGCATTGATTTGATTTTTTCCCCCTTCACGTGGCAAATGCACAGAGCAAAGACTTGGACGGTTCTCTTTTTCCCGCAGGCAAAAGGGCTAAAGAGCTTTTGGTAGGTCTTTCGCAGAATGCTTGCCCTTTAGACTCTAATGCAAATTCGTCTGAATAAACCCCATACTTTCTACTTGCACAGGCAATATTAATGTTATGAATTCTTCATGAGCAATGGACTTTCGTAGGATCTTTGCAGGATGGAATTACAACTTAGGCAGTAATAGTATCCTCTTGGGCTCGATTGGCCAGTATATGCTTAAGCTGTTAATATAAAAAGACCCAAGGCATACATTTAACTTTACTACTAGTTCATCTGTAAATATTTAGGTTACATCTTTACTCTTAAGAGTACATCGTAAGCCTTTCACTGCATGGGTAATATATTACCCTTTTGATTATACTACTAGCTCGTAAATCATTCGCATTATATCATACCCGAGTAACAGCTTGAAATCTTAGCCAGCATAGGCCAATGTACCAACCCTCTACCGTCTCGTACTCCTAATGTGCCCTTCGTAAATACACGACTATGTTAAATCACCTTTCCATCGACTTGGATGTAGATGTCCAGGCCACGTGATATACTTTATCTGTTGGGGTAGAAACGAAAGCGAGCCTATCGGATTGAGTTGTGACGACATCATCTACAAGGAATGTCTCACGATATGTAGATATTGTATCCCGACGTCTCTTGGCAGCTGCTACCTCCGCGAGCCGCTTGTGCTGGTCCCCGCCGTCGCGGACCCCGACAAAGAGATGCCCCAGTTGACACTCCAGTTAAACGTGAAGTTCCTACCGGTGCCGCTGCCCCGTCTCTCCCCTGCTGATGTGACTGCGTCTGCACCGCTTCCCATCGTTAGTGTAACGGCCGCCTCGCGAACTGTAGCACTAGCGCTTCTCGCGGGACCGGCAGTGGTGGTTGTGGTAGTAGTAGCTACGACATGATTATCCCTGTTGTCGTCGTCGTTGTTGTTGTTGTTGCCATCATCGTCGGCTGCGGCGAACAAAACCCGGATCCAGAGGCTGCAGTCGAGACACTCGACCATCAACACGCCGTCGTCCTCGAACTCCTCCAGGTTGTCCTCGGTGAATGCGTATCCGCGCGCGTTGCCGCACCGGCAGGCGCGGTAGTACAGCCCCGTCCGCTCGTCGAATGCTAGGTCGTCTAGATCGACGGTCTCGACGCCCGTCTGGAACGACGACGAAGAGGTGGATTGGTGAGAGTGCCGCTGGGAGGGCGCCGTGCGCAGAGCTCGGTCGTAGTCTGTGCGCTGCTTGCGGTCTGAGAGGACTGCGTAGGCGTGCTGGATTTGGTCTACGGTGTATGCGATGCGTGGTTGTGACGGCTGTTTAGGGCCTGGCTTTGAAGTAGAAGTAGAAGTAGAAGTAGAAGGTGTTGGTGTAGATGTCCTGCTGCCCTGGGGAGTATTGCCACCGGCTGACTTGTCCGGGTGGTGTTTTAACAACGCGCGGTGATATGCTTGTTTTACGATCTTCTGCTGCTGAGATATGCCGGCTTGGCCCTCTAGATGCTTGGGAGTTAGCGACAGGATGTCGTAGAGCGTGGGCTCGGCTGATGTATTGGATATAGGAGGGGCCATGCCGGCGGGATTGGATTCACAAGTTTATCTTATTTCTTTTTCGGGTTTCTTATAAGAGATGAACAGTTTATTTCGTCTGTAAATTGCGAGTGAGAGGTTCTCATATTAAGAGGTAAGTTCCATTGTTGTAAGTGGCTTATACCAACCAGGATAGGATAACTTCGTCGGAAACCGGTTTTGAGGAAAATGTTCAATGGCGCACGCGGTCACGTGAGACTTGGACGAAGTTTGCTACTAAGCCATAGAATAGCAGAAATGGGGACGTAGGACTTAAATAGACGACTGAACGAGGGGAATAGAAGAAATAGTAGAAGAGAAGAAACTAATGTCTTCCTAAGAATAGGTTACTTACAGTTGTCATGTCGGTTACGTTCTAATACTTTCTGATATTAGCACCAAATAGGAAGACTGTCTTACGACACGGTAGTAATGATAACTCCTGGACTTGTTGAAATATTTCTCCAATTCTCTTGAATAGAGTAATATATAAATTTTGTACATTTCTTCCTTGCCGGCATCGTAAAGTCATGACATGATTGTTCATCGTGGATATTTGGTCCACCTGTTCTTCCCGATCTATCATTTCTTGTCAGTAACACATACGAGAGTAGATAGAAATAAATGACTTACCTTCCGCCATTCTCTGACAAGTCTTGGCATGCCCAACATAGCCGTTCTTCTCTTCTCCATCCTGTACCTCTTGTCAGTATCGAAATATTATTCAGGAAATGTTTCCCGAGGAGCGAAATGCTAGTCAGGGGGGATTGTATAGCAGTGACGTACTTGGCAGCCAGCATTCTTTCGTGCAAGTGACCCTTGACGGATTGTCCAACACCAGTACCACGAACCCTCAACCCGTGCGCAACTCTGTGCCGTATGCGCTCCTCTGTGCCCTTAGACGTGAATGGCAACAGCTCCTCTACTCCTTGTTCCCTCGCCAATTTTACGAGTTCTGCTTGCCGCCTCAGAGAGAATTCCGGATCATGCCATTTCCCAGTTACCGGGTGTTTGTGCGGCAGGAAAGGGTTCGGCGTAGCACCGTCCTTGATTGTGTTCGTCCTCGTCGAAGCCGGGAGGATCTGGTTCGGGGGGTACTTGGCGAAGAAACGCTGTAGCCGCGGGTGCAGCTGCTTGGCGAGCTCGATATATCTCGTATTTAACGCCATCCCCCCAGTCGCAGTCAAGACGCTTCTCTTTTGTTGCGATTAAGAATTTATTACGTCTTGCTGGTAACGTGAGAGAAGTCGCAAAATCGTATGTAGAGCTCCCAAATTTTGGTTGCGAATGGCCAAAGTGACAAGGTTCTTTTTATCTCAATTAAATCTCCGATTGGTTCCCGTGGTTAGCGGCTTGGATTAGGTAGTATGTACTTTGCTACACGTACCCCCGACACGCCGATGTCAGTGTTTCTTCTATCTCTTTGCCTCCAACTCAGAACATTGAAGTCTGGAAACAAACAGAAACAAAAGCAACTTAAGCAACTTGCGCGCTGCATTATCCTAATCCGAATACAATTGGCAAATCTAGCCATCGTAGTGGATAAAACACCTTAATCCCTATAATTCTTCGTCATCGAATCAATATCAAGATATATCAGCTAGTTACCTGTTCCAAACGTTGAAAGTAATTCCAAAGCTTTAGAAGGTCGTTACAAAGACCTGTCGTTCTACGTCGAGGCCTTGCGATCATGGGTATGCAGCCGCGAGCCGGGTCGCTAGCCGACACCAACGGAACCAACAACACTAATGGAACAAACGGCGAAACGAATAGGCGTAAAGCACCCTTAGATATCGAAGAGATCTTGCGCAAGAAGAAAGAGGCAAACGAAGCTGCCGCGAAACCAAGATTTATCCCTAAAGCTGAGCGTGAGCGCCTATCAGCAGAGAAACAAAAAGAAGAGGAAGAGAAGCGAAGGCGGAAGGCAGAAGAAGAAGCACGAAATAAGCCCACTGGTAGATCTACAACTGTGTCGGGACTCGATGGACGGCACCCGGATCGTCGAGACAGAGATCATGCACCAGCTGTTCCGACGGGACCTAGGGCTATGCGACAAGCTGGGCACGATAGACGCGATACCAACGACAACGAAAATGGAGATGCACGAGGGAAATCAAAGGGCAAGAAGGGGTCGGCTGGGGAGAAACGAGCAGCACCAGAAGAAACAGAAGCCGCCTCAATACGAGCACGATATATGGGACCAGAAATGAATCAGTCTACCTTCTCGGCCAAGAAGAAGCGGAGAAGAACAACAGAAAAGAAATTTAATTTCGAATGGGATCCGGAGGAAGACACAACACAGGACCACAATCCCATCTACGCAGAGAGGGCCGAGCCCACCTTCTTCGGAAGAGGAAGGCTGGCCGGTTTTGGTGACGACATGACAGAAGAGAACGCCAAGAAGTACGCCATGTCTCTAATCGAGCGTGATCCTGAAAACGGAGCACAGCGAGCACGAGAGCTACTGGATATGATGCGAAAGGCGAAGGAGAGGGCTAACCGCAACGGCCTAGGGAAGCACTGGTCAGAAAAGAAGCTAGAGGACATGCGCGAACGAGATTGGCGTATCTTCAAAGAGGATTTTGGTATTGCAACCAAAGGAGGGCTCATTCCAAATCCGATGCGAAACTGGCAGGAATCGGGGTTACCTCGTCGTTTATTAGACATCGTCAGCAAAGTTGGGTACGACGAGCCGACTCCGGTCCAGCGTGCCGCAATCCCAATTGCTCTACAGGCAAGAGATCTAATCGGCGTAGCTGTCACTGGTTCAGGAAAGACGGCTGCTTTCTTACTACCTCTGCTAGTATACATCTCGGAATTACCGCCATTAAATGAAATCACCAAGAATGATGGTCCGTACTCGTTAATTATAGCCCCAACTCGAGAGTTGGTTCAGCAGATCGAGTCAGAGGCCAAGAAATTTGCTATTCCACTGGGGTTTACCGTTGTTAGTCTCGTCGGTGGGCATTCACTTGAAGAACAAGCGTTTGCCTTGAGAAACGGTGCTGAAATTATCGTTGCCACACCTGGTCGTCTAGTCGACTGTATCGAACGACGCCTGCTGGTGCTGTCCCAATGTTGCTACATCATCATGGATGAAGCCGATCGTATGATTGATATGGGTTTTGAAGAACCAGTCAACAAGATCTTAGACGCGCTCCCCGTCACTAACGAAAAGCCGGACACCGATGCCGCCGAAAATCCTCAACTAATGAACCAACATCTTGGCGGCAAAGACCGATATCGACAGACAATGATGTACACAGCCACCATGCCGTCAGCTGTCGAGAAGATCGCGAAGAAATATCTACGTCGGCCTGCTACAGTAACAATAGGCAATGTAGGAGAAGCGGTAGATACGGTCGAGCAACGGGTCGAATTCGTCCCTGGAGAGGACCGTCGCAAGAAGCGCTTACAGGAGATTCTATCATCCAACGAATTTGCACCCCCTATTATCGTGTTCGTCAATATCAAACGCAACTGCGACGCCGTCGCTCGAGAGATCAAGCATATGGGCTTTTCAGCTGTTACACTCCACGGCAGCAAGACCCAGGAACAGCGAGAACAGGCTCTCGCCTCAGTACGCGGCGGCACGACGGACGTCTTGGTCGCGACAGATCTTGCCGGTCGTGGTATCGATGTTCCGGACGTATCACTTGTCGTCAACTTCAACATGGCTCTGAGTATCGAAAGCTACACGCATCGTATCGGTCGTACGGGTCGTGCTGGCAAGAGCGGTGTTGCTATCACATTCTTGGGCAACGAAGATGCGGACGTCATGTATGACCTGCGGCAAATGCTTTCGAAGAGCTCGATATCTAGGGTGCCAGAAGAGCTGCGCCGGCATGAGGCCGCACAGCAGAAACCAAATAAGGGGCCTAAGAAGCTTGAGGAGAAGGGCTTTGGTGGAAAAGGGGGTGGATGGGACTAGAGTTAGTCCATGCTTAGGTACTTATTGTATTTATGTAACCTATCACGAAGATATGTAATATTATGGCTACGGTCGTTACTACATCACAACGGTTGTGCTTAAGTGTGTACCACCTATCTGGCTGGTTTGGCCGTTACTAGAGGATTTATCAAATACCGTAGTTAGTTGAAATTACTTAGATATCCGCATAACTAGAGTAATTTGAATATCTGCACAAGGGACTAAGTCGATAGTGGTTAACTAGGTAGGTATTATATATGAAGCCAAGGCCCTGGAGTGCTTATAGATGGCTTGTTATAGACTTTACATATGTATACATAACTATAGGATACTAAGCATCTATAAGTATACTCTCGAGTGACAGGCGAGAGTGACAGGTCGCATGATAGACTACCTATAGTTGACATTTCAAATTGCGAACTTGAACCGAGTATCAATAGGTAGCATCGAATGGACGGGTTTCTAGTTGGACTCAGTTCCGGTTGTATGGGGATCTACGTTCCCTATGTTCTAGAATCACCAATTAAGATGCGACCCTGCATGAGATTTTGTTTCCAAAAGTTGCAGTCTCGGGGGACACGGCCGGCTGCAGCGCTACTGATACCAAGATACCAAGATACCAACTAGTTTAGGTACTCTATCGGTATCCAACCCCTGCAACATCCCGCTACACCGCCTGCCCTGCGTGGCGTTACTTTTGCACTTTTAACTTTTTTTTTTTCCTCTGCCGCACCTAAACATCCTTGTCTTATATTTTTGATACCTTGAGGGCCGATTACCTACATACCTATCTAAAGAGGGCTCAGTTCGTTAAATGCCTAGCACATGCATATACACAGAAGTTTTCATCTGTTCAAATTTCCAGTCTACCTACCTACCTATAAGCTTGTCTGTGATAATGCACGAATAGGGAATCTCCCTGGCTGCCCCTCACTACATACATACCATACCTACCTACGAAAAAACATAACTAGTTATACTTGTACATACATGTTTGTATGTACTTGAGTACCCCTCCATTGTATCCGCTGTAGTACTACCGCATGTGAATTTCCCGGAGTCACTAGACAATCTGCTAATTTGTATCATATTTGACAATTGTATTATATGACAATTGTATTATATCACCTTCTTTTTCTTCGCCCTTCCCCTTCCCCTTCTCCTTCCTTACACATATGTCTTTCCGCGCCGCTAGTCGTGTCGACTTCGCCCCTCGAGTCTCAACAGCCACACGACTTCGATTAAGACCACGTACTTTCCCACGTACTCTTCCTCCAACCGCATCTCAGTGGAGACAAAATCACATCTGGTGCACTCCTGCCTTATCCTCTCCACCTTCCTACCGGTATTCCTAACCTAATTGACCGCTCTTCCAAGCCAATTAGACTCGTAGGCTAATGCGGAAGCTAGGCTTGGTCCACGTCTTGGGAATCACTCCTCACTCACTTCTGTCTCACGAACATCTCCTTTCGAGAAGTCTAGAAACACCACTCTCTCGACACCCCTTGTTCGACATTGCTCATACCGGAGACAAAATATGTGTAAGCTTGCTGGAGACATTGACCATACCGGAGGGGCTACCCCGGACCCCACCCAGGGCCGTGAGCTCCTCCCGACCAACGTCATTCCGAGGCATTACGATGTTACCTTAGAGCCCAACTTCGAAAAGTTTACCTTCGATGGTAAGGTGCTTATCGACTTCGACGTCCAAGAAGATTCCAAGTCTATCTCCCTCCACAGCCTTCAGATCGATATCCACAGCGCCAACATCAAATCTGGAGACAGCATTATTAGGTCAGCTTATATCTTTCTGGACAGTTAAGTTAACAAGTACTACCATTCTAACGTGTTCGGGCAGCTCGTCTTCGGCAATCACGTACGATGAGACCAAGCAGATTACCAGCATCGAGCTCAAGGATGCCATCCCGAAGGGCAAGGTCCAGTTGGAAATCAAGTATTCCGGCCAGCTCAATGACCAGATGGCCGGTTTCTATCGCTCTACCTACAAGAAGCCAGACGGCTCCGAAGGTGTCCTCGCTACCACGCAGATGGAAGCGAACGACTGCCGCCGGGCTTTCCCGTGCTTCGACGAGCCTATGCACAAGGCCAAATTTACTGTCACTCTCATTGCGGATAAGCACCTGACATGTCTCAGCAACATGGACGTCGCGTCTGAATCAGAAGTGCAATCAGAATTCAGTGGATCTACAAAGAAAGCCGTCAAGTTTAACACGACTCCTCTTATGTCGACTTACCTAGTTGCTTTCATCGTGGGCGAATTAAGTTACATCGAGACCAACAAATTCCGCGTCCCAGTCCGAGTGTACGCCCCGGCTAGTTCAGATATTGAACACGGCCGCTTCTCGCTCGAGCTCGCAGCGCGGACTTTGGAGTATTACGAGAAAATATTCGGAGCCGAGTTCCCGTTGCCCAAAATGGACATGGTTGCCATCCCCGATTTCGCGGCAGGCGCTATGGAAAACTGGGGTTTGA